AGGGTCTACGTCCATTTCCGGGTTTAGGTCTATCAGGGCCTCTTCTTGCTGCACAGAGACAAGCTCCTGCGAGCTGTGTGGCGGTATAGATCCTTCTTGAAATATTACTGTAGAACGATTTCGCTCTGTTGGCCGGCTGGTTGACCGGGTCAATCTCTCTCTCCTTCCCCCAGATCCCGCAGCCCGCCCCTCGCTGTTGGGCGGGCAAGAGGTCTCCGTGTCGCTACCCACGGAGGGATGATCCTGTAGATAGGGCGGGATGCGGTGCAGGGGCTGCCGATATTAAGCTGCAATTTGCACCCGCTCTTACTCTGCTACGTACCTCGTACAAATTCTCGACCAGGCGGCGTGCGTTTTGCCGCATCCAGCGCATTTGCGCCCCTGGCTACCGGTAGCAGACCTCTGTACGCAGGACCGGGTCTCGTGGCCCTCGGCACAGAGGCCGCAGGTTATTTTATTCGAATAAACGATTTTTATATGTCCATGACATTTGAAGTATCGCCGAATCCGCGCGTTCCTATCATATAGAACAGTCGTCCGGTTATCGCTAGCCCAAATAGTCCCTTTCATGATTGCCTCGTTTGCATGTCTCGGGTCAGAGAATTCGACAATGAGAGCAGAGAATTTCTGATTCTTGTGATTGGAAGGATGGGTAAGCCAGGTTACGCGCCTGATATCGGGTTTCTGGTTCCAACCTTCCTTGTTCTCGTCAAGAAGCTCACTGGCTACTCGGTCCTGTTCGCCCTGATCGCTCAGGTCCTGGATTGACTTGATCGGGATGCCATGGACTACCACGCCCCACGTAGGGCGCCGCAGGGTAGCCCCGTTTGACATGCAATTCGCCCATTTATCGTAGATCCTGGCAGTTTCGGCCTCCGTAGCAGTGCGTAATGCCAGGCTTAGATCCCCCGAGCGCAGCTGCCTGGCGGAAACGAATCGGGCTCTCGCCAGGGAGAGCGCAGGAATCGCTGCAGCAGCCTTTTTCCTTGCACTTTCTGCTTTATCTTTTATCTCTGCCGATGACTTCTTTCGGTAGGTCTTCTGGGCACCAACATCTCGCAGTTTGACGATCACTTCGCGGTCCTTGCTGAGCACTGACGGGGTGGCCGGAGCGGTACTGGAGGAGCCGTGGGAGGAGATCGTATGGGCTAGAGGAGGCGCATTCCTGACTACAGAGGCCCAGGAATGATGACTCTGGTTCCGAATGCTTTACTGGGTGCTATGAGTGTGTTGTTGGACATTCTGAAGGGTCTGCTTGATCGAGGCCAGCTCAGGGCCTAGATGGGCATTCCTATCGAGAATATCAGCCGCTTGGTATTGCATAAATCCGCAGTAGGTGACTGACTACCTGCTCAAAGAAGTCGATAACAGGCTTTGGGAGCTGTTTTCCGGCTTGCTCGTGCGAAATGAACGATTTCGCGTCGGCGTGGAGGTTCAGTACGCAGGTAAGAAATTTCTGATTTGATGAATTTGCCGCCTCGGGAATCCCTGAAAGGGCCGGCCACGGGGTTTTCGCCCCAACCATCTCGAAATCCCCTATAGAGATAGAATCATTCGATAGCGGCTGGAGTTATTGGCAAACTGGTCGGTTCTGGAGGCCGTAGCCGTCGTGGTGGTTGAGTAATTTCAAAAACTTGATTCGCGTCGAAGTTGTTGTTTTTTTGGGCCAATGGGCCTGTCGCCTCAGGATCTGGCTGGTTGCTAACCAAGGGCTGAGCTGCCTTGCTGGCGATTTTGGTCGCTTTCGCAGGCTTCTTCTTTACGGCGGTGCTAGGAGCCTGCAGCTCAGCAGTGAATTCATACTGGCTCGCTTGGGAGTGCCGTGAAGCCACGCTGCTGGCTCTGCTGGCGGCAGACGATCTAGTAGTAGGACAATCCATCGGGAGGTCCACTCTGGGGTCCTGGAAGGATTCTGGAAGGCCTTGGCAACGCCAAGGTTGTGCACACGGGTAGTGGGTCAAATCTTTTATGAAATGCACAGGGGAAGGAGGGCAGAATGACACTGTATCGGCTATATGCACGTAGCCTACTAAGGAGCGAATGCCTTTTGAATGATAGGGCTCTTAATTCTCTTGCATAACGATTAATCCATCTTCTATCATAGATAAAGGGATAAGTTCCTCAGGGGTTCGAGTGTGCGGGCCAAGCCGCTAGATCACGTAATCCCATGGATTCGTATCAAAATCAACGAGAACAAGGTTCAAAGGGGTCCAAATGGATGAAACTGAAGAAAATACTGATGGAATCAATGAAATAGCGATGCAGCTTGTTCTGGGTGAAGCTCCTACCTAATGGACTATCTGTGGATCACGTGACTCCGGACAGGCTTGCGCCACAAGCCATACCAGCAGGCTCCAACAGTACATCTCTTAAATTTGTCTTTTAAGGTTCAAGCCACGCAATCAATATTTCCACTGGACACATTCTCTGCTGTCGCGGATGGTCTACGCCATTGGAGTGTTGCGTGGCATTGCCTTCCCTGCGGAGGCACGACGTTATAATCAACAGTCAGTTATCAAAAATGGCCACAAAAGAGGTAAAAAAGATCGAACAACCAAGGTTATCTCGGTGATGGCAAATTTATTCGCTTACCGCGAGGAATATCGGACTGGCCGTTCTCAGCTCCAGCAGTCCTTCGTCATCAAACCTGGCAATCCGACTCTGAACCTGACCAATCCAGTCCGGAAACGAAGCCACGGTGACTAAGTGGTTCACGTGCAAGCTGCTCTCTGTGGAAAACTCGAAGGTCTCGAATCGCCCTGAGTAAGCCACATAGTCGTTGACCGCGAACTCAGTGGAAGGCCGCGTCGTGGGCGACTGGCTCAGTAATTGTGCCGACATGTATCCGTCCGGCGTATACACCAGAATCCCGCGGGGCGATTGGCCCATGGGATAGATTGTTTCCTCTCCATTCAGATTCGTGGTCTTGTACTCGAGGAGAGACCAGGATCCGAGGAGGATATCGCGGTAAGGGGTCTGAGGCACAGACATGGCGAAGGCTTTGGAGGTGGAATATATTTTCTCTCTTCTTTTCTTCCTTGTTTCGTGGGAGCTCCACTCTATCTTCCTCAAGGAATTGGTAATGGCTTTCTAGGCGAACTGTGATCTGATGTCAAATACCTGCACCCTGCCTTAAATGTTCACAAAGATTGCCACCCGAAATGCGCGATATATACCCCAAAGGCAAGGGAGGGTTACTTCCTAGAATGGGCGATCATTGGGGCCGTCACATTCCTGCATCTATTTGTGATGAAAGAGGCGGCTAGAGAGATATTTTGAGCGCAACCTACATCACCTTCCAAGGTCGTTACGTCAATGAGAGCGTTTACTAGGACCTCCGCGGAATTGACTATATCCAAAAGCCTTTCTTCCAATGGATACTTTAGCAGTTATGCTTATAGCAGCCCACCGTTACTTGCCTAGGTTACATACATATGGGCTAGGCTTTGTGTACGTGTAGGATTTGGGCAGGGAAAATCTAAGACGACAATATTCCAGATGGAGGGGGCCTCTGTGATTACTACCAACGTAATACTACTTTTTTTCCCATAGACATCTTATAACTCATTCAGCTGCATGGCATTCGTCCCTTAGCCTAACCAATGGCTTCTGTCGTTTCAAAGGCCACTCTTGTAAGCCAGATAACGATCCTGTATCGAATTAAACAATCATCTATTGAATATAGCCTTGAGGGAAAAGGAATACCTACAATAATTCCTGACCAGAGATACTTCGTCGTGACACGAATCCACGACGCAGTAGCCCCTCTCCAAGTGAGACCTGTCTTTCCCTTGCGCACCACATCATTGACCACCTTGTTAGCAAACTGATCAGCGGGCATCCAGGATGGAAACAGGTCTTCTTCAGCCTTGGTCTGAGCTCGCTTCTCGATATTCTCGAGAAAAGGGTGGTATGGCGAGTCCGCCGGCAGCGTCATGCGGAGGGTGTTATCGAAGATCTGCGTGTCTACGGCGCCGGTGATTACTGTAAGGACTTTCACGTCAAACGGGGACAATTCTAGACGCAGTGTTTCTCCGAGGACGTTCATGGCCGCTTTGGACATGCTGTAGACCCCGATCCAGGGAGTATGCAGGCAGCTGGTCACTGAGCTGATATAGACAATCGTTCCTTTGGCACGGATCAGCAGCGGCGAGAATGCCTGGGTGACGTTCAAGGCGCCCCAAACGTTCGTGTCGAAGAGGCGTTTGGCGTCGTCCATTGGCACATCGAGAAGGGGGATGGAGGCAAATATCCCTGCATTGTTAACGAGATAGTCGAGTCGCCCGCCAGTAGCTTTTTCCACGACGGTGACGGCGGCCTGGATACTGTCGACACTGGTCACGTCAAGGGCCACCGGAGTTACATGCGGCATAGTGACCAATTCACCCATCTTGGAAATTGTGCGCGCCGAGGCAAATACCGTTAAGCCTTCTTGCTGGAATCTCATGGCAAGGGCATGCCCGATACCCCCACTGCTACATCCAGTGATAAGAACGGACACGGATGGTTGGATGGTCATTGTGGCAATAAGAGGAATCCAGAAGTTGTTGTGAATAGTTGCAGATCCTAGTTGAAGTGGAGCGAATGCACTCAATCCGGGACTCCGGACGACATTTATGTAATGGTTGTTGGTAGACCTGTTGACTTGCTGCTGCTGCTTTGGTAGTCTTGCATTACTAGGCTGCTGCTTCAATGGTGTTTCAGCAGTTTCTTTTTCCGGCAGTTTGGAACCGAATGCATGAAACCGGGAAAGCAGGTCTGTTACCCGAACAGGCTACATGCATTCATGAAATCAATCCTATATCCAGTCATAGATTGACACACTAACGCGAGGACGACGTTGAAAACCGGTACATCAGGTGCTCATATTTACCATATCTTGCGAAATTTAGTGTCTGGCGTGCATTTACCTGCGCTTCCAAAACCCGAAATTTCCAATGTTGACCTCAGCGTTGCAGAGGAGGCGGAATAGATGGCGCGTTTGAGGTCGTCCATTGGATTGTGTTCAGGTGTCGGATTGGGTTCAACTGTGGGACTGTGATCAGTTGTGGCTGGTTCCATGTTTTTGAGTGATTCCTTGAAGGTCCCACGGTATCTGAACTGAGCAGGTTCTAAGATACCCACGTTTTCTTTGTCTATACCGGGTCGAGGCGATTGTTTATACTTGGCAGACGCGACAGGACGCGAAACGTGATCAGAAGCAAACAAGCCGGACGTTGATCAATCGCTGCCTCAGGCATCAAATTCCCATTCCGCACGACGACCCTGCAACGAAATAACAAGATATCAATCACTACCAAAGATGTATTACCAACTCATTCAAAGACCGAGATTAGAGGTAAAAACCCCACATCAACGACATGGAACCATGGATTACCACTGCATTTCCATTCCAAAAAGTTGCACTCGATATGATCACCCTGGACTATGGAATGAGGAATTGGCACTACAAAATCTAAGTTGCATGTGAAAAGAGATATTCATATGTTGAGATAGTGACATTTTCAGGGACAGTACATCTAAAAGGACGATTCACCACCACAACATTACACCGACAGCGATTTCCCCAACAATATTTCACCAGACCGAGACGAAACAATGAAAACGATCCTAATCGAGAACAGATATCAGATCCCGATTGCTCCGAAATGATGAACATAGCCATTCCCAATCTCAGATCGTGCGATCCTGTAAAATCCCGCTCTAGATAGGCGAATATAGACCACCAGTCACCGCCGGCTGCAGGTAATGCCCCCATGCCTCTGTGACAACCTCACCGGCCTCCTTTTCCTGGCCATCCAGGATTTCCAGCCGACTCTCTACCCAGGCTGCATTGTTCTCCACCTTCGTGACCCTTGCTTTAAGCACGTAGAATGACTCGGTTGGGGCCGCCTTTCGATATTGCACGTTCAATCCAAGGGTAACGGCGACTCGCTTGGGCAGCGCCGCACTAGCGCACCCTGCCATCCCTTCGTCCATGATCGTCGCCAGCGGGCCGCCATGAATCATGCCAGGGTAGCCGGCCAATGCTGCCCCGATGTAGAGGATAAGATAGAATGATGCCCCTCCGGTCTCGTGGAATGCGAGCGGGCGGACCGGAAGTTTATCAGGCCCTAGGAGACTGCCGACGGTAAACATCTCGGACTCCATGGACTTGGGGACGTTCTGGTAGTATCGCGACTCCGATAGGTAGCCCTCTGAGCGGAGGGATTGCGTCAAGGCATGATGCTGCAGCTGGTCTTCGATCGAGCTGCTCGAGGTCATGGTGATAGGCATACTTCAGGAGAGTAATTATACAAGTATAGAATTTGTTTGTGACAGAAGACAACGAGACAATAACCGGACAGGGTGGGATATAAGTGCGCGAGGAGGGTAAAGGGCGTAGTCTAATATGGCTATGCAGCTCTGTCCTATTCAAGTCAGCACTACGTCAGGCCACTGTAAGTTCACCGCCAAACAGTTTATTCAAGAAAAATCACCCGGAGAACTACAAACAGGTGTTCCGAGCTGAAAGAGAGAGGGCGATGACGATCATGACTCTGAGTTTGAGCCAGTCGAGAACCTAACCTACTTGAAGATAACCAGTGGGAGTGAGGGCCCTAGATTAATGTAACGCACCCTTAGGCTTCAGGCCGAGTTTGGTAACTCAGCTGTTAGGCTTGTTATGGTGCCTCCATGGCGCAGCATGATATCAAATTAGGAAATTGGATTATCAGGTTTGGAGTGCCTAGGGATACCGCCACTTCATTCGGCGCCTTTGTATTTGTAATAGGACTCAGGATATATTTGTAGAAAGATGGAGCGCCCAAGGTAAACCCCGAACAATAAACTGGTAATATAAAGGGTGACTTCTTCCCGTTCTTTCGGTGACAGGAGACCAAGTTTGGTATCTACCACGAACAGCTGAATTCTCTTTTATCAGATAGGATTAAGTACACTATGGCACCGGAACACAGCAAGCAGCAGCCAGTTGCCATCGTTGGCATGGCATGTCGCTTGCCTGGCGATGTCACGAACTCGGACAAGCTATGGAATATGCTGTCTGAAGGCCGCGCTGCCTGGTCCCGGTTTCCGGAGAGCCGCTTCCAGGAAGATGCCTTCTTTCACCCGGATAGCAAGAAGAACGGAGCAGTACGTGCTTTCACGACCAATCCCGGGTCCCGAGCTCACATCTTTTTAGTTCCACACTCAGGGAGGCCATTTCCTCGAAGAGGATATCTCACGCTTTGATGCTCCGTTCTTTAATATCAGTCCTGCAGAGGCAAAGGTGAGCTGAAGCCTGACATTTGGGTATACGGGAAAGAGGTTCTAACTCAAGACAGGCCATGGACCCTCAGATTCGACTACTATTAGAATCCGCCTATGAAGCCTTCGAAAGCAGTATGACCTTCAGTCAACCATGACCATTACTCTTCTGACAAGCAAATTCTTAGGTGGCATGACCTTGGATCAACTCCGAGGAACAGATACAGCTGCCTATGTGGCACTCTACAACCGAGATTATGAAAGAATGCTTATGCGCGACCCCGAAGATCTCCCCTTTTACTTCCAGACTGGCAATGGCGAGGCGATGTACTCAAACCGACTCTCCTACTTCTTCGATCTGCACGGACCCTCTTTCACCCTAGACACAGGCTGCAGTGGCGGCCTCGTGGCATTGCACCAGGCGTGCCAAAGCATCCGCAACGGCGAAAGCAGCCAAGCTATTGTTGGAGCGCCGAACCTGATCTTGGATCCAGCAGGCATGATCGGACCTAGCTTACTTCAATTCTATGCACCAGACGGCCGCAGCAAATCTTTCCATGACTGTGCTGATGGATATGGTCGTGGCGAAGGTGTGTGTGCGCTGGTATTGAAGCCCTTATCAGCGGCAATTGCAGATAGCGACCCTATACGGGCTGTCATCAGGAGCTCGGTCATCAACCAGGATGGCCGCACCCCGGGAATCACTGTTCCCAGCGGAGAGGCCCAGAAATCCCTGATACGTGCGGCGTATGCTGCTGCTGGATTGGATCCAGCTGATACTAGCTACGTTGAGACTCACGGCTCGGGCACCGCCGTCGGAGATATGACGGAAAGTCGCTCCATTGGGGACGTCATCGGCAAGGCTAGAGAAGCGCAGGGCCGTGGTCCAGTGATCATGGGCTCTGTTAAAGCCAATATTGGTCATTTGGAAAACACCAGTGGCTTGGCCGGCGTGATCAAAGCCGTGCTTGTTCTAGGCAAGGGGAAAATTCCACAAGCTGTAAACATGGGGCGTCCAAGTCGAGACATCCAATGGGATACTTGGAATGTGGATATCCCAACCGAAGCAAGAGAGCTGGACTGCTCGCAGGTCTCAGTCAATAGCTTCGGGTTCGGTGGCACGAACGTCCATTTGATTCTTGACAGACTGCAAGAGAAGGATCATGCCTGTGCTTTCCCAGAAGACCGATCCGGATCACTCATATTTGTTCTATCGGCGCATTCGAGCCAGTCCGCGCGTCTCAGAGCTGAGCAGTTACGGGAATATCTAGAGCAAGCGGAGCCAAGCAGAGAAGGACACTTCCTCAATTCTCTGGCCTATACGCTCTGCACTCGTCGTTCGCTCTTTTCCTGGAGAGCTGCTGTCGTAGCTAGCTCGGCGTCTCAACTCCGTGAGCGCCTGCGCTCTATCAACTATTCGCATCATAAAGAGCCACCTCGGATCGGCTTCGTCTTTACCGGCCAAGGGGCTCAGTGGGCTACTATGGGCAAAGATCTTTGGGACAACAGCGCAGTTTTCCGTGAGTCCATTGCAGCTGCAGAGAAATGCCTCAACGATCTTGGAGTCCACTGGAAGCTCACAGACGAGCTGTGGAAGTCCGCCAACGAGACCGGACTCAATAGTGCGATTATTGCGCAGCCAGCATGCACAGTTATCCAACTGGCATTAGTTGACCTCCTGGCTTCCTGGAACATCTACCCTAACGCTGTGACCGGCCACTCAAGTGGCGAGATTGCTGCTGCGTATGCATGCAAGGCCATATCATTCCGCGACGCGGTTCTTGCTGCGTACGCGCGAGGCTGTGCAGCAGGCCAGATTGCTGCGGATAACAGCGTCAGGGGTGCGATGATTGCTGTTGGTTTAGGACCGCACGACGTGCAGCCGTATATCACTGCTTCTTCTGGAGGCGACGGCCTTGCTGCAGTTGCTTGCATCAATAGTCCGGAAGCGGTCACAGTCTCCGGCGATAAGACCGCTATTGACACATTGGAAACGAAACTGCAAGAAGACGGCATCTTTTCTCGCCGACTACCAGTAGATGTAGCCTATCATTCGTACCACATGCTGCGCATTACAGGTCAATACCACGATGCTCTTGCTACCATGGAACCGGCACGTTCCAATCCGGCTATCTCGTTTTGTTCCAGTGTGACTGGGAAAGTGGCTGATGGAACCGAGCTGGGTCCCCAGTACTGGGTACATAATCTGGTCTCGCCTGTTCTTTTCTCTACTGCACTAGAGAAGCTGGTATCCTCGACCTCACCTCACGTTTTGATTGAGATCGGTCCACATGCAGCATTGAAGGGTCCAGTCAAGCAGACCCTTAAGACTGGATCGATAGAGGTCTCGTATACTTCAACTCTGCTCCGCCATAAGCGTGCAGATGAATGCATGACCGAGCTCGCTGCCGAACTCTTGTCTCGGGGTGCGGAAATCGATATTGACAAGGTAAATTCAATGTCTAATTCTACGCAACACCGTGCATGCCTTGAGGACCTTCCCACTTATCCATGGAATCATTCGTCGGCTTTCTGGCATGAGAGTCGCCTGAGCCGTAACTATAAAAACCGAACAGGACCACCGTACAATCTCCTTGGAGTACTCAGCCCGGAGTCGAGCTGGCTGGAACCTCAATGGCGGAACCATATCAGCCTCACTTTACATCCGTGGCTGGCGGGCCATAGGATTCAAGGGGATGTAGTCTTCCCTGCAGCGGCCTTCCTGACGATGGCTATTGAAGCAGGCTTCAAGATGGCAATGCAACAGCTCGGGGAGCGCCAGCCTCGGCCGGAGGGCTCTGTCGAACTAAGCCAGGTTTCGATCAGCAACAGGCTGATTATTCCAAGCTCCGGATCTGTTGAAATCATATTCATCCTACGACCAGCCACCGAGCTCGGCGGACGAGACCTCGCGCGTCGCCAGGAGTTCGTCATCTACTCCTGCTCCGACGCAGTGAACGTGGCAGAACACTGCCGTGGATTCGTGAAAGTTGCCTTCGATGACACCAAGTCATCGACAACCCTATTGGAAAGCCAATTCGATAAAGCCACACTCCCCCCAGTTCGCCTAGGCGGATGGTATAACGGCCTGAAGCAAGTTGGCATCGAGTATAACGATCTATTTCAGGGACTGGCCACCGCACATGCAGGACGTGGGTATTCCAGCGCCACAATCACGTCTTTTCCACCTGCCGAATATAGTGCCAGCCTTCACCCTGCCACCTTGGATTTGTGCTTGCAGACAATGCTTGTGGCAATAGACGCTACGGACTCTATCCGGGGTCCTATCATGCCAACATCAATACAAAGAGCCTGTGTGAGCGTGGGTCGCCCAACCAGTAGTGAAAACTGCATGCGGGTTTCTTCGAAGGTGACGAAGCTTTCCGAGCAAAAGCTTTTGGCCGATATCCAGGGCACCAGGTCCGATGAAAGTGGAGAAAATGCAACACTGGCCCTCTCATTACAAGGCTTGGAGGCCACGTCACTGAGCCTTCCGTTTGATCAGGGCGAGCAGGATCTTGACCAGGTGAAGGCGTGTCAAAAGCTTGCTATGATGCTTGACCCAGACTACCTGAGCAACGAATCGGTCAATGAGATCTGCAATGGACCCCTGCCTTCTGTCTCCGTACAAGTCAAGCTAACAAACCTGCGTGATGCATGCCGCATCTACGCGCAAGCGACCATGAAGGAAATTTCCGATGATGATTTGCAGCGCATGACGCCTTTTAGAAAGGAGTACATGGGCTGGTTGCAAAGGCAAGCTGATCTATGTCCACGTGATGTTTCAGCGGATCTTCTGAAACAGCTGAAAACATCGGACGCAGAAGGGCAGATGGTCTGTCGCGTGGGAGATAGTCTGACAGCTATCCTCAAGGGCTTACAAGACCCTCTTTCTCTGATGGTCGAGGACAACCTTCTCTATCGCCTGTATGAGGACGACCACAGCATGCAAAGATGTGCCATTCAAGCTGCAGAATACTCCCGCTTGTTGGCCTTGAAGTCCCCCGGGCTGCGTATCCTCGAGATTGGTGCCGGGACTGGAGGAGCCACCCTTCCTGTACTGGAAGCTCTGAACAGGTCGGGCCAGGCTCTGTGCTCTCATTATCGTTTTACCGATATCTCTGTGGGTTTCTTTGGCAATGTTGAGAAGAAGCTAGAAAGGTGGCAAAGGCTTGTTCAATACCAGAAGCTGGACATTGAGAAGGATCCTGGCCAACAAGGATTCGAGCCAGCGGACTTTGACCTTGTGATCGCAGCTAACGTTCTTCACGCTACCACTTATATTGATAAAACCGTCCAACATGTCCGGCAATTACTGAAGCCGGGAGGAAAGTTACTACTCCTCGAGAGCACACAGCCGACTGTCCACCGCTCATTTGTCTTCGGTCCGCTCCCTGGTTGGTGGTTAGGAGCCACGCAGCGCAACAAGGACAGCCCATTGCTGAACGAACAAGAATGGGACCAAACGCTTCGAACCCTGGGATTCAGCGGTCTAGACTCGATCCTACATTCATATCCAGACGTGGAAGATCAAACTGATAGTCTGATTATTTCTACGGCCAAGCCCAAGGACACCCATTCAATTAATGAGGCTACATTGGCCTTGGTGTTGACACATGATCAGTTATTAAATCAGGGTCAGGGTCTAGAATACCAGGTTGCCCAACACATTTCTTCCAATCTGTCTATCAATATAGATATTCTCTCACTTGGAGACAACCGATTACATGACCGAACGTGCATCATGTTGACCGATTTGGACGGGCCGTTGCTCAGCAATTTGGAGCAGACGTTCTTCAAGCAATTGAAACACACCCTAAAGACAGCCCGTGAAGTCATTTGGGTGACACAAGGAGCGACAGACCAAAGCCAAAACCCAATGTCGAATTTAGTACCAGGGCTGGCACGGGTGCTGAGAAATGAGAACCCTCATGTTCCGATCGTTACCATTGACCTGGATCCAGAATATCAGACACAACCCCAGGAGATGGCAATAAAGGTTTCGACCTTTGTGGGACAATATACTGCCAATCCACGAAAGGGTAGCATGGAATGGTGCGAACGCAAAGGGAATTGGTTTGTTCCTCGTTTGGTTGAGGACACAGCCACGACCCAATTTGTTCGTTCTCACTCTGTGACTTGTCCGCCTAATGTGGCTCAACTAGAACCATTTTACCAAGAGAGCCGACCTTTACGTCTAAGTGCGAGGAATACAGCAGGCTTGCAGGGAATATCATTTACTGATAATCCTGGTCTCGACGAACCTCTTTCTCGGGACGAACTTCAGATTGAGGTCAAGGCCTCTGGGGTCAACTTCCGGGACATCATGGTGTCTTTAGGACAGATGCCGGATGAAGATGTTGCAGAAGTCGCTGGCATTGTTACAAAGGCTGGGCGAGACTCGCAGCTCGAATTCTCGCCAGGGGATAGGGTTTACACATGGCACGTGCCTCGATTTGCCAGCCACCTCCGGTGTTTCTCGTCTAACGTCCAGCGCATTCCGGCGGGTGTCTCCTTTGAACAGGCAGCATCTATCCCTATTATATACTGCACGGCTTATCATTGCCTTATTACAGTGGCGCAAGTGCGTCCTGGTGACACGATATTGATACACTCTGGTGCCGGAGGAGTCGGTCAGGCAGCCATTATTCTTGCGCTGTATCTGGGAGCAACGGTCTTCACGACTGTTGGCACAGATAAGAAGAAACAGCTGCTCATCGATCATTATAGCCTCCCTGAGTCTCATATCTTCTCCAGCAGGTCGACTAGATTCGTCAGCCAGATCCATGCAGCGACTAAAGGTCGAGGCGTGGATGTCGTCCTGAATGCTCTATCAGGTGCTTTCTTGCAGAGCTCTCTCGATGTATTGGCTCCACTTGGTCGATTTGTAGAGATTGGCAAAAGCGATATCCTTGCTCATGCTCGCCTTGATATGAGCACCTTTTCACGCTCAATAACCATCTCGGCCGTGGATCTCGTTCAGCTGATGCGAGAAAAGCCGCAATACATGGCAGATGTCTTTGCTCGAGTGCACGAGATGCTAGCTGGGCATCAGATCAGGCCTGCGCATCCTCTCACGGCTTTCCCGATTTCAGAGCTAGAGCAGGTCTTCCGGACAATGCAGAAAGGGCAGAATGTGGGTAAGCTGGTTGTCACACATGGTCGCGAGGATACGGTCAAGGTTATACCACGGGTGTCTCCTGTAGTCCGATTGCGACCAGACGCTACCTACCTCGTCATCGGTGGCCAGGGTGGCCTTGGGCGGGCACTCATTGTTTGGATGGCAAAGTGCGGTGCTCGGTGCATCGTTTCTTTGTCTCCTTCGGGTGCTGAGAAACCTCTCACGCGTGGTCTCATTGAGGAGCTGGCAGAGATGAGGGTGGAATTTCACGCGATCTCATGTGACATTGGGGATCGCCATCACCTCCAGACTGTTTTGGCCGAAACTATGAAGGGTCTACCTCCTATTCACGGCATCATTCATAGTGGGCTGACGCTCAAGGTAGTTAACCAGACCAGATGCAAACGATATATGTCTCGGTGTGCTGACTTGGTTACAGGACTCCAGTTTCGACAATATGACACTCCAATCTTTCCAGCAGGTGCTACAGCCTAAGGTGGTGGGCACTTACAATCTTCATGAGTGCCTTCAGGACCAGCCGCTCGACTTCTTCATCATGCTTTCATCCTATGTTGGGTTGCTCGGCAGCACCGGACAGGCTAATTATGCCGCAGCGTCCACCTTCCAAGATGCCTTTGCGCGCTGGCGGACGAGTCTCGGAAAGCCCACATATTCACTTGATCTGGGAACTGTTCGAGGCGCTGGATACCTTCATGAGAACCCTGAAGCGTTGTCCCACTTTGAGAAGATGGGTCTCGGTGGAATTCCCCTCTCTGCGCTACACGCTCTTGTTGGCTACACCATGTCCAATCCTCCACCTCATTATTCTGACAGCCAGATTTCCATCGGATGGGCACCACCGACTACATGGACCCCAGCCCAATACGCTGCCCTGGATCCTCTTGTGTCGCACCTGTGTTTATCACCGGCGGACCCAATCGACAAGGACTCACGCAGGGATTCTGGCATATCTATGCCAGACTCCCAACCTCTTTCTCAAGTTCTGTCCCAGTGTCAGACCCCGAAGGAGCGAACCTCTGTCATTATTGAAGCACTGACGGCCCAGATTGTCGGCATCCTCGGAGTCGCAGCAGAGGATGTCAATTCCGGGAAATCGATTGGAGATCATGGAGGTGACTCACTGGTAGCCATTGAATTCCGCAACTGGTTCCGCAAGGAGATCGGTTGTACGTTTACCACGGACCAGGTGACGAACCAGCTTTCGGTGCAGCAACTGGCCGTTCAAGCTGCTAGTTGAGTGGTATTGCCATTGGTTATATTTTACAGACTGCTTGTTGTTTCTTTCTCTGTCTTTCTGTTTAGCATCAAAAGGGTGAAGTCCGACAAGGGGAGAGATTCAGAACCTGTTTGGTAAATAGACAGAAATGAAGTCTACTCAACCTGCGCAAATATCTGGACTACCAGCCTATGTAATCATACAGTGCCCAGTGGTTGAGAGATCTCACGTATGGTGTTTCCTAGTAATCAGTCAAGCACTCCGGGTCCCGGTACATGCGCAGACTCCGCCGGAAACCCATGCCAGCAAGAACATTGAAGGATTTATGGGATGGCGAAGTGATTCTTATTTTATTTTGATCAGATATTAGCCTTTCCGGCCATAGTACAGAAATAATACGAGAGGGACTAGAGGGTGTTGTTATGGACGCGAATATGCACCCGATATGGTCGAAGAATGGCTGGCTTTAATAGACTGTTATTTCACGTTAGGTCTCTGAATTTATAAAGCTACAGATGCCGAGCTACTAGCGACAGGGGTCTAGATCGGGGCCTACCCCTAGATAATGGATCTCATTGTTTGCCTTGCATATTCTTTAGTGTCTAATCTTGTTTACTTCTTTAATTCCTTTATTATATTTTCTTCCGTGAACCTCAAGTAAAATGGAACATTCGTCCTATCGAATATTTATTATATGATCTGGATTTCTTTTAGAATAGACTGCCTGTACTTGTGCGTCAAAAGTTGACCTCTAATGCTGGAAACGCAACTCGCTAACGTCTCAGTCACACCCACCATTAATTATCCACCGGCTTCACTCGTATCATCAACTGATCATTCCGATCCCCCGGCCTAGTTACAATACTTCCTCTCACCGTGACCGGCTCCTCAGGATGGGCCAATCCTATCTCAAACGTCGTCACCAGAGCAGCCACCATCGCCCGAAGCTGCGCCCTGGCATATCCCGACCCCATTCAATTACGTGGTCCATGCATGAAAGATAGCATGGCGTAGCTGCTCTCTGCCCCGCCTGTTTTGTTAAGTTCGCCCGTTGTCTTGTCGATCCAGCGGCCTGGTCTGAATTCGTTTGCGGTGGGCCCCCATAGGTGTGGCGCGCGGTTGATGGCGCATGGGGCCAGCATTACTCTTGTTCCTTTGGGGACGGGTTAATCAAGGATGGAGGTGTCTTGTGCTGCTACGCGAGGGCTGAGTGGGATGGAGGGATAGAAGCGGATAGTTTCGCTACAGACAGCGTCGAGAAGAGGGTTCTGTAGCTCTGACTCCACTCTGACCAAAGAACAGTTTAGCCTAATGCCAATCGGTAAAACTCCTCGCCCTATACTTGTGCATTCACCCGCTTTCCCTCCGCAGAAAGAAGTTGCTGTCAACAAGAACTGGCACTATGTCAACCGTATGTGACCGCTAGTCACATAGGAGACCTTCCTATTCCGGATATCGGTATTGGTAACTACCGATCCCCGAGGATTATGCAGAGTTTTCTGTTATTTCTATGGTTCAAAAGTTATGTCTTTTCTAACTGCCTTTTTAGGCTAGATTGCTTATTATTCTTCATGTATTTAAACTATCGTTTGCAGCTAGATTGAAAGAACAAGACCTTCATCATTCGATATTCCTAAGTGTACATTATGTTGTATAATCTGTTAGGACTGGGGATATTCGGGGAGGCCTTTCCTTTGGCGCGTGGATAATGGCGCATACAGCGGTGTTTCTAGCGTATCTGCAATTGACGTAGTGAGCAAGTGGTTTGGAAGCTCTTCATCGCTCTTTGTACTATGTCGTTGTGTATGAATTGGAGCTTGTGAGCAATGACAACGGACATGCAGGCTTGCCGATACTTCATCGAGGCGGAATATGATCGCCCTTATCAATGTTTTTTTCCCAAGTAGCGTAGCCAAACTAAGAGACTCACCTTCAACGTGAGCGATATACCGGTATTGACAATGATCCTCCATCGTCATGAAATTCTCTCTGCGATGCCAACCTAGCTCCTTGACATCGTCCCAGGGTTGATCTCTCGCGGCCTCCAGCAGTCCTCGACGCATCTTCGCCGCAAAGCTCAACTTTCTTCTCCACACCAACTTCGGCTTCTTTTCGTCCCACGGATACTCGTCCTTCTCTCGGCGCACGATGCGATCCACCACTGCGTTATACGGCCCAATCGGCCTGTCTGTGTGGTCGTTGTTCCACGACCAGAAGCCAAAGTCCGGCATCAGCCACACTGACTCCTCGTCTGGTTTGCGGGCAAGAATCCAAAGAGGATGCTGCGGTCCAGCCACATCGTCCAGCTTGTCCTCGACAGAGAATACAAACTCCGTTGATGCGATTGTCACGCCGGGGTTGGTCACTAACGCCCGATGAATAGAGCTCAACACTCCTAGGATCTTCCGTCGGTGGTCGTCGTTGTGCGCTCGTGTAGCCTTCACGTATAGGTATTCGTCGACGATGGCGGCCCGCGCCATACTATTGACGAACTCGATGTTGTCCAGGTCCTTCATGGTGATTTCGCCTCAACCATCCCATACTCCTTGAGCGCGGTAGATGTCTTCGAACAGGCCTGGGAAGAAGTTCTGGAATTGCGCGTCGCTGAGGAGAGATTATGCGCGTCGTAGATCGGGTTATATTGACGAGTCTCGGTTAGGGAAGTCTCTGCCTCGGCAGGGCAGTGAAGGCAGGTGTCGCATTTAAAATCCGGCGCCGTTTCGCAGGCGCAGTGACCAGCCGGGATCAAATGATTCAGTATACTAAAACACTGTTTATTAACAGTAAAAAATTCAAATGAATCATCATTTTATCCGGTAGCCGCAAATAATCAGCACTACGTCTTAATTTTGAATCTTATTGTTGGAACAATATTGTCAACTAGGCCAGAGAGGTGGAGTATCCTGACCTAATCCACATACCGCACAGCACCTTGCTTGGCCTAGACTTGGCCTACCATTCCAAATGGCATACCAAGGGATCAGGAATGCATAGGTGTAAACAAGTGGAACTATAAATAGCTAGGCAGATTGTAGTTTAGAAATGACACTTCACTTTTACCCACCGAGCATATACCTACATTCCGTTGAATCGATAGGATATCTGCTTAGGGCAATGACCAAGTCAACCGACACTTATTCTTTTACTTGGTTTTATTGATCCTTAGCATTATGTATCTTGATGGAGAAACATTGACATGTCATTCTACGCGGTAGGCATCCAAGATCGAAACTCAGAAAATGCCTATAATAGGCTAGCGCTATTTGGTGATCCGAGGATTTCCTGAGTCCTGACTCTTGGGATATCCAGGGCTGTTCCTATGAATATTTGGGCTTGTGCTGTCTTTCGATGGAGAAGATCCACAAAAATGATTGCCAAGTTGGTGTAACGCGGTAAGTACTGCATTTTCCTACTTAGGAAACGGCCGTAGGCATCAGAAGGAATAATAATTTCACTTATTCGTCATTTTCGTGATGGCAGTGCCGGGTTTTGGGGGAGTGTGGCGGGCAAAAGTAGACTAGAAATGGAAAAACGGGCAAGGGGGAGATCGCTAGTTGGGGTGCAGTTTATTGAGTTTACTCGCTCAGGGCACTCAGTCTTCCGCTTACTCTATACTCAGTCATCGCCTCAGGCTGCTCAAATCGTGCTCAGTGAGCAAAAAGCGGCGAGCGAGGGGTGAGCACAAAAACGGAAAGGGAAAGCCATCGGTCTGGCTAGAAAATCAAGTACAAATGAAATTGAGACATACCGGATGCTTCGGTCAAAGAAACTTCATCCCTAGTAAGCACCTGATCCCGAATGGGCACGTCCCAAAATAATTAGGTCTCATCACAATGCCTGTAGTCTATGTCTAACATCCAGACCACTTCCTTGAAGTCGCTTAAGGTGGATGCTTGAAGAACTTGTCCGGTCGCCTTGACCTCTTTTTTTACCTCCTGGGCAATATATCTTCATTGTCCTTGCAAAGTCTCTTCAGCTGATTGGGAACATCTAATATATCACTAATAGCTTTCGAAATTGACAGAATCGAGATAATACAAGACTCTGTCGAGAGTTTGACGTTCCCACGTTGAGGTCCCGGAAGCCATTTTACCACTGACAGGGCCTGAAAAGGGTTTTTGGAGAAGAAATAGATCAAATCAAAATTCTTGCGTTAGAAGGGAATGGTACTCCGGTTGATTCACTTTCGCCGAGGATGGGGCGATTCAGTTCGGGAGAGAGGAGAATAGTTTACAATGACCACTTGTACCTCGTGCTTGCACGCATTCAGCCTGTGAGCGGTCAGACGGACACAGCATCCGGATCGATATATCCTGATCGACAAGAGTACGGAATGCTGAAGATAACGAAGAAATAGAGAACAATGTATGCGCCTTATCTCTCAATTGCTCTATCTAGACAGCCCACCTGTTTAAGATCATAGCTCATTATGCGCAGAAACCACCTAGCAAAACACTTAAAACCGATCCAGCCCACCCGCAGAGACTATGATACGATCCTAAACAACACAATTAGCGTCCTTTGACCCAACCACATGAAGAGCCACATAGACAACTTACCAACACCCACATCGGCAAGAATCCCGAGCACCAATACGCGATTGAGGCCATCTTCCCCTCCCAAGTCAACCCCGTCACGCCACCGAGTACACTATCCGCGACGTTGCGTGCAAACACCGCCCGCGGCATGGCTCCTTCAGTCATTGACCCAGCTGCCTGGTCTTGAAGCACCTTCTCTGCAGGCTTCCAGGGCGAGGAGTCAGAGAGGTTCGCTTCGGGGTGGTTCTCGAAGATATTCGTGACGACGACGCCGGCCATCACGGTAATCACTTTTACACCGAGAGGAGCCAGCTCGAGACGGAGTGTTTCGCTGTATGAACGGACGGCGGCTTTGGAAGAGTTGTAGAATGCTGTGAACACATAGTTAGAGACGGTCAAATTTATCGAGGTGGAGAGTTGAATGCGCGCGAGGAATGAATCTTAGGAAAAGGAACGGAGGAAGTAAAGAAGACGAAACCTACCACCCCAAGCAACATGCAACACCGCGGCAATAGAGCAGACGTTGGTGATGGTTCCCTTGGACGCAATGACCAGCGGCGAGAAGGCGTTCGTGACGCGGACAGTGCCCCAGAAGTTGACATCGTGGACGGCCTTTGCGCGCTCAATGGGCGTCTCTAAGGCGGGTTGAATGCAGGATTGTCCGGAGTTATTGATCAGGTAGTCGAGTTTGCCACCCGTTTGGGCAGTGACGGCTTCAACGACCGCGTCGATACTGGACTGCGACAGAACATCGAGCTGTAGGAGAGTCACATTGGGAAGTTTTTCGATCTGCGACATCTTCGAGAGTGTGCGCGCGGTCGCGAAAACGTGGAGACCACGCTCGTGGAACGTTTCGACTAGCGCCGATCCGATGCCACCGTTGCTGCAGCCTGTGATGAGGACGGTCTTGAGTGGAGGTTTGTTTGAGTCAGTCATTGTGGAGGGGATCGGTGCGCGCAGCGAGTGTAGAGAGGCGAGAGTGAGTGATTGAAGAAGATCCGCGGATGCATGAAAATAAAAAAGGAGCAGGGGAGGAAGGCGTTGATGTCATCTTCGCCTTTCCACAACAGGACAAGGGCCAGGCCACTAGCAGGAGCACTGGTGTATGTATTTCATAGTATGCACGGAGTAGCCTGCATAGCACCGTTCCCCGTGCTTGTCAGCATTCAGCAATTAGTTATACAACGGAATTGTCATCTCCACTTTTTGCCTGACATGAATCCCTCGTTCCTCTTGGCTGCCACCGGAGCCTAGGCTCGGCACGGATTTCAAGTTGGCCCCCAACGAGCGGAGGAGCTACCTTCAAATAAGTGGATCCAACGGATTTATTCATTTCGATTCCGCAGGAAATCGGGAGTCTTTGGTCAGACTCCGCTTCCCTAGGAGTCGGGCCATGGACATTGGACCGACGGAGTGCGGCGAAATTAAAATGGCCGGTAAGCAATCACCTGTTTGTTCTTGAATCATGACTTAGGTATTTCACTATGAAGTACGTGACAGTTTCTAGTTCCTGAATATCCTCTCTTGACTCTCGCTCGCCAAACTCTCCACATCGTCTCGCCCCTTCCCGATTATCTTCGATGTCCATCGTTTCTGGTCGCGAAGGTGGAACCCAGAGTTCCCGTTCGCGTTGCCCCCTGTCAGCTCTTTACTCTCGCTCTTATCGGAGCTGAATCCCGGAATCCTTCTCAGTAAGATGCGCAAGGAGGGGAGGGAGCCTGTGGTCAGTGCCAGTCCAAATTCGACATTCATCCAGATCAGCGGGGTGGCCCCGGAGTCTGCGAGAAAGAGGATGTGCATTAGTAGGAATGCAGATGGCAGAATGCAGATGGCAGAAGAGTTGGATGCATACAGGTAAAGTCAGTGTCGTCTTTCTGGTATACCAGGGTTGGCAGCCGTGCGAGACCAGCAACGCATGCCACAAGACCTAGATGGGTTCCTTGTTAATCCATTTACTCTAGAAAATCTAGATGCGATAAAATATTACTCACCCAGAGCAAATAACCCAATAATAGTCAACCGTCGTTTCAGCGGCATTTGAAGCTTCCAGATAGTCGGGATCGGAAGCGCGAAGATGGCAAGATCTACGGCGAACATGAGGACGCCTTGGTACATCTCGATATCGAACATCGTGTCGGATGGAAAGCATTTATAATTCGGGACCGTCTTGTCGTATGCCGCACTAACGGGGGAGCACTGCAGAATCAACGGCAGCTCTCCTGAAATCGTCAATAAGACTAAGAACCCGACGATAGTGAGGCCGAGCCAGCGGATGAGTTTTGTCGGGAATGCGCGCATGATGAAGACGAGTAGGCTGATTTTGACGGCCGATGCGACGAAGAGGTAGGTGCAGAGAGAGATATAGATGGCCTAGACAACGAGGTAGTCAGAATAAAACGATTCTTTAATTCGGTGAGATCGTCTTACATATTGCATCGTGGGTAGTTGGTCCTCGGGCACCGTGTCCATGTGCCGTCCGATGCCGAAGAACGTGAGATAGATTGAAAGGGCAGCAAATAGCAGGACAAGAATCTATAACGTTATATTAGATCCCATTGAAGAAAGCTCGCCCTGAAGCCACTTACCAGGGCCAAGATAACAAGGCAGTCATCAAGTCCGAACGCACGGGTGATAAACTTGCGCAGATACAGCTAGATGAGCTGATATCAGCATTGCTTCATTCGAACTGCCAGGTTGAATCAAATTTGGAATAATCATACCCTCAAACTGCACACGAGCAAAGTGAGAATCGCCACCGTCGCAACGACTGCTCGCACAGTAGTCACCATGGGAGGAGCCATCTTGTCTGAAGACTGTCAAGCTCCTTTCATCCGTAATGACCGCTGAAGAAGCGAATATCAATGAGCTACGATATCAATGAACTCGCGCCTGAAGAAGACAGAACAAGATCAAGCAGCCGGGGATAGATTGAAAAGGAGGATAATTCAATCCTCCCATCGCGCAAGGCACAGGCCGACGGTGGGTTGACACTTGACACTGTTGATAGGCATAAGCGCAGGGCAAGAAAACGGTCCGTCCAAGCAACCGTCGCCCTTAGTGCAGTCGACTGTCGCGAAGATACAGGAAATCTGATCCTGGCGCTCGCACGAATAATGATGAAAAGCGGGTCTACACTGAGGAATTGTCAACACCGGGTGGACTCAACTCGGGCCACTCCGCCCCCAAAACACACCAAACTAAGGGTTAGTAGCGGTGGAGCCGAGAAGCTCGTTTGCTCACAGCATTGGTGGGCCGAATACTCCGTCACCTGGATCTGCCTTGTTTTTCAATTTGGAGAGGGTTGATCTTTTTTATTTGGTGGAGCACGGAGCAATGCCGCAATCATAACCAGATGGCGATGTGTCTGCCCCGTAGTCACCCCAGCTTATCGTCTCGGTATTAATCTATTCATAAGATCATTCTCTTGTTCTTTCATGTACTCACGAACAAAGTTTGTCAACAGGAACAACAGACCAACCAAGGGGTAGTGCAGGGATCTATACAGTGCCGAATCTCGGCATTTCCTACAAGAATTTCTGGATTCTGAAACTGTAGGAGATCTTCTCATACTGAGTAAGATTCTCTAGCACTAGCTACGCTCCTACAAAATCTCTACCATAAAAGAGAAGCGTGTTACCGAATATAACCCCCCTGCATGAGGGATTCGAATGATCATAGGGAATCCCCCTTGCAACATTTTCCTCGTCATGAACTCGATATATTCCGTTATCTCATTGTGTCTGTAGCCATACGAATGGAACTATCAATCTCCTAGGAAGAAAGACCGCTTTCTTCGAACAGCGAAGCGGAGGAAGGATTTTGGTAAAAATGTGCGAAACTGGGAGAGATGAAGATGGTAAGATTGATTCCCCCTTCTTGATCATAGAAAATATAGCTACTACGGCCGTATAATTCGTATTTCAAATTAGCAACATCACCAGAGTATTCACAAGGAAGATGGCACGGATGGCTAGGCTACGGATATGAAGATGTCTCCAGGGCATATACCGCCGAGTGAATTGTTCAGACGATGAATTTCCATGATCTCATATGGACTCGATTAATCTATATTAACTAATATCTAATATCTAAAAAAAAGAAATCTAAAAACCCGCAAAACCGACAGAACAAATAATACATTCAAGATCTCGGCCCTTCATATTCAATCTTAAGCCTTCGTTGCCTTCTCCTCGTCATCACTGAAAGCGAACTTCGAGAACCGGCGAATCGATTCACCCTTGAAGTAGAAAACGAAGGGAATGGCACAGCAAGCCAGCGCAATAAAGGCGAGCAACGAGCTGGCCCACTGGTATCCCAATCTGTCGTACATCTGCTCGGTGAATAGAACCGTAGACGCACCCCACATGGAACGAAGGAAAGTCTTCGCCGCAAGGGCGGAAGCAGCTTGGTGTTGATATGTGTCCACTGATTCACGTTAGTTTTACTATTCACAAAAAAAAAGAGTGTGGGACGAGGAAACCTACCTAGATAGTTGTTCGCAGAGTTATACAAGAAAATGAACCCGAATCCGACAGGCCAGCCACCGATTGCGGGTCCGAACCAGTGCAGGCGCGGGTAGGATGTCCAGGCGAAGATGAACAGACCGATAGGGATCAGCCAGCAGGAAAACATCATCGGGATCAAGCGCATCTCGGCGGGCGGTTTGCCGTTGTACTGTTTGTAGATTCCAAGGTAGTGCTTGTTAACCAAGGGGGCGCAGGCGGCGCTCATGAGGACGCCGATGGCGAGAGGGATGAACATGAGGCCTGTAGAGCCGGCGCTCCATTCTTTGCCAGATTGGTAGACGATGGGGTAGCTAGTGGGATTGTTAGTGCTATGCGTCTGGAAAAGAGGTGTATAGAAAAACGTACGCGACAAAGAACATGTACAGCAGACCGTAGAGGACGGACATATAAATAGCGATGAACAGGACAATAGGCTCCAAGAACAAGAGCTGGAATGGTCGAAGCAGAACAATCCGCAGCTTCTGACCAATAGGCAAAGGGTCGATCTCAGTCTCCGTGACGTATTTCAGGTCATTCTCCGCTTTCCTGAGCTTCTTAGCTCGCTTCTTCAAGATCGTTGGGCCGTAGGTTTCCGGGACGGTAAATGTGATGAGGATCCAAGCCACGAAGGCAAGGATAAGCTGCAGCCAGTAGAGCCATCTCCATCCAGACGCATCGAACAGGTAACCTCCAGCAAGGGGTCCAATGGCAGGTCCCAGGAAGGGACTCGCAGAGAAAGCAGCCATGGGAACACCTCGCTCCTCGCTTTTCCACAGGTCCGCTAGGGTACCACCGACGAGGGTCATAGGGGCACTGAACGCGATTCCATCAATGGCTCTGCAGACGATAAGGGTCCCGATATTCTTAGACACGGCGCAAGGAATCACGAAGATGACGGCAATCAGGAGAGTCACAGCGTAGACAGGTCGACGGCCGAACATTTCGGACATGGGGGCGAATGCCATCGGGCCTAAGCACAGTTAGCTCGTGTATTCTGCAAGACATAGCAAGAAAACTTACCAACTCCGAAGCCAATAACAAATACAGTCACGACAACAAGACTCACTTCGCGGGCGACCCCAAACGACTCCATGGGACCCTCCAGACCGGCTGTGATAACGCTACTGGCAAAAGCAACGACGAAGCATGTGAAGGACACAACCATGGTACAGTACCATTTGAAGGCCTTGGACCAGTTCTTAGGGTTTTCGGGATCGTCGATCGTGAATGTGACCAGCTTCCAGTCCTCTATCTTTCCAGTAGCCGAGGAGCGAATCGGTTTGATGATCTCCCCAGCGGCAGTTTCACGGGTATACTCTTCAAGGTTGGCATTGGTGGTGATTTGGTCGAGTGGTAGGTCCAGAGGATTGGTTTGGCCTGGCCCCAAACCAACAGACAAGGTCCGGGCGGCCTCGGTCGATTGGTCTGTGTGATGTGGTGCCTGCATGTTGTACTTGATACAGACAGGGCAAGGTGGATTGAACCGATTGATAGTACTGACTAGGGAATCCCTTTTTTCGAAACAGGGGCCTCCACCCATTCTTATACTTGATCATTCTCATTCTTAAAACCGGATCCACGGTCACCAATGGCCACTCGGCAGGCGAACGATCAGAGTTTGTTTGCGATATGGAAATTGAAGCATGGCAGGAATGGCTTCGGGCCGTTCTTGGCGCAATCCTCACCATATTGCCTGATTGGGGTGTGGCGCTAGCCGTAACAGGCAATATGCCACGACAGCCTTACAGTGCTCTGATACGGACTACGGAATACTTCCAGAGACATGAGTTGACGGGCTACTTGAATTACTCCCCTAGGACTGTTGAGATATGTCATAGGCCTTTGGTCCTCTTATGGAGTACTCTGTAGCAATATGGTTGTGGATTTTGTCTCAGAAAACTCGCTCGGATTGCTGCCGGGTGGTCCACGTGGTTAATGTATGGGTCTCTCAAATGAACGGGGTATATTCTAATCAAGTACGGAGTAGATAGAATGAATGTTCATGCGTTCCATCAGCTACGGTGTAAGCAACTGTGCTGGATGAGATCGAAAATGTAATATTGTACAAGAATGTGGTATGCGATGTCAAGTATGACCATTCTTCTCCATGCGAACAGATAGATCTTTAAACCAAGTGGATTATGGGCATTGATGCCGCAAACCTTATAGGTGTCATGGCTATGATTAATGATTATCCCTACTTCTGGGTGAACGAGCCGGCCTCGTGGAGGAGCAGGACCGTGCCTTGCCCAGACTCTTGGCGCTGGAAAGCCGGCTGCCGGGGGGTATTACCGGAGACGGAATAGCTCTCGAGACAAATAGCTTTTCTAGGGATGCGCGCTATCCCGTATTTGGGTATAACCTACGAAGTGCTGGCCAGATTACGGATACATTATTCCCTTTTTTTTTTTTATAGCGAATAGGCAGCTAAATATTTGGGGGGCCGAAAAATCACCTAATCTAATCTTATCTCTTCGGAAACTAAAATTCTAGACCTTCAAGTTCGTAGTCTTGCGGGACAATGGACTGATCTCGGAGAAGCATTCGAGTAATCAACAACTAGTTCTTCATTGAAATCACATATAGACCTTAGTGCACTCCGGACTGTACTACGTAGCTACCTGTCGGCCTTTCCAATATCTTATTCCTTTATGTATACTCTACAGTCGCCTTCAGTGACCACTTATTCCGGCGTATGATTGATTGACCTCGAAGACAGTCAATATTTCTGAGTGTTTGAAAGAATGGTGAAATAACCGCCTTCGTAGATAAGTATTAAGTATCACACTAGCCACTGAGATTGCAATTATTACTGATCAAGGACTGTGTGATGCTATTATGATCTTGTCAGTCCTTTAGCAAACTCTGTACTCCGTAATTCGATAGAAATGGCATGCGGAGCGAATACGAAGCCTCAGGCATGGAAGAAATGGACTAACCCAAAGAGGACATCCATACGGAATACGAACCAGCGGAGGGCGATCATCGTAAACTAGGTGTCAACTTTTCGAGGTGCTGGCTGGCCGACATAGTGTAAACCTTTTTTTTAGATCTACCTTGATTTAGTGGCAAAATAGATTTCACGGCGCAGAGATTTTCAAGGCGACAGCATTGGCGGACGCCGTGTCTTATAAATAAAACATGCCTTGTCGGTCTGTCGTGCAGAAGATTGAAACGCAGAAAGCCACCTGCCTAAACGACCATGTATTTGTCCGTCAACAAAGATCCGCCTCTCCCAACTGAGGCAGAGGCCGCAGCCGAGGCAGCCATGATGCCATCTCCCTCGCTCAACCCTCTGTCTCCCAAAATCTCCAACGTCAGTTCCGCCGGCTCAAATCAAATGCTCACCGTGGAGGGCGCACACAAACAGCTACCCCTCCCAGGGACCGTCAAATGCACCGTCGCCTTGAGACGTTTCGGCCGATGGGCCATCACTCCGACCGGCTTTCTGATTACCGTGTATATGCTGAACGTGGTTGCCTGGGGCGGGATGCTGTTCCTGCTAATGTGCAATGCCGCACCTGCCATGTGTCATCCCACGTGCGACGATATCAACTCGCCTCGTCGGATCTGGATCGAAATCGACTCGCAGATCCTCAACGCCCTTTTCTGCGTGACGGGGTTCGGCCTCGCGCCCTTCCGCCTCCGTGACCTCTACTGGTGGTGTTTCTGGCGCTTCGGCCGCACCCAGACCCGTCGCAATGACGCCCTCGCTCGTTTGGCTGCCGTTCATGCGAATTGGTTCCGTCTGCCTCGGGCGGATATAGAACAGGGTGAGACGGAGGTGGTGTTGACTCCCATCCCGCCGAGCAAGACCCCCAAGCCACCGCTGACGGGGGTGTGTGCACCTGCGACTGCGCCGTGGAAGATGACGTTCGCCGTGCACAATATGATATGGAACACGATTCTGCAAGGCTGTCTGGCCGGTTGCATGTGGGGCATGAATCGCCATGTGCGCCCTCCCTGGACGACCGGTCTCTTCATCGGCTTGGCCTGTGTCGTGGCGATGGCTGCTGGCGGTATGATCATGTGGGAAGGGAATCGGGTCGATAAAATCGAAGGGACCGCCATGTCTGCAGAGGAAGTCGCGGCGAGGAAGAAATTGGGATTGTTGGATGGAGAGACGTGAGCACCGACCGGTGATGCAATGCGCTTTATTTGCTGCAGACCGCTTCTTTCCAGCCCAAGGACGGTACTCGGTCTGAACCCACCGATGCTGGATCTTTGATCGATCAAACCGAGCCCGACGATATTGCGAGCCTAGATGGACAGTGCAGCTGCAGCGAAACCGACAGAAACGACGAAAAATCATTCGAGAGTGACGGCTATACGACTCCAAGAGCAATGTCTCCGATTCGCAGGAACTGTTCCCTGCGGATTGGGGTTTCTTTCGCTATGACTGCTGCTGTCAATGCAATCCCTTGGATAGGCGATAGGATGCGAGCGAAAAATAGACAGCGAACACGGGATTCAGATCAATTTCGTTCATGAGATTAACAGCTGTCACAATCCGCTCGCTTCATATCAGCCGATCAAAACCCATCGACATTTTCTACCTTTTAGGCAACAGCGCCTAAACACAACACGCTCCATTCACGCTGTGTTGCTAAAGCCATGGAGCATTCAAAAGAATTATTTTCCTCGGTCGAAACAAACGTCTCGCTCGGCTACGCAGGTCATCAACGCCCTTTCGGAATCAGTGGACAGTTGGGAAAACTGCAACAGTACTTGACATTTTCAAGATAGAATTTGCCCTGACAGAAGCACGATTATCAGTGTGGCGAGTGAGGGACGGCAGCACAGCTGGCTGAATAGAACCTGTTTTTGGGATTTGAGGCACCGGGGTCTCCGGAAAGGGCGATCGCCTGCAAGAAAGGGAGAATCAAATTAGCACAATATCCTGAGGTGACGATTACTGTCAAAATGAACTTTGTAAGAAGTGGTAAGATTCGATCATTAATTCTATCGTTGGGGGTCAGATATGCTCATGATGAACGTGAAGGTATTCTATTGTCATAAGTACAAATCTAGTCGTCACAAACGCCGTAAAGGTCACAATAACATTGCTTCGGAGCTGGACATCTGTTGTGCGGTGTTAGTTGTACTGTCCATCAGAGAGGAACGAAAAAGAGAACATACGACACCGAATTCTCCAGAAAGATAAGATGCCATAACATCTCAAACACCGAGCCCACGGTGAAATTGTCGAGAGAGGTCGAAATAGCCCAATCCCGCATGTGAATATACTCCTCTCGAGGTCGCTGCCGAATACGCTTCTTCGTGAGGGCAAACTGGCCGCAGCAAATCCCCCCGATTTCATTCGGCATCTGCTCCTCGGGGAGATCAAACAGCTCGGTATATATCGAGGTGAAGTTTGTATACACTACGTCATCCAGGGTTGTGAACTTCGGATCCGAGGGGCGCATTGCGACAGGACAGCCCGGACGAGACTGACAGCGAAGATTGGTATAGCCTTTGCGGGCTACCGCGTCCATGTGCAGTTTCGACAAGAGGAAAGACGAGTGTGTGTTGCCCAGGTCATTATGCCATTGGGAGGCTGCACCGTGCATGAAAACCGTGATGTCTGTGAGATCGTCGTAATGGTCGATAATATGAGTAAGATAGGACATGCCCTCGCGGCCTTTGTTGGCCGGGGTGGGACGGAAGCCGGGTTCTCTATCGGATGTGTAGATATACACGCCCCAACTGGTTCATTAGCGATTGTTGTCGTCTGGCGCACGGCAACGGAACTTACTCCGACGATAGATTGTACGCCCACGAAATGTCTTCGGAGCGAGACTTGGCGAGGACCAGTGATTTCTCATAGCCCTCCAGGGCCGGTTGGTACGGTTGGTACAGTTTGTTTCCTACTTCGCGTTAGTGAGACATTTCGACTAGTTAGCTGGAGAAGCACAGACCTTTTACAACTCTCACATCATTGCCTTTGAACGTGGGCATCAGCGTCCCAACAAGCAGACTCAGGACTATGAGATAAGCAGCCAGGAACCGCCATCGATACCGCGCCAGGAACCTGATGCATGAAATCAGAGATGATGGTTTCAGTGTCTCCGCGCTCTCTGGAGTTCCAGTCATATTATCCGGGGGGATCCGAGCAAACCGGACTCGCCGGATAGACACAGCGAGAGAAAAAAGATAAAGAGTCTCACCGATCCCAGTCGGGAGAGAGAAAGGCTCTACTGCGGGAACATTAGAAGGAATCGGGACGACGATGCGTAACTTGCGCCCTCTGAACACGCTCTGGAATCTGGATAGAATCAGCCAGGAACTTTTTTCATCAAAGCCGTGGGGAGCGGAGGATTGGGGACAACGCGCGGCCCACAGACCGGACAATGTTTTGATCGACGGTCGACCAGAGCCCAGATCCGATCAGTCAGCCGGCGCTAAGCCTGCTTGATCGGCTCGGAGCTCCACGCACCCGAGAGGCTGGAACGGGATATCACGGCCATGTCTACGATCGATCACTTCTGACTTCTATTTTCTACGGTGTATATTTTAAAGTTAAAGACCAATAAGGCTCGGTCCGCGCACTCGACAGCGAGGCTCAAGGCTGCTCACGAATTGAACAAGGTTGTCTACCGGCCTGACTTGAACCACAAGGTTAATGTCATTCATCTATTACCCCTAGCTTACGTAGGGGGAGTTACAAAGTGATAGCGCAAATTATAAAAATAGGATTTTATAGATGATGATAATAAGATGGATCATTACGAAGAAAGACCCCAAGCAGTACAATATACAACAATTAAGTTCATGTACTTGGTAAAGTCACGTGACCAATTATGTTTATCAGCACTCATCGTGAAATAAACTAAGTTTCTTGCAACTCATTATAGATCATTGACTACCCTCCTCTCCTTGTTGTAGACTTCATTGGTACACTTAAACGTGTTGAAACAAACAAAGGACCGAAAGTGTTCTATTGACCTTATTTCGGAGAAATTTACCGGTACAACTACTAAAACCACGATCTTTTATTTTCCGAATAGGAATTATCTAAGATACTAAGCAGTAAATATTCTAGGACGACCGCCTCAAGGAATAGGTTTCGGTCATCAAACAAAAGCCTGTCAAGACCAATGGCTTGGAAAGCGAATAAATAATGGCTGAGGGCAAAAATGGGAGTATGATGATAATGATAGGCAAGGGGTAGCATTATTAACAAGGATAGGTAAGAGTGTCATTAACTTTAAAGTATTAAAACTGGTCATTTAATTGGATAGCATCCAGCATAAATCAGCCACCGTGTTCGATGGCAAGTCACAACCCGAGGTACAGTGCCAGACAAAGTAACACGAAGTATAAAGAACTTTCAGCAGAAGTCTAAACGAGCTTGTAAAGGCAATGACCTACCATTGCCTCGGGAAGGTAGATAACCATAAAGCTTTTTCTTTCGATATACTGTGTGGTTATACTATTTACACGTGAGGCTTTTTGTGTCACCGAAGAGTCTGTAAGCGTCCTGCGAAGTAGCGGGCTGCCTGAGTATAATCTAATCAATTAATTAGCTAAATCAACTAGATGGGATGATCAAGACAATCGCTAATGATGAGGAAGGAAAGGTGCTCCTCTAGATCTACATACAGGGTAGGCAAGCTGTGAATGCTTGACAGCTTGCAACCTCAGGCATTAAAAACACGTGTAGAGTCTACTATAAACACATACTAGGATGTGCTACGGTGTCTTATGAACAATGCTCTTATAAATGAGTGGATGGGTGTAAATATTCAGAAGCATTACAAACATAGCATTTCAAGTGGATAGATCAAGTTATAGTCAATGGGTAGCTCAAGTGAGCCAAAATGAGAATTGAGGATTCGCTGCCGATTGTGTCTAATAGTCTATGGATATATATGGAATGAGATCACCTCTAAAAAACGCTGCAAACCGATGCAAGCCAGAAAAGCTATAACGCTATGTAAAACCGAGATCGCTACTCATGCGGGAATTTGGTGTATATCTGGCCGCAATGTTTAGCATTCACATACAATCGGGTCACGTGTGGAAGAGGACTCACATATTTCTTCTCTGGACCAAATCAAGCGAAAGTCTTTTCACAAGAACAGGAAAGATTGCAAGCCGGAAAAGGGACTATTTCGGTGGGAACACCTTACGGAAGTTCGTTAGTAATAGTACTCAACGATCGCGAATTTGGCCAAGCTTACCTGTCAGAGTTGCCCAATCAACACACTGCTCCCCATCGTGAGAATTCACCAGGCGTCTGGTTTAGTCCCTTGTGATACTGTGGCGCCAGCTGCTCACAGACACCCCAGATACGTCGGCGGTTTGCGACGCCAATCACGCTCAGGTCATCCATGCCGTACCGAGGCATCGTCATACTATCCAGCCACAGGTATAGCCGCTTGTAGTTGAGATCCTCCGGAGCCTTCTTCCGGGTCTGGCTCGTCTGCAATTCCCAGAACCAAGGCATATCCCAATGCATAAAACGTTTCCAGAAAAAGTTGTCCTGCGTGAGCAACTGGATACTCAACGAGGCCTGCGTCAAGGCTTTCAGCGATTCTCCCGGCAGGTAGAGACAGATGCGCTCAACGATCTCGAATGGCAGCCGACCGAATGGATTGGCGGGGTTTCGGTCGCCAGCGGTGACTTCTTCGGAGGGGAGTTTCAAGCCGGCGTGGGTGGTCATGCTGCTTTCGATGAAGACGTCTAGATTCGGGATGTTCGTGGGGTGCGTCGCGCAGTACTACAGAATTGGTTAATTCGAGACGCGTCACAAATCTGGGCCCGGGATGGCTTGCCTCTGCACCGGGAATGCATTCCCAGTATCGGCCCTGAGCACGACCGACATCGTCTCCATAACTCAGCATTAGAGCAGAAGACGATCCGTTACTCAATGTGTTCATGATATGATAAAGGACGTCCAGGTTGAGATCCTGAGTATTGGCCGATCCGGTGAGGGTTCGCGTGAGGATTTCGAGGCAGCACTGATGGAATGGGAGGACGGGCCCGGATGCATCTTCTGTTCCGTGGGAATAGCTAGAAGACACATTCACGTTAGTCCGGCGCTCTAAATACCATGTATGGGGGAGTCAAGGGGGTAAGCCGCACCATGCGTAAACATCTCGGCGAAAGGGTCGAGGTGAGTCTAAGTTGGGAATGAGTATGACGACTTGCTTGAGACGATCGATTTAAATTACCAGGTCCAGCCTTGACTACCAATTCTCCCTGTGGTGATTTGGTTGGCTCTAATCCATCACTCCACGAACCTGAAGACAACCTACCATATCGGCATAGTATCCCGGTCCCGAGATGAATGCTCTGCGAGGGATTGGTGAGTAGTCGTTCTCCGGCGACGTGCACGAGGTTGCTGGCACACTCACTTTCCCTTCCCTTTCGAGTCCTCGTTCATGGCGAGACAATGAGCTTTGTAGAGCCATTCGATCTTTTCAGTGCCGACGATGCGCGGGTCGTAGCTGCGAATGGGTGGCTCGTCGTTCCCTTCCTCGCGAGAAATCTGATTAAAGTCCTTGCCCTGCTGCAGGGCACGAGTTCTCTTAGCAACCCATCTTCGCCGTCGCTCCATCGCCGTTTCCGACTGAGCTTCGATGTGCATCCCCGAGAACCCGACGCCGCAGATGGCGCAGTAGCAATCAAAAGCCATGATGAGTGTCAAATGAATACCGAAGGAGTGAGCAATAGTGCGGAGTAGGATGACGATGAGGAGAAAGGAACGATTGAAATAGCGGGATCCTGGAGAGAAATTGGCCCTTTGAATGGCGGTCGTCCCAATATTAGATAACGTTGGAGGGGGCCCACAGCGGAGATGATGGCAACGCCGTGCACGAACAGGAGTCGCTGACAGGCGAAAAAACCTTCTTGCGGGGGCGACGATCCAGTCGAGTGTCGAGCCATTGACCCATATTTATAATTAATCATAACACGGGGAGGCAACTGAAGTTGGAGCTGTTTCCGTGTGCCAGATCATGCCGAACCGCTGGATGGATTGGGTCCAATTTTTTTTTATCTTTGTTATTTTCTTTTTCCGGCCGATGGCAAATGAATTGGCAAAGAGAAGGTCGAACAAGACCAGGAGTCTTGCTCCTGATGGGAGGGCGGCACGTGAGGACTTGGCGTTATTCTCCTCTGTACTCTGCACTTTCTCCTCGGTCGGACGCTCCTAGTTTCTCTCCTACTCTCGACGTGTCAATCGCCCGGTCCAGCCGAGCCATTCATCAATGCTCTCGATGTGACTAAATTTTTCCAGAATGGCAGAATGCCTTCCGTTGTCGTCGATCTAATATTTTAGTCTATCATCTGACCCCATTTAGATTGAGTTGGCGTCGGGATCGAACGGTCCTTGCATCCTCCTTCCAGGCTCTCGTACACAGCAACTACTCCCCTAGCTCCGGCATCGTCTTATCTTCCTCCTCCTTCTCGAGCACCCGGAGACTCCGACGATCGCGACAAGCTGTCGATGCCCCATACTACCGGACTTTGGTGGCGACAGCTTCGAAGGGAGACACGTACAAGAACACTATTCAATGTCAGATCCTGAGATGATGACCGAACCGGCCATATGAACGTGGGAGCTTGGGTAAATGGCACTCAGAATTCGATTGGACCATCACGAATAGGGGCTCTGTGCTCCGTGCTGGGTCGGCTTTTTTTTTTTTCTATGTATATTTATTAATATTTTTCCCCTACTCCGTATGACGGGCGTCGTGATGGTCAACCGCAGACGGGGAAAATTTCCTCACCGCCACCGAAGCAGCCCCACAACGCCAGTGGCGCTAACGAGACTCCGCGGGAATTCGGCATCAATCCTGGTCATTCGGTGCTGACCGCCATATTCCGAGCCTTGAAGCTATGTCAAAAGAACGAAATTCCGCTCTCTCGAATGTCGAAACTTTTTCCTGCCCAAGCTAGATCGATTGACGAGTCACCTCGCGAGCTGCGATTCGGTCATCGAACTCCTGCGCTTTATCGCCGTTTTAAGCCTTCCGAACCATACGACCCTTCGCAATTACCCCTCTGCCTGGTTTCGAGTGCCAACCGTGCCGTACCTCATCAGACAACGCGACATGGTGCCTGCGATCACTGAGGCACCCAACCAGACCCGTGGTCTGGTCTGATCAGCCCTCCGCCCTCCTACCACGTTTTCCCCTATACCTGATTATCTGTCTTGATCGCCAGACCATATCCAAGACAACGGCTAGCCAAGCGGGGAGGGACGCCGCTCTTGATGGTGTGAACTGGGCTCACATGCTTCTCGCTCCTTGATCGTGTCAACCCATCCCACCTTGGCCAACACCACGTCTTAATGGATCTGCCCTTTATGTTTTCCTCCGGCATGGACAACGCGCCAGAGCAGCGCATCAGTCGTCGCCTTGGACGAGCACCCAAATGCCGTCTCCGCCCCATTGAAACCGACCGCCTTTCCAGAATTGGTAACCCGGGCCATGTGTCCGCTGTGCTGCGTCTTCTTGTCTATCCCTGTTTCATTGGATCGGGATATTTGGGGCCAAGCGATGCAGGAGTCTCCCCCGGATTGTAAGTGCCGCAATGCGTAGTGGTAGTGTGTGTATCACATGAGCCAAAAAGACCAACATGGGCTTTCGTAGGTATTTATTCCACTGCCCAATCCGCCATATAGTGCCATACAGTGCCATACAAATCTGGGTGCTCATCACCCGACAACCCCTTCACCTATACGGAGTACTTGCTTTTGGGGAATGACATCTGGGTGATCTAAATAGGAAAGTAGACCGGCGGCAACTCAAAGCCGAATGGAACAAAGGCTAGGAGGGCCAGCTCATTGGAGCCCAGGTAGGTTACACTTGCACGGATGAGTAGGTTGATGATGAGGAACACTGCATACGGCGTATGTTCGTCTCAATATGTATGATCAACCTAGAACTAACCCTACTTGATCTCAGGTGATTTTAGAAACTCAATGTCTCTGTTTAATCTGATCCTAATATATCTAAGCGACATGTCCAGAAATTGAATGTGCTCAGTAAAGATAATGCAGAAGCGCAATGTCCCCTATCCACTCGTAGATCCGTCCCACTCCCTGAAACTGAACGAAAGACAACTGCTAGGAGAGAAACAACGTCCCTTTTAGCATCCATTATCTTCCCTTATTTATATCAATTGGGTACTCTAACGCCGTGACTATCCGTTGAAAGCCCGCGCAAAGTGATCCCGCCTCACAGAGGTAGGAGCCATTGGGAGTTCCTAAAAACCTGAAGAACTGAAAAGACGTTGGATTCTATCTGAATGTCGAACAATCATAAACACTTTGACTGTCCTCCAACGCTTAACTATCTACTGTACAACCAAGCTGAGAAGGAGAAAGAGAAGAGCAAGTCCATTGGGATGCCTAAAATGGGATTCTTAGTTCACTGAGTAGTAAGAAAGACAGAGGGACGATCCTTTCATTGAAAAACCCTAAATCAAAATACAGAGATCACTGACTAAGGTAAGACCAAGAAATCATCTGGCGAGTCAACGAAGGTACGGATTCCTCCGCAGAAGACAGCCTCAGGCTCTCCTCCCTATCTTCGAATCAATTCTTAGAAATATAAATGAGAATAAAAATAACTTCCGGGGATGAAATCCGCGGCTGATCTTCCCCAAATATCCACGACGCAGCAACGATGGTGCTACAGGGCTCCCCGATCGGGGAATCCGGGGTGCCAGGCTGTTAACACTTAAAAGTCCTTACGTTTCAACAGGTTACATCGAAAAAGCACAGAGAACCTCATCTGCATGTTCTCCGTAGAGCTGCAGGCAGGTCCTCTTGTGGTAAACCGGGCGACTATCCGTTAGGCGCTAATGTGGGCTAGCTCAAACTCCGCATACCTAAGACGACTTTTGCAGTTTGCTGGTCGGTCTTGCACTAGTGGTGTGCTAGACTACTATGTAATATGAACTCAGAAATCTGGATAGACCTCGTCGGGCGATATCGTGGAGTCTATCCATCAAGGAATTTAAGCTCTAGGTAGGCGCATTTCGATCATTTCACGATGGTCCGAGACAAAAGCCTTCCCCGCAGTTTTCGTTCTACAGGCGATGTAGCATTTATGGAAACGACATCTACTGCTAATAATGCACTGTATTAGTGAACAAGCAATGCCAGCCACTGGGGAGAGTATTGCGAGTCTAGAGTGCGGATTGTCGTGTTTCAGTATGCTTGATAGCCCCAGGTATAGCAACAAAGATATCCGTACATAGATCCGATCTAGCCAATACAAATCCAAAAAATGTTTTGGCCAAGAGGGGAATATCTAGGAGATCACCTATGTTGAGAATGTTCCACCCTAGGAGGCGTAGGAACTTGTAGCCGTGGTTGAACCACAGCTATCCCCTTGCCTGGCAGCGCTAGTCGTGTTTAGCGTCTTTTTTCTGCCGCAAATGACACGCCCACCTTATCTACAACTACGCACCTGTAAATTGTTACCTCCTGAAGCCAGGGAGCTTCCCGGTACGGAGGAACGTCCCGCAGGAACGTTCCGGTTAGTTAGTATAGGATTGAGGGACCCTCCGGTAGGCATCCAGGAACCTTCCTGGATGCTCTGCAGGCATTCCTGCCTGAGACGAAGCCTCGGGCAGTATATGGAGGCCCTAGATCCTCCCTCCTAGATAGCCTTTCCTCTCCATGGGAAAATTCTTTGACTAACGAGTCAGAAACAAACTTGTCTTATACTAAGCTCCTTTGTATACCGTCACATAAACCAGCATTAAATATGAATCTTTAAGCTATCTATGGGCAATTTATATCTTTCTTACCCAAAGGAGGTCGTGGTGTATGGAAATCAGCCCAGTATAACCTTATATTAGGTCTGCATAAAGGAACTTTGCAGGCCTTACAGCAATATACTGTGTGAAATTGCTTTAGAACAGTATAGCCTCGAGCCTTCGCTCTTTGCACCTATATAGCACAGAAATGGCACCATTTGCGAGGGTGAATCCTTTCAACCTCATAAATACCATCATGCGATAGTTGGACTAAGCTATGTCTTCGCTTTCTTTTCAGTGATTCCTCTGATGCTTGTTTGAATAGCTCTCTATAAAGAGCTTTCCGAAATTCAAGATGAGTAATCTCCTTTATACCTTGCTGTCTGTAAGCCATCTTTGCAATACAATAAGCATTGATAATAGCTACATCAAGCGTCCAAAAGAATATAGGCCACCAGGAGCGTAAACATCTTTGGTAAGTTTCATAACTTGCACGCAGTTAATTTGCTCGATCCACGCCTCCCATATGGTAGTTATAATCATCAATTAGCCGGGGTATTGGAAGTTCCTTGGTAGGCTGGTCACCAAAAGGCTCACGGGCAACTTTTGCACTGGTTGAGGTCTTTGAGGGGCGTTTACGCAAGTGAGTAACCCAATCAGTTAGCTTATGTACAGTGTATGCAGTTAATAAAGCTGTAACAATGCTATTATCTTGTTATGTAATGTATAGCACAGAATCAATGTCAGATTTATCAGTTGCGGAAGCTGCATATAGGGTATTCCATGGTTGAATCTTCTTTGAATCTTTTAGCATATGAAGAGCTTTTGAAAATAGCTTTTTAGATGCATTTGGTTGTGACCTCCTGAAGTTAGGGAACTTCCCGGTGTGGAGGAACGTTCCAGAGGAACATTCCGGTTAGTTAGTATAGGATCTAGGGACCCTCCGGTAGGCATCCAGGAACCTTCCTGGATGCTCTGCAGGCCTTCCTGCCTGAGGCAGAGCCTCGGGCAGTATATAGAGCCCCTACATCCTCCCTTCCAGATAGCCTTTCTTCCCCATGGGAAAATTCCTTGACTCAGAGTCAGAAACAAACTTGTCTTATATTGAGCTCTTTTGTAGACCGTCACATTGGTCAGGTAGTACTACAAGCACCAATCCCAAGCTTCTGAAGATGACGGAATAGAGGAATAGTAGAGAAGAAGTTGTCCACATAGATCGTATAGTTATTGTTTTGTGATGGCAGGCCTTCTTGCGCCAGTTGAACAACCATAGATCCAGTTAGAGTTGAATTTCCAGCCTCATGCTTTTAAACCTTAACAAGAGACTTATGGCGACTCGCCCATATCCAATATAGAATATAGCCTTGATCTGCAATAGCAAAGAGCTTATATCCTTGCTTTATTGGCTTATTTGGCATCTTGAAGGTATGCTAAGAACGCCCAAAGCCGCGAATCTTTGTCTCATCAATAAAGACTGCATTTGAAGGTTTCCAGTACTATAAATAGGCTTCGCGAAGTCTGGATTCAAAAGGCTCTAGCTTATACTATCACATCTGATTGGGTGTAAGATTAAGCCTTAGAGCTTCTTGGATAGCAGCCTCTGTATCAGGATCCGCAACATGAAAGAATCGCTTAATTTGCTAGAATCGTTTTAATCCCATGAATCTGCGAGGCATATGAATTGACTCGGCTCCTTATCAGTCCGCCAATAATCTTCCTCGCTAGGAGATATATGAACCCCCATATAGATTAGGGTTGCAAGAAATGTCTTGGTCTCCGAAGCTGTAGTGTTATACCATTCTCGTCCAGACTGGCTCGCATTCTTAGCCTTCGCATATTTGTTGGTGTTGGATGATAATGATGTAATCAGGTCTTCAGATAAAAATAAAGAGAATAAGCTATATGGGCATTCAATGTTCACTCCATCGGGCAAGTTGATCGCAAAAGGGAAAACTTCAGCCATTTCAAGAGGCTCAAACAGAACATCTTGATACTGGGGTATCTCGCGAAGTATTTGTGTTAGATTTTGCTTTGTTTCTTCCTTCTTTGAAACAGGAGGAGCTGGAGAAGCACTAGATGAAGCAATAGAGGAGCTATACAATAGGGGTTCTTCAACCTCTTTCAGAGGCAGACCCCAGGAATCCATGATGTATGAAGACGCGATTACCACGCGTAAGGCTCGTTCTAGTTCATAGAATAAACATGCGTGCGAATATGAGGATATAAGACTATTCCTAATTCGTATGGATGCGGTGAAGCTAACTGACCAATAGAGCTACATAATTATCGCTAATCACGACTAGCGCTGCCAGGCAAAGGGATACTTTCATCGGTTAAGGTCGCGCTAAGGAATGACTCATGTTCACTCACAATGATAAGATATGATCAACCATGAGTGAATTCCTATCACATCTGGTCAGGCATGATACATACGAGAGCCATAGCTGTCAAATTGGCCTCATAGTCTGGAACATTGTAACTTGATTGGGCTTGTCATTGATTGACATCTGTCCGGTGATGTCCGCTGACCCATGTTTTAGATGTGGAGATGCCAAGCCAATGTACGTACGTACAACGAACCATCAATCCTACTGTATACACGAGCTGCTGGGAGGAAGGGTCTGTATCTGTGTTTCTGCTTCATATTATTTGTTTTGTGACGTATAATGTAGCTCTAACTTGCAGTAATTACATAGAACTTGAAGACATTCAGTGCCATTGTATACCGCCCTACGTCGCGCTCATATTGTAGAAAGATGATTATATCCTCTTACTAGAGAAGACAATATTCCCAAGTAGCTCTCAGACTGTAAAAGAAACATTCGAGGTAGCCTTCTCCGCTTGTCAAACAGCCCCAAAGGATCGAAATCGTATGCATCTACGAGGCCTTAGAGCTGGGCTGGGCTGGACTGGGCTGGGCTGGACTCCTAGGATGATACGGACCTGTTCCTAAATAGGAATCCGACTTGATAGACAACAAGGGTCATTCATATCGAATGACACAGATGCTATCTATGAGTAAGGTTCGAGGTATAAAGCGGTGCTGCTGCCTCTTCTCATCCATCTATCTATCTATCCATCAATCTATCCCCTCGAATTAGCCAGCCTTGAGAGCCCCAGGCAAACTGTCAATCGATAGGCTGCATTCACAGAGTAAGTCATACACTCCCTCTCCACTCCCTCTCCCTTCTCCCTGTATTTTGTGACGAAATCCTATTTTGCCGATGTGAGGTCTATACAATGATCGCATCCTTTAAATGCTTTGGAAGAGCGACATCGTCTGAAAATAAACATACCTACATGCTTGGTTATCATGAGAAGACAATTCGATCAACAATTCGCTGACTTAACAACATATATCTTTGTCTAGGCTGCATGCTCGATTTCATCTTTGATGGTTAGCGGGTGATAAACAGGGATGGATGGACTGCTACACCAAGATATGCTGGATGAGACAAAGTTCAATACAAACCACGATCGAAATATCATGGGACTGGAAGGAAAAGGAAGACAGAAGGTCAATCGATCAATCAATCAATAAATTAAATGAAGTTCTATTAACATGATGATGTCTATCTATTAAAATGCTGAGTTATCGCCTGGCCGATCGAAGCAGAATCTCCTGTTGGTACATCGTAATCGTAAGCACATTAGACAATAATAAGCAATATAATATACTGCAAAAGCAGTTCGCGACGTGCCTGGGTGCCGACCAGGCCATACCAAGCGCTATATACTCTTTCCGCTCCGTTCCATCTTGGTGTTTCTCGCATTTCATCAATTTCCTGCGGTACGTGGCGTGCAGTGATCACTAACCAAGGAACCGCGATCCCGGGAGGCGATGGCCTGCCCAAAGCCGTCGAAGAGAGAAGAAGCGTACAGTTGAATAACCTAGAGAATACTGTCAGCTGTAGTCACCAAGTGGCATAGATCTTAGCCGACATATCAGTCTCTTCGGCCGCTCCAGAGCATTAATCCGGGGTAACATGCAGAGAACCAGGGATGTACTGAGTAGGGACTTTCGGAGAACTGACCTGACTAAGTAATGATGTGAAAACGGTGGAACCACGAATCAGACAAAACCGTTCCTCAGTGCGGGCGGCCCGGAGGCATTACCTAGAAGGGAACGAATGCCGGCCATTCGCAATAATGGGAGCAACAACGACTTTCTATAAAGTCGTGAAGGAGCCCTCTATCTTTCCATTCTGCTTTCTTTGATGCCGCGACTCAACCCTCTCCAAATTGTTTCTATCTCGCCTGCTCCCGGACTCTCGCGGTCTCCCGGACGGTGGCAATGCCAAGGCTTCAACCCTGAACCACCCGATTCATATGGCAGATCAAAATTGTCGCTGGACACTAACATCTGGGCAACAGTGACTACACGTGTGCTATGAACAGAATTGCCAAGCACCCGAAAACGTGACTGGGACTGCTTGCTGCAATCATTCCTCACAATTCACGCTCGGTGTCGAGACTGAAAAAGGATCTCCCGGGGCTGGACCGAAGCAAACAGGGGGCACCCCTGGATCATCACCACAATGCCAATCCACTACCCGCTTTAGTAGGGATGGCCCAAGTGCGGCGTTGTCGGCGTTTGCAGGAAAATGAAACAGAGAGTTGTGTGCCAGGCGTGGACTGACTGAAAAGCTGGGACAGAGCACGAGCGCGGTGGTGAACCCCTGACTAGCACCGGCTGCCAGCAAATGGTCCCTCGCAACCGTGGGAAGGGTCCTTAAGACATCATTTGGATATGCGGGGCAAGGAGCTCGTGGGCTAGCCCGAGGGTCAGCTTGCAAGCGATTTGGTCCCAACGTCTCAACCGGAGCGAACGGCGGAGACGAGACGGTATAGAGTTTCCATCGTCGACACTAGTCGTCTCTCGATCGTGGACGGCGGTTTTGCCACGGAGTCTCATTTCCAGCTAAAGTTTAATTCATGCCAATTGCCTTTCTTGTCAGCTACGAGGGGAGGAGTATATAAAATCGCCGTTGCTCACGGGGTCATTGGGACTGCTCATCGACCCCGTTGCGCACACACGCCCCGGTTGACATGATGAAAAGCACAATACCCTCCAGGATCTGGGAGACCAAACGCGTGCTGATTACCAAATTATACGAGGAGGAGGAATGGCCTCTGAAGCAGGTAATCAAGGCGCTGCAGTCCAAGGACTTCCATCCAAGGTATGTCTTAACTTCGCCTGGCCGTGTATTCCATTCCCGTTCACTGAAAAGGAATTTGCTGACTTGGCTTCGGTTCTAGTGAGACCCAGCTGAGGAGTCGACTGAAGAAATGGCACGTTACAAAACCCTCCCGCAAGAAGTTGTCTACCAGCAAGGGGTCGACGTGTGAAGCGAAAACTGCGCCCGAGAGATGTGGCTCACAGCATGAAGTTCCCCTTAGCACGGAGATTGCGATGCATAATTCTCTCTGCCCCGGGTCAACTTCTGCTTCACCCTTGCAAGGACTGCTTGTTCCAGCAAGTTCGGAATCCCCTTGCTTTCCCGCCGCCGGTTCTTCAGTCCAGCCTTTCGGATACACACACACCATCCCGGAAAGTGGATATGTCTTTGCAACGTCGCGACCCAGCCTTTCAGATCGTCGGTTCTCCTCACAGTCAACGCCTGACTCCTCGGGAACAGAAAATGAACCGGGGGGCTCGCTGTATCGGTGGCCGACTTGCTTTGATCCCGCTGGTCTCGGAGTTGCGACATCTGTCATTGACCCCTTGTTATCATCATCGACTCATGCACCCGTGATTCCTTCCCCGATGGAATATTCACAATCAGGCACGGAATTGGAGCCCAATCTAGCCACCCAACCTCGGCTGAGTGTTGGTCTCTTGCGGACTGATGTCAAGCCAAGTCCATATCCTCGCGAGCTGCAATCCGAGAGAAACATTGCGCCCGCAGCTTTCCTCAATAGTCGAGAGAATGAGCGAGTGAGAATTTACGGGACGGAGACGAATTTCGCACTCGAGGGTGTTGAGGGTTACCCGGCATGGATAGGCCCGTATGATGCGTACACGGTAGCATATCCTGCGCCCAAAGTCTTGCAGCCACCCCTCTGGCCGCTTGGCAGCAATGTTGTTTCAGATGGGCTTCGGTATTGAACATCACAATCACTTTGTTTCTATTGAACTCGTAAACTCAAACACCTTCTTTTCTCCGATTCTACTTTGACTCGTAGCCTGTATTCTTCCCGATACCCCATGCGCAACGGGTATTGCTGGTGATGCAGCCTTCGCCGCTGCCAGGGGGCAGGTCGATGGCTGGGTTGTCGCCTAGATACAGCTTCACGTCCAGCTGGTAGGGGATGAGTGCCCCGTTCCTAGATATGGACGTCTCGCTGCCGCTCTACCTCGCTAGTACTCTGCGTTGAGCCTCAAGCGTCAGGGGTGCCACCAACAGATTATTCAACACTGCACATAGCGGGAGGGGCCAGCAGATCAAGCCAAAAGGAGATCGCACAACTCTCGAGCGCCTGGAGAGGATCGACAGGCCCTGGCATCACTTCTCGACTCTAGGTCCGGCTGATGGGAGCAAGCAGTTCACCGATTCTACTTGTGACTCGTACCTTGTTTTCCTGACACCCCCAGGCCCATGCGCCACGAGCAGACTGCACATCGCGGGAGAGGGGTGGGGAGCAGCAGATCAGGACCAAAAGGAGATCGCGCAACGCTCGAGCTCCTGAAAGACAGGATCGACTGGGCCTGGCATTCCCATCACCTCTCGACGCTACACAGAAGGTCCCGCTAATGGGAGCCAGCAGATCCAGCTCCTATTGGCCCGATCGACGCAAAATCACCGGCTGAACCTTATCGAATGGCGTCGATATGAAATCCCAAATATTGGGAGTCTGGCCTCTAGGGGCGTTTCCTGGGACTGCATTCCCGTCGCTGTCGGATCAGGGTAGTTTGGCAGTCGATCCCGAACCCGATCCTTTTTGTGGGCCGCGAGAATAGGGGATCGCTGGGTCCTGCGTGCAATCGTGCCGGGGGAATTTCGGGATAACTCTGCGTTGAGAGTTGAGATCCACCGGAAGGATTTCCATGCACCCACGGTTCTAAAAAAGGAAAAGGGAAATTATAAAAAGAAAAAGAAAAGAAAAAGAAAAGAAAGTCTCAAAAATGGGAGGCGTTCGTCGGACAGCATCCACTTCCGGTAGAGGATGCGAGGTGCGAGGTGGAGAAAGTTAAGATAAGTTCAGATCCACGTTTCGCCAGAAGATGAAGTCAGCGTCCCTGCCTGTTTGAGATAACTATTTGCACTGTTTGCCCATTTTCTGCCGGAGACTTTTGCCGCTCGGTTACTTCTTCTCTTTCTTGGGCTATATAGGTAGGTTGGTTCGGTTATATATATATAAAGTAAGTATACGGCAGCTATCAATCGGAATCGGAATCGTCATCGGAGAAATCATAGTTGTGGTCCACATTGACCAAAAGTCGTTGAGGGGTTTCGTCTTCTAGCAAACTCTCCAGGGTCTTCAGAGCCTGATATTCAACCTTCTTCCGACCCTTGGGATCCCCGCGTGAACATGTCCCGGGATGGATGTAAACTTTCACAATGAGCCCATAGGGTCCATTGCGCTCTGCGGGTATTAATTTCGGGTTGTCGTACACAAACCGACGCCATCCACGTATCCTGAGGTGTGCATGGCTGAGTATCGAGAGGGCCTGGCGCACTTCCTCCTCGAAGGTATCGGCCGTTTCCGGCAGAGCAATAAAGACGTACCACAGCCACCATCGAGGAAAATGTGATACCTTGTACATCAGGGTATCGAGATTTGCCCTGTTTGACGACGGCAAAATCCGAGTTAACTTGGAGTGTGTAGAAGATCGGACGAATGATTGGTACATATACTCAGCATGGCCGATTACTTATAACCTGCTTTACATCAGGTCGACAGCGCTGCGATAGGTGTTATTCCCGGGATCTCGTCATGGTCAACGGCTTGTTTATATACTCCCACCTGAGATTGGTGGATTCCATTAACTCTGGGAGATAGAGGAAACTCCCGGCAAGTTTCTGAAAGAATTTCTACTGCCACACCCCTTGCGCTCACGCATCCCAATGACGAGAACCTACTAGTAGTAGTGGGCGGTATATAAATCTGCTGCAGTATCTTGCGATCGGAACCTTACCTATACTACCTAGTAATTGAAGAAGCCCGACATCTGCTAACCAGACCAAAAGCCTCAGCTAGGCAATGGTCAACTCTTGCAGCATGCCTATACATCAGCAACAATGGTAACTCTTCAAGAATATCCAAGGCATTCCTTATAACGATCTCTAAAAGCTAGAAGAACCCGAACAATCTCTCAAGGTCCCTAAGTCATCCCTAAAGAACCATAAAAGTACTAATTTAGCAGGCTTGTAGCTCTAGCAGCTACCGCCTACTGGCGAGAGTAATATATACCTAGTCATGTGGGATGTGGTAGGAGCGAAAGGAGTGTGGCAGTAGCAACTCTCTTTCAGAAACAATCAGAGACCGGAAAAAGTCGCGAGGAGCCGGAACTTACCGTGATCAATCAATGACTTGTATGTATGCATTCACTCGAATCGTGTTAATTCACTCAGTTGATCAAAGCTTTGTTGACAACTAGAGCCTATCTACATAGGTTTCATTGGTATGCCCCCCTGTAATGACGACCGAAGTCACCGACTAACCTCCGATAAACAAACAGACAGATGGTTTAGCAACCGACTTAATTCTGGGCCGAAAAATTTCGGTCATCTAATTAGCCCCGTTTTAGAAACTGGAATCAGATAAAGCTAAGTCTCACAAATCCACTGCGCTTACAAAAGCCGCCCAACCCTTTTCGGAGAGAAAGAGATTCCAACTATTAGCTCTTTAGGTTGATCAGAGATATACATACAAAGTGAATACGATACCGTGAAAATCACGCACGAAGATGTCCCTATGGATTGAAAATACTGCGTCACTCATGTGTTTGGTCTGCATTCTCTCCCACGCCGCGACGTAACTTTTTCTTTTTCTCTTGGCTTTAATCGAGAGATACGAGTGTTCCTTCTATTTTAGAGTCGGTTCCCACCGCCATGGTTGCTCGAACGCTTCGTACCGGTATGGTGCAAGCAAGGCACTTTCTCATCTAATACGTTCCGCCAGCAATGACTTGAACTCATCAAATGACATCATCCGGTCCTCGAAGTAAATTTCCCCCGGCTGTGCCACCTTTTCCGGTGCTGTCATGTACAGCCAGTCATGATCCACATGGCAGATCTTGAAGTCATCTTGCCCGATCCGTGGGAAACACTCACTGCAGAGGTCTGTCTGGCAGTAGCGACATATATGTGCGTCGGTCCAGTTTCCCCAGCTCCGTCGACATCCATCACAGTACCAGACGCCAGATCCGCTCACCCCATCTCCACTTGGGATATGCCACGCCGTCGCCATGCGCTTTTCTAGGACGGCTGTCAATGCGGCGACATCATTTACATTTTTGCCCTCGTTGGAGTCGTCGGCGGGGCTGGACAGCTCGTCCTCGCTAAGTGCATTGTGATGTGTGTATAAAATAGCACGAGCATATGAGTCCAGGCCTGCACGAGCCAGCACGTGCGCCAATTCAAACCACGCCGTTTGGTCGTTGTCCGGGTCGTCGTCCGAGAGTAGCATCAGGTTGCTCCTCACGTACGGTCGGAAGTAAGTTAGCGCTTCGTCTTCGCGGCCCTGCAAACGGTGCCAGACGCCCATATACATCGCAGATTGATTAGCCAAGATGTCACCCGGCTTCTCCTCTAATTCCATTGCGGTATGCTTGGCTAAGGCATCCAATGCTTGGATATGGACCTCCCGAGTGGCAGGGTCTTCTTTAAGGGCCTTGGCGAACAGATTGTACGCGTAAGAGCTTTCGACGTTGCGTTTGTAGTATCGGATCAGATAACTGGCGTCACTTGACAAAACGGGGAAGTTCATGACGCGTTTCCAGATATCCATGGCCTGATCTTCCTTGCCACTGCTGTAATTGGAGTACACCTCAGCGAGGAAGGTGTCCAGGGCCAAAGCAATCACGGGTAGCCGTCGGCGTTTAGCGGCACTGATTGCCGTCTGATAGACATTTTCAAGCCATTCAATTTCGCCCGCCTTGTGAGCAGCCGCCGCCAAGCAAGTGTGAAGAAAGGGACTCTGGGACCAGTTGGGGGAGAATAGACATTCTGTCATGCGCGTTATATCGTCGCCTTCAATCTCATCGTCGAGGTTCTTGAGCAAGACGATTATCTCGCTATTTCCACCATCCAGCTCGTCGAGAAGCTGCACGCAATACTGCAGGTTTACATACCGCCGATTTGAGTTCTCAAACGCCTTGCGATAATATAACAAAGCATTATCAGAATCGGATAATGCAAGGTAACAGGCAGCTATTTCTTCGCAGGTGTCACTGAGACTGTCAGTATTCGCCTGGCCCGATCCCTCCTCGTCACCGCATTTGCCCTGCGCAAGCAAATCCTCCACATAGGTTTCATCGTACTTGAACAGCACTATGGCTCGCGTATAATTCTTCTGCTCCATATACGCTTTCGCCATGCCTTCGCGGGCAGTCCAGAGCTTGTCATCTAGCTCCAAGGCCCGAGCAAATTCATCGATGGAGGCTTCGTAGTGACCGTATGCTCGGAGACACATGGCTACGCGGCGGTGCCAATTGGCGGAATGCTCCAGGGGCAACCATTCGGCGGCTCTGCGGATCTCTTCGACCGTGGGTATCTCGTTCGAAACTTCCTCTTCTTCTTTGCTTTCGGCTGCTCCCTGTTCACCTCCGGTTGTTCCATCCAGCAAACCCATCACCTGCAACACAGTCTTCACGCACACCTCGGGGGCCCAATAATCCTGGGCCAGCCATTCCTTGATTGTGAGCGTTGCGGCCGACCTGTAGAACTCTCCAGGTTGCTCAATAGCAGATGAAAGCCACTCCAGTGTTTCCTCGTCCAACGTCTCGCGAGTCGAACGGTCGGTGAGGAAGGCAATGATGGGATCGAGGTTCTCGCGAGTGACAAAAACGGAGGACTTGTGAGATAGCCAGCGCTTGGTGACCACCTCATCCCGGAGCATCTGCACGAGTAGTTTCGCAATACTCTGCTTGTCGGCAGGGGCAATCTGCTCCATGACCGGGACGGCCTGCAGAAGATGATCATCCCACGCGTTGAGTGCATATGCCTCCATTGACTCGCTGTCTTCTGGATCGAGCGGTGCTCTGACACTGCAAACCATTTCCAAGCAGAACTTCAGCGTGTGCACGCGGGCCTCAACAATCTGCACGCCCAGAGGGGTGCAGTCCTCTCCGCCAGACACCTTGCCTTGCGATGGGTCGCGGAAGAAATCACCGATGGACGCATGGCAGAAAATCACGTTTGTGGAGGAGAGACTTGAGTCAAAGTCGGTTTCATTCTCGACATCCTCCAGACCCTCGTCGTCAATGACCTCACTCTCCGCCTTGTACAGGAGGCTGCTATCCCCCTGCAGGTCTGCTGTGGTCAGCCCATCCTCGCGGACAAGCGTAAAAAAGGAGGCGTATTGCTTTCGGAGCATGTTTTCTAGATTGAAGACTCCATCTCCCTCGGCGGAACGGATTTTGAGGAGCGTGTCGAGCTCGCCTAGGGTTAAGGGACGCTGCGCGCACGTCACCCACGCCAGCATCTCGTTCAAGTCGTCGGGGTCTTCGTCCTTCAGCAGTGTGCTGAAATTTTCTAAAACATGGCGCAGCATCTGGTCCAGCCCTCGAGGAGCTTTGGTCAGTTGGTCCCGGATGGCGCTGGCACGAGTCTTCTTGCTCAGCTCTCGCAACATCAGGTCGACCCATATGAACATGCCCTGGGCGTTTTGCGTCAATGTCTCCTCGATCTCATCGCGTAGCGCTTTAGGGGCGCGGCTAAGCACCCGTGACTTCCTGATGCTGGTTTCAACATAGTGGGCGATGTCACTGCTGTTTTTGCGCCAGTCCACGTGGATGGTAGGTAGCGAGACGTCCAGGGCCTCAGCGAGGTCATCAAAGATCTCCGGACGACCCACCAACACGATTTGAATCCTCATGTTGTGCGGGTCGGCCCGCCGAAGATCAGATAACAGCCCCAAGAAGGTCTGGCGGTCCTCCTGGAAAGCTTCGTCCACGCCGTCAAACACGAGGAAGACGCTACTATCTCCGGCCGTGGTGTCGGCGAAATAGTTGATAAACAGCGTCCGCCAGGCGCTTTGAATGGTTTTGACATCTTGCGGGGAATGGCAATTCTGCTGGATGTATCTCTGATAGAGGGGATCATTCTGGTAGATCTGATATGCCAAGTCACGCAAGGCTCGGTGGAAGCTCCGGGTCTCCGGGTTGCTGTCCTTGAAGAAGAAGTAGCCGATGGACGTCCGAGACGGGTGGCTCACTCCCTGCGGGTGCATCTCCTGCAAGAAGGATATGATATTCTCCGATAGGAAGCTCTTGCCACTGCCCGGGTTGCCCGAGACCCACAAGACAGGGTTCTCTTGGTCTGTCCAGGCGCGAAACAGCTGCTCCGTGCGGATCCAGTCGCCGGTTCCCGGCACCCGACGCTTCGCGATGTCATTATAGATATCCAGAGGGCTCACTGAGGGTTCAAGGATCTTCTTGATCGCCGCCTGGTGTTGTATGTCCTTCGTACCGTTCCCGCTCCCACCGGTCGAGACGATGGCCGCCATGACGCCTTTAATCTCTTCACGCATCTCCTGGCGGAAATCCTGCTGGCCAACCGATATGCTCTGCACGCCCAGGCTCACCTCATCGATCTTGATATTGCCTTCCTGTACGGCCATGCTCGTCTCAGTGACGGTCACGGCAATGCCGGCCACAGCTTTGCCGGTCTTTTTTGACTCGGTCAACGTCTCGGCGCCCACCAGGCGATGCTCACTCTGACACTGCTTCTCCAGTTTACCTACCAGTCCCTGCAGCGTCTCATCCCGACCGAGAAGGATGTTCTTGGTAAAATGCAGCACGCGGCCCAGGGACCCGCCCCGAACCACCTTTGTCGATCGCGCGAAGATCTCCAGCAACGTGACTAGGATCTCCGCCAGCTTAGCCTGCAGCTCCGTCGGCAGGTCTTCCCGATTATAGACCTGCAGGCGCACTAAGAAGTCTTTCAGCGTGATGAAAAGGTCAGCGATGGCGTCGTAGGAAGCAGACACGCCGTGGGCGGCATTGACGAGGTACATAGCGGCGCCGAAGCAAAGTGAACTAGGTGGAAAGGCCATGGATGCGGTCCCGGCGGCCAGATTACCCACCAGCTCGATCGGTTTGCAGGCAGATGATAAGGAGTCGAATACCAGAGAGCGCTTCTCACGAAAGTGCTTGAACTCGTGGTTTTGGGTGTCAAGCATAGTCACCAGGGCCGCCGTAGAGACCGGATGCGGCGCGGAGGGGTCATCGAGGTCAATTTCCGTCAGGGCTCGGTACCTCTCTTTGGCCTGGTCCCATATTGCCTGAAATTGGGTGTCTTTCTCCATTATGGCAATGGGCGAGGTTCTTCGCTCGTCACCGGCTAAATAAAGATGTTCAGCAGGCAGGAGAAATTAAGTTGAATTGTGCAATGGCGACGGGAGAAGACGAGGGGCAGCGGCTGAGGGGGAAATGCTCGTATATATGAAGATATGAAGATATTGTGGCGACGCTAGGCAGAAGATGGCCTAGTATAAGCCTCAGCGCGAGTCATTAAACTAATTAGCAAGATCACACGAGCTGACACGAGTTGCATCGGCGAATGGGCCTCAGAAGCGGGCCCAAGGGCGATATTTAGGCATGCAAACATCCTGAAGAGTAATCGGACTAGATTAGCTGATGAAACAGATGGTTGTTGGGGAAGAAGAGGGATGGACTTGGCAGAATGCACCCTCCGGCAGGCACCTTCCACATATAGATATTCTCTACTAATTGTAAGTCCCTAGATTCATGATGGCGTACTAACCATGAGGTATTTGGCTCCCTTGATGGTTCTATTTTAGCCCTCGGGAGCTAGACTGGAAGAGGGATGGGAGGTCTGAGGATTGAGACCCGAGTCGTAGCTGTATCTTACCATTTGGTTCATAGTGTGTCAATCTTCATAACTTCACTAATCTCATTCAGTAGAACGCTGGTATCCCAGAACAGGCAACATACCCTTACAAGCTCGGTCTGATTGCCTTCTTTAAAGACTCTGCAACCTCCCATCCTCCCGTCTCGCCCGAGCATAAGGCACCTTCTATGTAGCCCTTCCACTCGCGCGCATATTCAGTACCCACGAAATGCAGATTTCCCACCGGCTTGCCATAAGCCGCCGCATGCTCCGTGAGGTGGCCCAAGGCCGTGATCGGTACCAAGGCGCCCCGGCTGAACTCCTCATGCTTCCAGATCTGCTCGAAGACTTCAATGGACCGATACACTTCCGAATCCCGCCCCATATTGAAGATATTTGCCAGATGATGCAGAACAGCAGCCCGTCTCTAATGTTGAAGGCTACGCCTGTGTCGCCAGGTTCAACTGCTTCGCGTAGGACCATATCCGATGCTGCTTTTTGTCATTCAACCAGGCCGCTCCCAGATCGGCCACTCCTCGACCGGATGCCAGAGGGACACTCCAGACTTTGCCGCCGACGCGATCGCGAGCCTCGACAACGGCAACTGATAGCCCGGGCTGTTGGACCGTATGTGCAGCCTGTAGGCCGCTACGACCGGCTCCGATGATAACTACGTCAAACATACTAGGCTTCTATGAGCTCTTTGAGAAGAAATAAAGGAAAACGAATGCAACTAGAGTCTTGTTCATGCTGTAGTGTGGGAGGAAGACTTTATAGGTATTCTTGCGGCGTCAACGAGAACGCGACCGTCAATCCTCGCTTTGTTGGCTATATGAGATGGCAAGAATATGCGAGCTTGCCATACATCTGCGATATACGTTCAATATACTTACCGTATAAGGCATGAGGAGCAGGTGGATTATCATTCGGTCGGTCAGTACATGGTGCTCTCATTAAGTTTCCTTTTTCGGCGGAGTTGAAGGCGTTGCATTTTCGCCAAGACGAGAAGTTCTCTTTCTCTCTGCTTTGTTCGATCAATGAGAGTTCTTCAACAATATTATCGATTATAGAGCTCGAAAAAAAAAATCTAGAAACTGATAGTCCTTCCGGGGTTGGCCTGCACAACGGTCAGCTGGACCAGGGGACAACAAAGTCAACATCAGCTTCATCGGCTTAGGCACCTACGCGATAAGGGCTGGGTCCAGCTCCATACTCCCTGTCGGAATCATCATGAGTATCGGCAATTGCAATGGCCAGAAGCTAGGACTGCCACTAATACTATCAAGACTCTTATCGTACATACATGTCTTGGAGAGAGTGATGGAATGCTGGCACTGGCGGAAAGCTCATAGGGCTGGCAGTCTTTCCCCGATTCGGTCGGTCGGCGGTCGGCCGACTTTTCTCTCCGACTCCGAGCCGCCCCCCTCTTCCATCAAGTTCATCGGGTCCGTAAACAACAATCATAATGAGTGGCAATCAAACATCCGAGGGAAAAGAGCGCCCGACAAAGGCAGGAAATGACAGCGACGAAGAGGAGGAGGATGTGTTCCACGATGCGCGATTCCCCGCGGAGGAGGAAGCCGTGAGTCCAGTCCAGAATCTCCCCCTCTCACTCATGGCGTCTTCATTGACACGTTGCTTGCCTGCCCATGCTAATACAAATCGTGACGATAGGAACTGATCAAAGAATCCCATTCCATAAAAGCCGAAGCGAACCAACTCTTTACGGCTGCCTCCTACGACCAAGCGATCTCTTGCTACGACCGTGCCTTAGCCTCGTGCCCTAGCTATCTCGACTACGAAGTCGCCGTTCTCCGAAGTAACATGGCCGCATGCTATCTGAAGCTCGAGGACTGGAAAGCATCGGTGGACACTGCGACCGCGTGTATCGACTGCTTGGATCGTGTGCTCCCGCCATCATCCACGACGGACACAACAGAGAACACGAAGAAGACACCGTCCCACGAGTCGATAGACGAAGTGGTGGAGATAACCGGCGACGAGGAGGAAGAGCAGAAGGAGCTACAGCGCTTGCAGGACCAAGATAAAAAGAAACAGGATGTCATGCGGATTCGAGCGAAGGCGCTGATGCGACGCGCGCGGGCCAAATCTCAACTCGGCGGATGGGGCAATCTCCAAGGGGCCGAGGAGGATTATAAGCTATTGAATAGTCTGGACAACCTGCCGCCGGAGGATAAACGGGTGGTTCAGCGGGCTCTGCGAGAGCTTCCCGAGAAGATCAACAAGGCACGGGAAACAGAGATGGCGGATATGATGGGGAAACTTAAAGATGTGAGCCTCCCCGACATATCACGATGTTACAGACGGGTTGCTAATTGCATCTATAGCTGGGCAATGGGATCCTCAAGCCATTTGGATTGTCCACGGATAACTTTCAATTTACGCAGGACCCCAAGACTGGGGGATACAACATGAATTTCCAGTCGTGAGCTGGCGGGATATTTTCTTCGCATTAACGTATTGTTTCAGGGCCTTGTGTTGCCTCTCTATCTCCGTTGGCTCGAATTGCAATTTTAACGCCTTCAGTATTTCGAATCGTTCCTTTTCTTCATGACTAACGTATTTCACCACCAAGCGGCGCACCTGTGTATCCCATACTAATCCAGCGTTTTTCGACCTCTAATATCTTAACTAAACTATGTCTAATCTGCTTTATATTTGTAAATTAATATATTGGGATAAAGTAAATTTAAATATTAAAATTATATAGGACGTACTTCTCTATATCTTCTAGTAATATATATTACATTGTATTTTACTGTATTTTATCTTAACCTAGTATAACAGATCACATACTGGTCTATATATAACCATGTTAGAAATGGATATTCCAGAAGTATATATATAGCTGTTATCAACATATTATTACAATGGGGCCAATGGTGGTCGAGATATTGAAGATCGAAAAACGCTTGATTAGTATGGGATACACAGGTGCGCCGCTCGGTGGTGAAAAACGTTATGGGGATTTCACGTGATTATACCCTGACATGGTGGGACGCTAAACTAAAACAGGCAAAGCTAACCTGAAGATTTGTGGTGGAAGGTGCAAGAGACTGATCTGTATGCGGAAGCAATTCGAAATGAAAAGGTTGATTTTCAATGTCCAGTTCGAGCTCTTTTGGCCAGTCGCTCCGATCGTCTGAGTTTTCCCGAGTAATAGTGTCGCTAGTCATCCAAGGTTCACGTACGCCGTTACCAAGCGCAGGTGAATGAGGCTTGTGGGCTATTAGCATTTCTGCATCTTAGTTCCATCCATCTCTCTGCATAAAATAAAATTAGAAGCACAACCTAATGCTCCGGAACGTTTTTTCCATCTAATCAAGTGCCAGGAGATTTTGTCTTTCTGAGCCGAAGTCAAGATGGAAGCCTGCTTTGCGGGTGGCTTTCTGGCCAGGCCTCCAGTTATACAGGCCGTATAGTTTATCCATCCCTCTGAGCTCGTATCGGGGCTGACTGACGGGGCATCCGCTGGTCCGGGGTTCCGGGGCTCCATCCCCACGCCGGCTGGAGTCGCAGGTGAGCTGACAGGCTGATAGTGACAGCGCTATTGTTTCCGGTATTCCGTCCTCCACGTTGGCCGGGAAAGTGGCAAAGGGCACCATTCCCCACAAGATCAACTAGTGAACACCTAATTGACATAACATGATCATTGAGAAGTACTCTTTTTGGGTGTTTCTCAAATCCCGGGCGCCTCCCCTTACGGTGTACAAGCTTTCCCCCCTCGGGCCGATGGCTGATGCGGCTAGCGTCGCAGTGATAGGCAGGCTTGGAAGTTTCATCAGCAGAAGGCTGACTCGTTCCAGATTAAGGTGGGGATTATGATATTATTAATGCGCCTCTGTTGTATGTATCTGCTTGAAGTTAAAGTGTTACGGTTTTACATACCGGACGTTGTTCGGCCAGTTCCGCCATCCAACCCACGGAAGCCCTCCCCCGCCTATAGTACGGGGGAGGTCCCCAGCCAGTATGGAGATCGGATGTACTCCGGAGTATGATAAATCAATCTGAACGACGGATCAGTTACCAACCTTACCTTACCTTACCGGACGCGAACAGGTCAGACCGTGAGAATAATCAAGAATGGCCGTTAGCACAATGACCCGAAAGACCGAGGTCTCGACCGAGAAGGTTAATCACTTAATCTTCCTATTACCCCCGTAATCCCGATGCGGTAAGATTCACGCTGCATGCTCGCTGCTTTGCCTGGTCGCTTTGGACTAGCTTCCGCTTGGCAGGATGGCCAGTGGATGCGCTCCGCTTGCCTACGGGATCTGGTCGCTACTTGAGCGCCAAGTATACGGAGTGTAGTATAACAGCACTACGCAGTGAGCTACGAGCCAGAGCAGTCTGGTAGCACAGAAAATCCGTCCACGTGGAAATCAAGAAACCTAGAAGGCGACCTCCCCCGTGGTTCTTGGGAACCTTCGAAGAATGTAGATCGGCCTAATGATGCAATTGCCCACCCCCGCCTCGGTACGCGCTAGTATTTAGTGAAGTGAATACGGTCTCGTAACCTGCAGCGGGCAGACACCGAATGGTGGGGGACTCGGCTCATTATTGGCTGGCAGCGCATCTCCTCCCCGCACGATCGTCTGGAAAGGCCGCTACTCTTAAATGGTGGTAACTAGTTAACGTCACTCTCTTACACAATAATTACCTTCTACCATGAGCTACAAACCGCCGCCGGAATTGCTCTAGCAACATTCACCAATCACTGCAGTAGCTTAACTACTCCGAGGCACTTGGCCCCGCATTACACTCGCCCGTACCTTATCTGACTGGCCCAGACTGAGGACCCTCCCCGGTGTTTCTCTTTCCCCCCCTCTCTTCACTGTTTTCCCTGGGTCGAGGTCCCCAAGGCTACCTTCACCTTGGACCTTGAAATACCCTTCACTCGCCTCTCATTTTCTTCCCTTCTTCTCTCCTCTCTCTCTCTCTCTCTCTCTCTCTCCTCCATCTCTTTCCCCTCTTTCCTCCCAATCCCCACTCACCTTTTTCATCATGGCCGATTTGTACACCACCATCGAGACTCCTCTCGTCAAGTACGAGCAGCCTTTGGGCCTGTATGTATTCTCTTCTGTCCATCTGCGCATTGCTCCCTGTCTGCTGGTCAGAATGCTAACCTTCCTCGGTCCAGGTTCATCAACAATGAGTTCGTCAAGGGCTCCGAGGGCAAGACCTTCGAGACCGTGAACCCCACCAACGAGAAGGTCATCACCTCCGTCCACGAGGCCACCGAGAAGGATGTCGACATTGCCGTCGCCGCCGCCCGCAAGGCCTTCGAGGAGACCTGGCGCCAGGTCACCCCCAACGAGCGCGGTCGCATGCTGGTCAAGCTGTCCGAGCTAATGGAGCGTGACATCGACACCCTGTCTGCCATTGAGGCCCTGGACAACGGTAAGGCCTTCACCATGGCCAAGATCGACGTCGCCAACGCCGCCAACTGCATCCGCTACTACGGCGGTTGGGCCGACAAGATCCACGGCCAGACCATCGACACCAACCCCGAGACCCTCGTCTACACCCGCCACGAGCCCATCGGTGTCTGCGGTCAGATCATTCCCTGGAACTTCCCCATCCTCATGTGGGCCTGGAAGATCGGTCCCGCCATCGCCGCCGGTAACACCGTGCTTCTCAAGACCGCCGAGCAGACCCCTCTCTCCGGTCTCTACGCCGCCAAGCTGATCAAGGAGGCTGGCTTCCCCCCTGGTGTCATCAACATCATCTCCGGTTTCGGCCGCGTCGCCGGTGCCGCCATCTCCAGCCACATGGACATCGACAAGGTCGCCTTCACCGGTTCCACCCTGGTCGGCCGTATGGTCATGCAGGCCGCGGCCAAGAGCAACCTCAAGAAGGTCACCCTCGAGCTGGGCGGCAAGTCCCCCAACATCGTCTTCAACGATGCCGATATTGACAACGCCATCTCGTGGTCTAACTTCGGTATCTTCTTCAACCACGGCCAGTGCTGCTGCGCCGGTTCCCGTATCCTGGTCCAGGAGGACATCCACGACAAGTTCGTCGCTCGCTTCAAGGAGCGTGCCGCCCAGAACAAGCTCGGAGACCCCTTCCACGAGGAGACCTTCCAGGGTCCTCAGGTCTCCAAGCTCCAGTTCGACCGCATTATGGAGTACATCAACCACGGCAAGCAGTCCGGTGCCACCGTGGCCCACGGTGGTGAGCGCCACGGCGACGAGGGTTACTTCATCCAGCCTACCGTCTTCACCAACGTCACCAGCGACATGAAGATCTCGCAGGAGGAAATTTTCGGACCTGTTGTCACCGTCCAGAAGTTCAAGGATGAGGCCGAGGCCATCAAGATTGGTAACAGCACTGCCTACGGTAAGATCTCCCAACCCTAACTTTAACCTTCGTTCCGCGGACTAACTCTAATCTTTCCAATCAGGTCTCGCTGCTGCCGTCCACACCAAGAACGTCAACACCGCCATCCGCGTCTCCAACGCCCTGCGCGCCGGAACCGTCTGGATCAACAACTACAACCTCATCTCGTGGCAGGCTCCCTTCGGCGGCTTCAAGGAGTCCGGTGTCGGTCGTGAGCTCGGCTCGTACGCCCTCGAGAACTACACCCAGATCAAGGCCGTGCACTACCGTCTGGGCGACGCTCTCTTTGCTTAAAAGGTTTCATAATGACGTGATGAAAATAAGCGTTTGGCTTTTTTGTACCCTGGTTAGTTAGTTAGTTCCAGTTCCAGTATATTGGACGATGGTTGATGGGTTTGGATTCTCATTGATCATGTAAAAACAATTTGATACCAATTTTGACACTGTTCATTTTACTCCTTCGGGGATTTAAACCTGAGTGCTTGGTTTTTTTTTTTTTTTTTTTTTTTTTTTTTTTTTTTTTGGTAGATGGTTGTTGTGCTCTGTAGTGTCGGACTAGGTACCACTCACTACCGCTGTCGTACGCTGTCCTTCTTTCTTGCCAAAAGGCCGACCGACCCAACTTGGTTGCCCTATTGCTTGCCGATTCCGAGTCACTCTGAGAGATCTTACCTAGTTAACTAATTGCGGTCAGAAGACTTACACACTGTCCGGTTTGGAGGTTAACCCGAATCAGCAATAATTACTACTCCGTAATACCGACCACCTTTCCAGTTTCTACCTACGGAGTCGATCTAACTGCTCCTACCCTACCTACCTAGTAAGCAATGCACTCCCTCGGGGCACTGTATCCCAAGCGGGAAAAAAAGCAAAAGAAAATCAACCCAACAAAACCAAACAATCAATGATGATAGATACAAGAAAGGGACACATTACCCCGAGCTACCACTATTGTAACTGTTCGGTTACAATAATAAAGATGATAATAATGGTGGTGGGGTGTGAGGGGCCATGCGAAAGAAAATTCGGGTTCGGGGTAGTTCCCACCGAGACGAACTCGGGGTGAAAATATACCGAACTACACCCCATATTTTCTGTATCGGTAACTATCTGTATCTTCGAGAAGATACAGATCTTGAAAGTGGAGCTGTACGGACCGGGTAATTATTTACTGAGATCTGAGATTCGAGATTCTGGAGTGAAATCTGGATCGCAGAATCTGGTGGGGTGTTGGGGGTACACCGGTAGGAAGCAAGGGTGGGTTCAGGCTGTGGTGGCATGATGCGTTGCGCATTGCCCGATTGGGAGGGGGGCGCTTGACTACATACGTACATACTTCCTGACAGCCTAAGATTCCGCCTTTGTTTGCTTACTTGATTGCTTGCTTACTTACTCAATGAACCCTCCGTTGTCCCTCAGGCGCAATATGCAACTTTTACTCTGTCGCCATGCCGTTGTACGGAGTACTGCAGGGAGGGCTTACGGGAAGTGGACGTTCTTGGAGGCAGGTCAGTGAGACGTTCTATAGTGGTGGCGACACAACCTAATTCACTGCTGTACACGCATCTTCTAATAATCATCTGAAAGAGTTTGCCTGTCAGTGGCACATCTGGTTAAACTGCTGATTCATGTTCATGCACAAAATATCTAGTTACGGCAACTAGCCAGGGTAGCCTCTTATAATTTATTCTATCTAATTCAGATAATCCAGCCAGCCCACCGACCATACCAGACCATCTCAATCACCCATGTGTCTATCTCTCTCTCTCTCCATCGATCCTTGCCATCTTCCTAACCCGCGCGCCCCGTATTCATCAGGAAATCCCAACCAACATCATAAAAGCCTAACGACCAGTTTCATGTCGCTCATTCGCCTGCCTGATAAATTCGTCCCGATATTCTTTCGCCAGGTCCCTGCTATTGCGATACGCGTTCACACCCTGTTGGTAGGATTCCGGACTCCCGATCAAGGAGTAATATCCGACCTGGGTCATCACGTAATCCGTCTGACGGCCTGCGCCGGGGTCGATATTGCTCGGAGTCCGTGTCGGATGGGTCGCGTAGATGCCCAGAATTCCGTCTTGGAAGGTAGACGCCATCGCGTAGGCGTGGTCATCGTACGTAGAATCATGGGCGGGAGCAGGAGCAGGAGCAGAGCCATCGTCAACCTGCGGTCGATTGCTGCTGCGCTTCTCTTGCGCATGTCCATATTTCTGGAGGGAATGCATCGCTCGTGCGCCCAGCGTGCTATCATACAAGGCCTTACGTTTCAGCACGGGGCCCGAGCCATAGTGGCCTTCTGTCTCGACGAAGAAATTAGGCGTGATAGGGCGGTTGCTCCGCCGGGTGGGGATGATCTGGTCACTGAGCTGTTCCCGGACGCGAGGATTCAGCTGGTTAGGCGGCGCGCCGTGGTAAATATCAGGTCTGGCATCGGCGAGAGTACCGTCCGTGAGAGGCGCCAGGTTCGTGAATGGGTAGTTGCCGCCATCATGGAAGGACGACTGTTGCGGACCGTCGAGGATCGGAAGGATTTTCTTGATCACGAGCTGCTCGTCGGGGGTCCTGTCGTTGAGTCGCTGGAATCCTTTATATTCCTTGCGCAGGGAATCTTCGGACAATGCGAGGGACGGGCGAGGGGCTCGTAACCGTCTTTGGATCTCGGCGATATTCTCCGGTTTACAGACCTCGGTCCCATCTGGGTATGTAGAATAGGGCAGAAAAATACCGTGGTCATTCAGATGGCTTTCAAAGTGTCAGTCGTAGACAGTCGTATTTCCGTTCTTTGGAGTTGACCGCTTCGAGCTGGAGTCGGTAGGATCTATTGAGTACTGACTGAAATGAGCTGGTGCGGGATACTAGAAGCAAAACTTGCCTAGTTAGTATGCTATGCATCTATTCCATAGAGAAGCGTCTTGGAGAGGGAGATAGAGCGACTTAAACCTACGTTTCTAATGCCCGATAGATCCGGCCCTCTACGGCGGGAAAGTTTTCTGATCTCTTGTAAACAAGTAGCCGAGCAGTTGCGCAAGAAATCAGGAGCGAAGGTATGAGGGCGAGGAGACGAACTGCTCTGGTTTGAGGATAGGAGGTAGTATCGTCGGTCAGCTTCTCGTAACGCGCTCTTGGTCAATTACAGCTTCGTGAGCTTCTCCCAAAACAAGGGCGGAGGATGGAACGTGCGACATTTTCGTTGTCGAGGCTGATGCTTGGAGGACGGCATAGAGAGATTTTGTACAGGTATAACAACTGAAGAGAAGACTGTAGAGATTAAAAATCAAGATCCGTTGGTGGAAGGCATTTTATGGGCATCTAAGATAAAGAGATTACTGTGAAACAAGCATGGTTGGGCTGGTCCCTGGTCGGGTTAGAACAAAGAGAATGGGTAGCATTACTACAAAGCATCCTTTATCCTGATCTATTGATCGTAATCAATATCACCATCTCAATACGCGATCTAGGTGCCATGGAACCGCCAGGATAGCTTGAATAGTCGTACGCAGGAGCCTCACGCCATGAGGTCAGGGAGGAGCTGAAATCCGGCGAGATACCGTAAGCGAGCAAGTAGATCGGAGGGGCAATTGGGTGTTGGAATTCATGACAGCGCCGACTTAAAATTCCAGAATTATTATGCTCGTGTGCTCAGTTTACTCTTCGGTACTCTAACTCTGCAACCAGGGTTTTGCCGCAGGCGGTTCAACAATATCGACAGGCGGGGACATATTATGCTGAGATTATTACGACCGAGGGCGATATTTTGTGGCGGGGCAAATCGGTAGACTCTGCAAATGCGAGGTGGTGTTCCCAGGGTTTTCTTGAGTCCACCTCTTGACTATCAGAAGACCATATCTGAATAGAATCAATGTTCCGATTTTTGAGCAGGAGAAACGAAGGGATACCTTACCAACTGTTTTGGATTAGAGCCCCGCTGCGTCAATGTATATTTCGGCCATGGTGTGGACAAAGCAGAATGAGACAACACATTTTGGTGAGACAAGCCACGTATAACTGGGTAGTAACAACATCTTATAAAATCGGATCCTGCTATTAATAGTATTCCAACCAACCCAGGAATTAATCCCCAAGGAAGTAAAATGTCAAGGAGATTTGGGGCAAGTTGTACATGAAACCAAAAAGAAAGAAAACCAAAAAGAAAGATTTCAAATGATGCGTCGGCCGGGAGTCGAACCCGGGTCCCTTGCTTGGAAGGCAAGGATGATAACCGTTACACTACCAACGCTGGTACTTGTTGTTTGTTTAAGGTTATGATGTTATGAGTAGAAAGTCAAGATTACAATTTATCTACAACATCCCCCGTATGTACACAACTCAACATATCTTAACTACAGTCTGGCCTGCACTCCCTCCCGGTTCAACGCTTCCTCCTCGTCCGTCCATCTCGGTCCACGATACTCAGGCGCCGCCTCCGAGGCGACATGGCGATGCATATCATACCTGATCCAGTTAGCTTGTCTCCAAGATATATTGTCCGGTATCAGCACAAGCACTTACTCATTCATCTCCTCAATTGTCAGCTTCTGATTCTCGCTCGCCACCTTATACCGCTGACTCGTCTTCTGACTAGAGAAGCCAATCCGCTCCGAAATATTCTCCCTCGCGCGCGCACTCGCCGCCTGCACTCGACTGGCCCTCGTCTTCCGAATCTTCTCATACAACCCCAACCCGGCGTTGACGTTCTCCGTGTACGCATACGCCGGGCTAAAGACCAGCCCAAGCGCCGCCGCATCCTCGATCGCCTGACACGCGCCCTGGCTCTGGTCCGGGAGCATGGGATGCGCCGCGTCGCCGAGCAGACAGGTCCGCCCCTTCTGCCAGTACGGGTAGGGCTGGTGCACGAAGAGCCGCCAGGGTTTAATGTCCGTGGAGTTCCGGAACAGGGCCAGCAGCTTGGGATCCAGGTTGGGGAACGGCGCTAGGAGCTGCTCGCGCGACGCTTCGTAGTTCCAGCCCTCCTCGGCGTGGTCGCTCATCGCGGTCGGGAAGAAGCAGTAGAACGAGTGGATTTCGCCGTCCCGACAGGGGGAGAATACGATCTTGTCGATCCCTGATCCGCCCCAGAACTCGATCGCGCTGTTCGGTGACATGTCGGTTAGTCCGAGGCGGCGGACATCGGCTGTTTCGATGACGCAGTGGTAACATGTTGATGTGGATTGTTTGCGCTCGGGGAGGATGTTGAGTGTGCGTCGGACGGCAGACTTGACGAGAAAGGTTTTGGTTAGCTGGCTGGCTAATTTGGTCTACTACCTGAGCTATAGGTATGGTTGGGACTGACTCCGATTCCATCAGCGCCGATGATCAAATCATGCTGAACGGTGACTTTGTTCTTGAAGGTGATAGTGCCCGTCTCATGGTCGACCGACTCGCATGCATGGTTCAGCACCAGCTTCGCCGGCTCACCTTCTCCAGGACCCGTCGCCGAAATCATCAGCATCTCGTGCATGTTGACGCGATGAAACATATTATACACCTGTCCGATAACTTGATTAGCCCACAGGACCCCATGACTTAGCCTTGTCGGTAGGAAAAAGACGACATACATAACCCCATCGATCCTTATAATCCGACAGATCATAAACATCCTGCACATCGCCCGTCGCCCAGTCATGACGGATCAACTTCTGCAGAATCACCGGTTTTCCAATGCGAGTGTCAACGCCCCATTCCTCGAGCCAGCGCGTCCCGTTCGCCGCGCAACTGATCGACGCCCCGACCTCGCCGGCGAAGTCGGCTCGTTCGTAGACGGTGACCTTGTGGCCTGCTCTGCGGAGAGATGTCGCGGCAGCGAGACCTCCTGGATTGAGTACATTAACAATTTGTTTTCATAAGATGAGATGGCCAAGAGGTGAGGTAAGAAGACAGTACATACCAATACCGCCACCGATGACGGCAACATTTAGTTGATGCCAGTGTCCAGCCATGTTGAGCACTTCAAGTAGTGAAATCCCTCACTTTTCAAATTTGTATGTATGAACAGAGAATGTCATGTCCCAAGCAGCGAGCAAGAGCCCACATTTAAATCCTGGGACCAGAAAACCCCTCTCGCGAGCTTATCAGTGCTCTTTTGCTTTTGGCTTGAATGAAGTTTGTTTGGTGGCGTGGGTGCGCGGCCCGAGTCCATTGTTGCAGCGTGCGCGGCCCGCTGCATCGGGTATGTTCCTCTCTCTGACGTACGTATCTGACCTTGCCGATAGTAACCGCCGATCTGATCTCGCGCACGGACTTTGGGTTCAGCTTTGGTGATGTCTATCTTCTCTGAAGGAGAAGCGGGGCTTCGATCGTGGTGAGTGGAACTTGATTTTAGTCTTGGTCGTGAAGGTGGGGGGGTTTGAGGTCCAGGGGGAGTAGTTTGGTCTGGTTAGATGGGGGTTTTATGCGGATGGGTTAAATCTTCTAGATATTGGTAGCTATCTACGAATACTGCTGTTCATTGTTATAACCTGTCAGGATCGCGGTGCGATCAAGATGAGAAAGATGCTTGAATTCCTAAAGATGCAGCGTAGCTGCGAGAGAGCTATCTACCGTGTGGATCAGATGACACACTAAACTACCCTAGGAAGGAGAAGCGGTCCAACATAAACTGGTTAGTTTTGGTGTATTCTTCACATTGTTTCCATTTACCTCTTAGAGCCTCTCCACCAAAGACGAGTAACTGGTCACCATGGTACTCGGGGAACTAACCACGGGACAAATAAAGTAGATGAGTCGTTGACATAGAGCCGAGAAGATAGAGAAGAGGGGGATTGATCTATGAACAGGAATCGACTCGAGATATACAGCAACTGTTCCTTTGTCTCTATTAATACTAATCACGAAGCCGAGGACCGAAGAGAGTAAGAGCATAGAGAAAGAAAAGGTCAGCAAAAGGTTGCGTCCCTGCGTGGGAGAAAAGGCAGTAAAAATATATGAGTGACACTTCAACAATTTAGGTTACTGTGGCTAATTGAGGTGTGGGACCTGAGTACCATCAAGACCTGAAATAGGCGCTGCTCACCATTTGCTATTCCAGAACAGTGGCCCGCCAGAGGTTGGAATAGGTGAGTCGGCCGGCGGTCGAAGAATAGAGGCTTCGTTGACGTGCGAGTACACCTTTTCACAGGTGGATGGTAACCTGTGATTCCTATACATCATTTTTTTCACCTCTTGTATCAGATGCATGGAATTCAGCTCTAATTGCGCGAAACTAGGCGAGTGCCTGCTGAAGATGGATCGGCTTTGATCAATAAGGAGCCCGGTCCTGCAGAGAACAGGGACGACATCGGCAGAGTAAGCTAAAAAGTCGTCAATGCCTGGTGTCGAGTTCTTTCCGTCAATCATAGAAACAGCCTGTTTCGACACCATGGCTGAAGCAGGTCGTCCTGAGACGTTCGCTATTGCGGCAAGCGAGACAAAACACTTTGAAATGAACGCTCGAGTCCGATTAGGAGAGTGAATAGTCCATGTAGAGGGCTCATGGCTGAATAGAGAAGCAGCTCCTTCCAAATGCAAGCGCCATGAATAGGCCTTTTCTCGTCTAGATATGACTTCTAAAAAGCATAGCATCATGATAGCTGCCATTATAGAGTCTGTTGGGCGGCCGGAAAGCTTCTTTCGCAGCTGTTTGACGGCAATCACCTGCAACTGCGCAGCTTGTTTAGCGTCCTGAATAGCCCCAGAATGGAGTCGATGTACCACAGCAAGGTTAAGTGCGGAGACCATGACAAACGGGCTTCCATCGCTATTGGAATGAATGTTCCACAGGATTCGTTCCGTAGGCTCACATTGCACGAGAATGAGTCTGCAGCGCGAATGAAGTAGTCGAGAAGCGCCCTGTCAGCTGTAGAAAGTCCAGGAAGCAAGGACAGGTTTCTTTCAATCATAGACTCTGTACTTCTGACTGCCCGATTAGGGCAGGTAATGCTCTCTGGCTCCTGAGGCATCATCCGTAGTAAAGAGCCCTTGGGTTGAGCTGGAGCCACAACGCCTCTGTTTGATGTGTCGACGCCATACACAAATGAGGTATTACTAGTCGTACCAGTAGCAGCAGTACGCTCCACTAGGGCTACAGTTGTAGTTAGATATGATACTTTGGTGAGTCCACACTCGAAAATTATGCCTACGGAGTACGTACCTTGCATTCGCGAAGTAGAATCCTCCGAGTGTACCCACACTACTGGGGTACGCTGACTAGCATCCTCGCCACGAATACATTGGCCGAAGATCGATTTGCTGAAAGGTCGACCGCCCCAGCGACATTGCAGTCCATACGTACAGTCTCGCCCAAGCTTTAAGCACAGAGTACATGTGGGCCGTCGCTCGTCACATTTCCGGTGATGTGCTCTGCATTCAAGACAGCCCCACCGAGAGCGAGGAGTGCGCTTCTTTTGCATCGTCGAGTGGTCTAGACTCCGTTAGACTATAGCATCATGCCTGCAGGACCTTGAGATGGATGCAAAATCTGAAGTCTTACCTGATCAGAGTGATGGTCACCGAGTGGTAGAGGCTAGTCCGAATCAGGAAAGTATAGCCCAGTGTCCGTTAGGTCCACATTAACAGAGTACGGAGTATGTATACAGTGGGCCTCCTCAGATGTACGGGGTATTTAGTCTACAACAGAAATCTATAGACCTGTCCAATTAAGCCTTTCATCCTGACCGGCTTCGATTTCTTTCATTTTGCTGAAAGTGAGACTATGTGACATTTCTTGGTTGCATCTTGTCCATTGTAGAACAATCACAACCCTGCATGCTCTTTCAAGGAGTGATGTCATAGGCTAATCTTGTAAATTAATCTATGTCTATGCAGAGAGAAAACTAGAGATCTAGACTAAGTAAATGTACAAAAATAATCAAATTGGCCCAAAAGTCGCATTGTACGAAGGCAACGCCGCCGGATCCCGTTTTGCCGAGATGACCAACGGGGCGACCAACGTGATGGAACCCCCCTTACGGATATTCAACCGATATTCGAGATTGTACAAGCGCGAGACCAGACACGTATGGAAAGACGGAATGAAATTCTCCCGTGGAAGTGTCACCGGTACTTGGAGACTTGTGGTGAACGACCCACCCGTCTCATCCTGGAGCCAATTGACTGAGAATATGGGACGAAGAAGAGGCGGAAATCGTTTGTCGTGGAATTTGGTCGGTTGTCCGAGACATTTTTTTTCCTCGAAAGGCCGATAGCTACCGTCCGTACTCGTCGTGTGAAAAGTACGTGCTATGATCTGGCTCTCCACCGAATCCAGTTGGGGTGGAGACAGCGACTTGGAATGCTCTTCCGGGTGATATAAGAGGGTAATCCGGACAGTTTGGCTGATCAGGATATGAGGATCTCGAAGTGGGAGCCAGATGCGGATTGGGGTATCTTCTATAGCTGCAGATAGCTGCCCCAAGGCTGTCTTTTTGAGCCTGTTAGCATAGATGGTCTTTTCCCCCCGGATAGAGTACTCGGACTGGGAAATGAGGCCCGGGTGTAGAACCAAGCTCCTATCTAACGCCGGCTTGATACGTAACATTTGCTTCCTTATGAATAATGACTTTTCCACGCCCGATACTGGATTCATGCGGATAATCTGGAGTTGGATAGTATAGGAAATATGACATGCTTCTGGGGCAAAGTCATCGCGCAATCTGCCGTCAAGTCCAGAGACGGTGGCGTCTCCAAGGCTTGGGGGAGGTCGTAGGTGTGCTGCTCGTACAATGGCCGGGGCGGACTTGTTGTGTAGGCAGGAAGATGGGGGTAGAATGTCTGGGATGTCGAATGCAAAACCGAAGGAATACCTCTGGTTCTTGCGTAAGATCTGCGGAGCTGGAAGATTTGATTCCGGGCTAGGCTCTATAATCTCTTGAAATTGGTGGTGGGCTTTATTCGGGGCTGCAAAGTGTGCTCGTGTACTTTGGTACCCTGGTTCTTTGGTTCAGATCTGTGAAAGAGGGATATTTGAGAGTTTGGATTGCTCACCTATGAAATTGATTTGAAGTTGATCGAATTCGATGTTACAGGAAGAAACCACTACGACAACTCGGCTGATTCGATCTCCTGTCGTATAAGATGAGATGTACGACTCAAACCCGTGGCAACCATCTAAGATGATGTCTGCAGAAATTGCATAGCTCAAGTCGTCCATTTCCCCTGAGAAGTCCAGGTTCACTGGAAGATCTTTCTTCTCTTCTGGCGCCTGAACCTTTTATTAAACAACACCGTAGGCGAGTAGATCAGCTGAGACGGTAAATGACCCACCACCCCAAGTACCAAGGTACGCCTACTACCTACCTAGTAACCCATATGTCGCCACTCAGAAAGACCCACCATGAACAGAAGTTACTTCGTATTATATAGTATTATTTTTCAGGCTTAGCGGCTTGTAAAAATACTATAAAAGTAGGTAGGATGGTCCCAACCTTGTCTTTTCCCCCTTTACCTCACTACATGATCGCAGATTCCTCATCTTTATCCGCCATGACACAGACCAAAAGACCTGTTGTTTGCATATTGTGAGTCCTTGACGCTACCTAGTTCTATAATCTGATTATATCTGTAAACAATTATATCGTCTATGCTAATTAATTTCAATTGGGCAGCTGCGGTGCAACGTCGGGCAAAGACCCAGCACATCTCGATGCAGCGCGAGCCCTCGCGCTTGAATTCCACAAGAACAACGTTCAGCTCGTCTACGGCGGCGGGACCACAAATCATGGGCGAACTGGCAAAGACGCTCGTGTCTCTCTCCGGACCACAGGCCGTTCACGGCATAATTCCCCGTGCGCTGGTCCACGTATCCGCGAAGCACGACGGCCCCGAATTGAACGGGGGCGCGAAAGCAGCGGAACGAGTCGTCCCGTCATCATCACTGGATATCGATGAATATGGAATTTCCGAGTCCGAATATGGAATCACAGCGATTGTGCCTGACATGCACAGCAAGCGGCTGATGGCGACGAAGGTGGTGGAAGGTGGACCGGGGTCGGGGTTTGTTTCACTCGCTGGAGGATTCGGGACGATTGAAGAGTTGATGGAGATGACAACGTGGAATCAGCTGGGAATTCATGGCGTTGAGATTGTATTGTTGAATGTTAATGGGTTCTGGGATGGGCTCATAAGCTGGTTGCACCAGGCGATTGAGCAGGGATTCATCAGCCCTGAGAATGGGTCCATTCTGGCAGTAACACGCGAGGTCTCTGAGGTTGTGTTAATGTTGTCGCAGTATCAAAGGAGCTCTGATCGGATGTTGCTGAACTGGGGTGACAAGTGAACAGTCCCTGACGTCACAGTTTAATCGATATCTTTTATGATGATATCTATGCATATAAAGCATTGTTGTGGAACTAAAATCATGCCGATGAGTATAATCAGCAGCTGTTGAACAGATGTACGCTGTCGCACTGTAGGGTAGGTCTTTATCCAGAAGAGAAATGAATAGGTATGTCAATAACCAATCATATTCGCCATACTCCTCATTCTAAGGTACATTCATGACAATGATAAGACAAATATGCTGGGCTCAATTTGCTGACTTCAAAACAATTTAAAACTTTCCGGAAACCTAGATTCCCCAATTGATGGAGGCAAGTAAATAAGACCTACATGACAAATAATCGTGACTCTGGGAGCAACGCAGGCCATGTATCGCCGTTATTATTCGTCCATATTCGTTCCAGCAGCTCAATTGCCTTCAGAATATTAGAGAAACCGTTCAGATGATACTGGCCCTCTAAAAATTGCTTGAAGAAGAGTTGATGCTCGGGAATGGAGCTTTCGGACGCTGCAATGAACGACGGCCATACAAGGGTATGCTGGCCTGGGGCATCATCTGGAAGTGACTGCAGGGTATCTATGAAGCGTTCGATGCGCTCCACATGTCGTCGACTTCGGCGTCCCAGCATGGCTCGCTGTAGGTAGATGTCATATGCTTGCTGCCGAAGACCTACAATAAGGTCAAACGTCGATGAGTGATCGGGATGCAAGCCGGAGTTGAAGTATAAGCAATCGAAGCTTTTCTGGGCAGAGGACAAGATTGTCTGCACGCCGGCCTCCTGGCTGAGTAATGGTGCTGCGTAGACTCGCATTCTTGCCCGGTTAGTGAATAAAGCTCTAGACACCAGAAAAGAGACGAAAACTCACTTGCGAATCTGACGCATAAGAAACCTTGTCAACTCGCCATCTCCAAGTCCGTTCTTACCTCCAACTGCCTCGAGCGCAGACTGCAGCATGTAGAAAAGAATGGGAAAATCGGAAGATCCGTTGACCATAACCCCCACCAGCAGAACTATGATCGCGAGAAAGATGGAGTGTCTTGTCTGCAGGTCACATTCCCTGAAAGTACTCCTACCCTGAAGCCCTGCGATGACTTTCGCATACAGCCTATCGGGTCGGTGATCGCGTTGGCGGCCACCTTTTTCGCAAATATGGAAGGCCGACACGGCGGAGACGGCATCCATGACCATCTCGTCGGCGTAGGCAAAAGGGAGAATAAAACATCGCCATCCGTTGTAGCTGTCATCCATGACCACCATTTGAGGTGCGATATGGTTAGAGACTTGAGCGGTTATCATCTGCCGTTTCTTTCAAGGGGAGGCGGGTTATGAGAGCTTACAGTAAGCGAGCAAGTATTCACTCCGTGGCGCCACCATGTCAAGTCCGGTCATAAGAGGGAAAAACTCTGTTGTCTGGATGGCGGCAAGGGCATCCGTAGGGTATTGGTCTGTCAGCCCCGTATGTGTGTCGAGCAGAGTGGGATAGCTGTCAAGATCTGCTGGAGCGATGGATGAGGTCGCGCAAGAGACATGCTGGATGTCTTGGGACTGCACTGAAAACTTGCTGTATCTTCTCCTGTGAGCTTTGCACCAAGGTGACGTATGGCAGGACAACATACAATCCATCAGTCACATCACCTCGACGTCGAATCCTACCTCGCGTGCTGACCTCCTCGCGGAAGCGGTATCGAATGCCGAAACCACTACATATGATTCCTTTAGACATACATTTGGTGCACTGCGGTTCTGTACGATCGCAGTTGATTCGTCGCTGCGAGCACTCGTAGCAACCTATCCTCAGCGGTCAGAACCCCTGCCGTAAGACTAAGACGACATCCCGTGCATGGCATGCATACCTTTAACTTTCGGAACGTGAGGACGTTTCTGACGGGGCATACTGCGGGGTGAATGAGATGCTTGTTCAATAACTTCCTCTCTGCCCACGAATTGTTGAGAATCGATCGAATGTTGTGCCGATAGCCTGGACTCCCGATGGAAGATCGACAGCGGGGAGGAGCGAAATGCACGTCCGGGGATGCACCCGGTCACGGGAGTCGGCTGCCTGAGCCGGTCTCGTCGGGTATGTCTGCCTTATCGTGTGAGGGGTTTCTTAAGAATTCCGAAGAACCCGCGAGAATTCTGGCGATCCAACTCACCCTGGCTCGTTTAATGGACACTCGCAGATAAGAAGCCGAGCTGTCTCGAGTTCTCAATCGTCACAAAATGACATCGGCCGAGGATCCGATATCTTGCCATCCACCCCGCCATGGATACTAAGCATGGTATATAGTAACTAACGATCCCACTGATATTACATCGCCACCGTAGATGTTGCCACAAAACATGTCACACTCGTCATTTATGCCCGAGTGATGTGAGTCCTAGTCATGCATCGACAGCATACGCATTTGCCTCAAGAAACAGGCTTGCACCTCGCCTATAATCTTCACCACCCCCTGGATTCAACATCTAACCATAACTCTTGATCTATATACATGAAGTCTTTCTATCGGCAGCACTCAGTAGATAATCCTGTCGTCCCATTCCTGCAGAGCCCTACTGTACAACGCGACCTGCTCCGCAACCGGCACGGGGTCCGTTTTACCTCGTCGACGGCGCGACTGCACGGTTTCAAAGAAAGAGGCATCACTCATAGCACCGCTGTTCCCTTTCGGCTCAAGCATATACGTACGGTACTCAGCATTGGTCCACCCGGTTCCTGTATGATGCGATCCCAGTCAGCAGAAACCTTTCAGTAAACGCACCGCGTAGTTACAAACCTTCATGTGCATAACTATCTTCCCAGTCTTCTGTCAGGAAATGCAAAAAGGCGCCGTGGGTGACTACCACAATTTCCTTCTCCGGCCGCTGGCTCAATCATTGCCGAATCGCTCGAGCTCGGTCTTCAATGCTCTCCGTGACAGGTCTATACCGACCACTCTGTTTCAAATAGTCGGTCAGGTTGAATGACGTAGTTGTCGCGATAGAATTAAACAGCATGCAGCAACTGCAAGGGCGAGGGTTGCGGATTACTCACCTTACTGGTCCATCCCTCGTGAACAAAACTCCAATCAATCGGAACGTCCCAGTCCCGCGCCCTAGCTTTTAGTTCCTCGACTTCGCTCCCCACATCATAGGGAAAATCGCTGATCTCCTGCAAATCCGGTAAGAGCATCAACTGCCGTGCAGGCTCGTGATGGAATGTCGGTTTGAACCCCTCGATAGCTGTCCTGATGGCGCGAGATAAAGGGGAAGCAACCACCACTTCGACGTCATCATGATTAGGGAAATCTTGCCTCAGTCGTAGGCACTGGTCTCGGCCAGTTTCGGTCAGGAGCGGGTCGATTAAGGACCAATATGCGTGGCCGAGATTATGAACGCCCTGGATTTAGTTATGGACCGGCCTCGGGAGGCAGACCGGAAGGGGAGGGGATGGAGTCAGGAGGGATATGGACTGGAGGTTATCGCACCTCGGCGTGTCGGACTAGGTGAATTATCGGGGCCATTGTATTTTGTCCCTTTCTTCAATAATTGTGGTCGGTGCGAGAAATAACACCTGATAGGTCTGTAGATATATAACTACAGACAGCAGTGCAAGCCTATCGTATGCTATCTGGTAAGTGCAGGAGAAGGACTGACAATGAAAAAGGACACAAATCTGATATGGGGAGTTTTTACGATGCCCCGCCCTCCGACCGGTCCCTTCTAAGTCAGGGCACATTACTCATTATAGGTAGCTGGTAGAACTAGACACTAAAAAGTACGGAGTACTTCGGCCCCTTGAGAGTCGTCCATGTGGCATGTATTCACTCCTCCCAGCCCTAGTGGTAAACAGAGAATGCCCAAAGGGGGAAATAGCGGGCCCATCCCGGCCCCAAGCGAATTAACTCTCGGAAAGCCGGGAGGAACCCACATCCAAAGCTTAATTCCCCGGCTTGGCTGCCTGTTTGGGCGCTTGGCGGTTCTCCTTCAGTTAATTGAAGCTGCCGCGAGATATTCCCTGTTCCTCATGCATTCGCACACAATTGAGACACCATGAGGCGATGCTCCCTTAGACTTGTCAATATTCCTGACCCTGGGAATCCTTGAACCCAAAGGGCCCTCCACGAACTACAACCCATATGCGACGTTACACACCGTATATCCAGTCCTCAACCGGCCCTGTCTCCGATATTACTAAAGCGCCATGGAAATACAAGATGTGCAGTTAACAGATCCAGCTACGCAGTCCATTCTAGTGGAGGCTCGAGGCGAACGCTACGCTCCCCCGATCATGGGGTCTGTGAGCATCACAGTGCCATCTCTCAGCGCTCAATCCTTGGAAGACTGTACCGTCAGCATAGCACTCACGAGCCGTGGGATTCAAGACGCAACGACCCAACCCATCGACCAAGAAAAACGATCTCCTACTGCAAAAGATTCTTCGAAGGCGCTCCATCTGAAGACGATCCAGTGCTTTCCATGAGCCTGCAGTGTGCGCCAATGTAGAGACCCTAACGCAGTGTAATCTCTGGCATGCGCCGGAGAAAATCGAGCACAATCGCGAACATGGTACCACGGACTTAAAATTCGCTTTTATACTCCCTATCCCTCATACCCTGCCAGCTACGACAGATACCATCCTAGGGAAACTCTTTTATGTGATCAAAGCTACCGCTCGGTCGGCCCCTGGGAGGTCAATAGATACGATACGACCGATTCGAATCCAGCGGTATCTTGTTCCGCAACATATTGAGACGGTCTATCATGCGCGAAGCTTTGCCGGCGAAGAATTCACGACGGAGCTGCGGATTACGCCGCAGGAATTGATAGATGCCGGTATCAAGGTTGCCTATTCTGTGTGTGTGTACTTATTTCTCGGCTGCATGTGCTAATCTTCTACCACGTCTGGGCATTTTTACCTGCGCCTTTCCTACTGTTCAGGCATGGTACGTAGGCTCTACGCCATCCTATTTGGCAGAAAGTAAAGATGAATTGGCCTGATAATTAGTTTTCAAATGGGAACAAAATTAACAAACAGAGCTAAACAAATAACGTCCATAGGGCAGAGCCTGAACAGCAGAACTGAACATTACCATGACAAAATCCTCTAACCCCCTCGGACTAAAACCCAACCTGATTCGCCATCTCCAAAGTACGCCGGAGTCTGTCAGCACGAGTCTGTAGCTCGACTCTGAGACTGGCTGTCGCGAAGTTCTCACTCGCAATGTCGGCCAGCTCAGCGTCTGAAAGCTCACCAATCAATTCGGGAGATAGAATTTTCACTGGCCCTTCAGGACCCAGCAAGTGGCGCTCCGCGACTTGAAGAACAACGTTGTCGGAGAACCGCTTCAATGCTACCTTGTAGTATGATTTGATAATATCATGGATATCATAAACAGCCTGATCTTCATTGCTGAGATGAACTTGGGTCATGATCTTGCTGAAATCAATTCGCTGCGCCTTACCCTCTTGAATGCCCATGGATTGAAGTCTGCTGCGAACTCGCTCTTCTCGAATCGAGGAAAGAGTCTCTGCAAAATAGTGGTTTACGGTTTGCAAAATGCCCTCTCTCTCGTCTTTGAGGACCGCGTGGAGTTAATCAAGCGCCCGGCCAAAGGCTGACTCTTCACGACTCTTGAGGCGCGATCTAAGCAGTCTTCTCAGCCCATCCTCGCCGATGATACTATCGAAGACCTGATCGTTAAACTTTCTGACGGTCTTCACGGCTCTTAGTAAGTAAGAACGGGCGATTTCCCTCCATGGAGCAGACTGCTCACGGAACATGCCTTCGAGAACAACCGGGTTGACAGTCCCAGGGAGTTCCACGCCTCGTGAGTTACGATACAAATCACGAATCCAGTCATAAATACTGTCGTTAACTGCACGATACTCAGGGTACTTCTCATCGACTTCATTTTTCACTGTTTGGAATGCCCTCGCATGGCCTTTAAGAGCCATATCGTCTGCAAATTCCTCGTTCAGCTGACGAAAACGCAATCGAAGTTTGAGCACACTATCAGATTGCAGGCCTTCGGCATAGTTCCCGTTTAACGCCTTTGTTACCTCCGCTTGGTACTTCGACGCAATGTGCATCAGCACCCTTCTTTGATCTGTCGGGAACTGCCGGGACGGTCCCAAGAGCTTAAGCTCACTTTTAGTGTGACGAGTGAGCTCCTCGATCTCCTTAACCATGGAAGGAAACTCGCCCCGAATATGATCGTAAAGCAAATTGCCAAGAAACTGCCTCAATTTATTAATACCCACTCGATCCTTGCTCAGCTCCGTCCAGGGCGCTTTAGAGGCAAAGAATGTTTCCTCGTGGATGTGACGTTGCTCAATCGTGATTCTATCCCGAATATCCTTTGTAGAGCGATTCTTGACGGCAAACCAGCCATGACGGAGCTTCTCAGTCTCGTTCCTGGCAATTCGGAGCACCTGTAAAGACCTGTCAATTCCGATGTTCTCTCAGGTCAAAATATCAAGCACTTACCCCTTCTTCGTCGCCCTGTTCGAGTGTGTCACACTTGGTGATGATTCCAACAGTTCGGGCACCTTGGGGATCTGCCGCGCGTGCCATCGAGAACCTATTCCTGTCAGAACCGGTAGGTATTTTATACACAGAGCAAAACGTACACCTCCTGGTTTGCAAGGTTGTTTTTCGCATCTAACACAGCACTAGACCTGAGGTTAGTCTACCTGCATCATATATGGAGTCCGTGCGAGTTCTCACAGTATGATCGTCCTCTTGTCAGTGATATAGTTTTGGATCAACCCACGAATGATATCACGGTCTTCCTTGGTCTGATACTTGGTTGGATCTAACATTGTCAGCAGATATCATTGACATACGACTTTAATTTGTCACTGACTATGGAATAGACCAGGAACATCGACGACGCTGAGATGCAGTTGATCCGGTCCCGAAAGCTCAATCTTCAAAATGTCATCTGAGAAACGTTTCTCCAAGTTTTCCAGTTCTTTGTCATTCGGACCAGGGAGACCCATTTGTTGTGCCGCCTAAGCCAATCAGTTTCACGCCCATGGAGGGACTGAGAACGAGACTTTTGCTTACTTCGTCGAATATCTTCGCGAACTCTGCAGGACCAAAAGAATCTGTCTCAAGGACCCGGGCAAAGCTCTGCAGCTGCTCTTTCAAAACCTCATCTGCTTGCGCCGTCGGTCCAGGGATGATTGTAACTTTGACTTTAGCCTCATTTCCAGGCACCCGTCTGAGGACCATCTGCGTGGCAAACCGCGTGCAGAGATCGCTGTCGATGGGGAAAGAAAGACCGGTCAACCCTTCAAGGAGCGAGGACTTTCCGCTCGACTGATCCCCGACAACGACGAGCTTCGCGGTTGTTAGCGAAAGAGAGAGAGAGCTTGGTTTAAAAAAAGGGGCCCTTACCTGAGGAAGTGAAACATTCTCGCTGACACCAAGTTCGCGTAATTTATCGACGATGCTAAGAATCCGGAGCCGCTTTTCGTTGTCCAGACTCTGCACACCTGAGAGCATTGAATGTTCCTTCTTTGCCATTTTGATGATAGAGCTGGCAATGGAAGAGGTATGATTCTGAGCGATGTGGGGTGGGACGTCTGTCGACATTCTTTCATCATCTATCTGCCAAAAACAAGGTTGATCCTCAGACCTGTTGTCTTGATGAAGACTGGAAGCTCTAGAGATATGGGAGATGCGACGGTAGAGGGCTTGGATATAGGATACCGCCAGAGCAAGTCCTTTTCTCTCGTCACTTGGTAACATACCAGGACTAGATGGAGTAGAGGAGTTGGTATACTCGCAGGTCAACTATCTGGGTCTGAATTCCGACGGACAAGGCAGGTTCAAAAAGGTTGAGGGGGAAATGAAAATCTCCCTCCCTGCTGCATTACGAAGCCTTGATCATAGCTAGGATTTCATGGAAAACTTGGTATGCATATGCCATTATTCACTGATTTTGGCAATTTTCGGTACCAAACTGGAGATTCTTGTGTGATTGGATATTTCGTTGAGCATATGGATGCCATCGGGCTCTCAAGCCCCTCATAGGTGGTAGTCTACTACATTCACTGCGTAGGAGTTAGCGGCCTTGGTTTTGATAAGGCAGTCCGAGGGGTTTGCAGATTGGGTCATGGTGTCTGAACCTGAAGTTATTGAGGCATTCGGACTTCTGTTTCATTTTTTCACTGCATCTGGACCACGAGGCTTTCTAGATTGCTCCTTCGGCTTTTGGGCGGCCTCCTCCCGGCCGTCAATGGTCAGAACTCCGATCAAGAGTGTTAATTTCTGCGGTTCTGCCATGGGAAGTTGTTTGTCTGGCTTTTTGTTTAATTTTGTCCTCTGCAAAGAAATTGTCAAACCAATTAGTTCTTTTTTCTTCTTTACCACAAAATAATTCCATAGGACATACATACCAAGTAAAAGGGTAGGCAAGACGCAAGTTCAGATGCCCAAACGCCCAGACACGGTGGAGCATCAGACACCCACCTAGGGCTATGCAAAACCATCTAGGCTACGACATTTCCTCTTCTTCAAAAATCGCCACATCAGGCTTTCCCAAAACTACCATCCCATCATTAAATTCATACTATACATGTCTAATTACAACCCGTTCCTCGTCATCTTATCTTCATACAATCCAACTCGTATGGACGCATCCCAATGCAGATATGAACAGAAACATGGAAAGGTATGCACAAAACTCCAATGGATGATGAATGAACATTAGACAAAACGCAAAGCAGAAAAGGCGTGAAAAAAGTGGAAAGAAAAAGAGAACCATATCATCCGATTATATACTTCCCGTGAAAAAAATCAACTCAACTGATAGGTTGAGAGCAACGCACGCAGATCAGTTTCTGTTTGCCATTACGTCCCTTGGTGGCACGGAAGTTGGTGCCCTGGCAAGTATCGCATCGGAGGACGTCGCCGTCCTCGAGCTCGCCGTGGGAAGATGCATAGTCACTGCTCAGGGCACTCGCGGTGCTTTTACGGTGTGACACGGAGAGTCGATTCGGACTGAGCAGACTCGGTGGGCGTCGCTGTTGAGCGGCTATCGCGTCGTGCGTAATTCGGTTATAGAAGGCATAGCTGTGGTCGCCTTGTAGCCATAGCGGGTTATCCTTGTCTCGACCCTGGGCGATCAATGTCGCCGCGGATGCCGGCGGTTTGGCCTCGTCTGGCCTTGCCGCGCCGTTGGCCCCTCTGGCAGCATCAGCGCTGGACCGAGCACTTTCCACGGAGGTGGAGGTTTGTCGATCCATGCTGGACTTATAGGTCGAGGGAGGTGGCGAGGTGGTGAATCCCGAGCGCGAGCCGGCGCCGGGTCTGGGACTGGACAGGCGCGACATGTCGGCAAACCGGTGCGGAGAGGGCGTGCGCGTTCGCGTGCCCTGTCGAGAGCCTTCGCGGTGGTGGCCGATCACGGAATTGCGCCAGGCGATGATGCGCTCGGACGGGGTCTTATGCGAAGACTCCTTTCCGATCGACGACGCAATACTGTGGCGTGCCGAGTTGGTGCGCCGCAGCAATCGGCGCGAGATGGTGGAATGCGTATCCCAGGTGTCGTAACGGCGTTTGTGGTAGGCACAATCCTGCCGCAGGATTTTGATCTGCCCCGAATAATCGGCCACGACGATGATGTTTCCATCGGGATGCGTGGACCGTGAGAGGTACGTCGGGGATTCCTGGGCCAGTCGGCTGGCGCCCGAGTTGCGATTACTACGCCCATTTTCTTTACCCGCGGCTTCGGCCTGGCTGACCAGCGTCACCGGCGGCGGGTTGCAGATGTCATAGATCGGATCCTCCGAGAATCCTAGGGTCTGCTTGACCTTCGCAGGCGCCATCACGGCCGCCGTCACCATCGCAGACTGCGTCTCGAGGACTTCCACGGCGCGTTTGTCGGCCGACATCTTCTCCGACGGACCGGTGGGCCACAGGTATGCGCGGCGGTCTTCACTCCCACAAATGACATGCTTTCCGTCGTCGCTGAACGAGGCCCGGATCTGACTGCAAGTGTTCTCGTTGCCGCGAAATTTGGCCTCGAGGGTGCGGTCGCGGAAGTTGTAAAGCCGGATACGCGAGTCGTTGCTGGTGATGAGCAGCTTCACCTCGCCATGGGCATCGCCGCCGGGAACGCTCATCGTGTCAATTCCGGTGATTTTACTGCCCTTGGCGTTGCGGCCACGGGCCGAGCGAACGTGGATCTGCGCGATGGCCTTGAGGCCGTCGGTTTCGTAGATGTTGCACATGCCGTTGAGGCAGCCGGCGATCGAATGTCGGCCGTCCGGCGTGAAGGCGACCGAGGTGACCATGTCCGGTGCCGTTGCGACGAAGGCCACGCTTTTGTCGGGAATGCTCCACAGGCGCAGCTTGGTGTCGAGGGATCCTGCCAGAAAGAAGCGGTCGTCCCGCGGGTGGAACTGGATCGAGGTGACGAAATCACTGTGTTGGAAGCAGCAGAGGCATTCTGGCCGGGTGATGTGCCAAAGTCGAACGGTCTTGTCCATCGACGAGGAGAGAAGGAAGTTGTTCTGACGACGGGTTAGAGCCGCAGGTTTTTCAGCGTTGGTGGACGGATTCTCGTACCTTGCTCCAACTCAGGTCCAGTACACTCCCCGTGTGACCCTCGTACACCTGAATCGGTTTCTGTTTGAACACGGGCGCCTTCAGCGGGGGTGGTTCATCGTCGTCATGGCTGCCGTCGCCTTCGGCGCCGGATTCACGCCGATCCTCAGGCGACGCGATCACGGCCCAGACGCGAACTTTGCCATCCTGACCGGCGGCCGCAAGATACCTGCCGTCATTGGAGAAGACCAATGCCCAGACAGCTTTTCCCGCGGTCTTGCCGATCAGCGTGCCCGTCGTAGAGACGGGCGCATCCTTGTCCGAGAGAGCCGAGTCGTCGTCGGCCCCTTCTAGCTCCTGCGCCACGAAGACCCGGTTGAAGGTCTTTTCTTTCTTATAGTGAGCCCGGACACGAATGTATTTCGGCGGACGAGGGAATCGAGGGAAGAAACCGATCGGTTGCGCGGTGGTGTCGGCGTCCATTCGAGCAGTATCCGGTTCCGAGGCATCGTCCTCCTCCTCGAAGTATTGGCCCTTCTTCTTGGCCCCGATTATGCGACTGAGAAAGGAGACACCTTTTCTGCGGGGAAGTCAGAAACCAGTCAGTCTGGATTGAAATCATCGGAAAGAGGATCGTCAGGCGACTAACTTCTTATCCTTCTGGGGTAGCACCGCATCTCCCCGGGTTGGGCCCTGTTCGACAGGGCTGGCGTGGTCGAGGCTGCCGCGAGCCTCCGCCTCGTAGGACGCCCTGCCGAGTAATTTCAGGGGAATTGACTTGTGGGTATTGGTGCGCTTGATAATATGCTATAGGATCGCGACCCGTCAGTGGACGGAACCGACAGATGATGTCATACCAGGGAGGGGGAAATTCGGCGTACTTGGGACAAGGGATCGATGGCGCTGGCGTCGGCGCTGGTCTCGTAAACGGTCGGCGACGAGGCAGAATTCCTCCCGTTGACCGGTCGAGAATTCCTTCGCGCATCTTGTATATTCCCACTGGAGGCGGACGCGATGTCCGAGGGTAACGAGCCTATCCGGAGAATAACGAAATCAGTACCGAACGGGCGACCGTTGACAGGCTGGGCCCTTCGGGTAGGACGGATCACGTACCGATGGGAAACGACTGCAGAAAGCCGGGCTTCCCGGAACCGGGACTGTGGTCGTCCTTGGGATTGACGGGGGTAATGGCATCGTCGCCGTTGGCGGGAATGGAAGACGAAGACGCAAAGCTGGTGACGATCGCAGGGACGATCGAGGCGCGCGATCCGGACGCCTCTCGGGTCTCAGTCTCCTTGGGCGCTCGCAAACCCTCCGCCATGGTCCAGTCGACGCGCAGGACGGCGCATGTGGGAGGGAGAGCGAGAGAGAAATTTAAAGACCGAGTTGAAGAGTGGGAAGAGCAAAGGAGAGAGACTAGCGAAAGGGATAGGGAGAAGAAGGGAGAGAAAGAGAGAGAAGAAGAAAAAGAGGGGCGAAGAACAGGAAAAGTCAGGGAAAAAAAAAGGACGTTCCGGAGAAGAGGCAAAGCAGGCGATTTGATTTGATTTGATTTGATTATGGAGACCCGGCGATAAGCAGAGAAGAGAAAATAAAATAAAAACGGGATGACATCAATTGCCAGAGGCAGTCAGGGACTCTCTAAAGTCATAAACTAATAATAATCGGGTGATTGTCGGTTTCAAGTGCCCCCGTCGAACGATCCTTCGTCCGCCTGTTAATTAACCATCCTCTAATCTCACGCCATCCATTGTCGTAGCTTTTTCCCGCCGGACTGTCCGGTCCTGATCGAGTCTAATATAATATTCCGTCATCTAGTAGATCGAACTTCATGGAAGTGGAAGAGTAGCCAGCAGATCCGCTCACATCCGCGACGAACTTTCCAACTTCCGCGCGCGATCTTTGCCAATCTCGCACATCGCCTGCGTCCAGATCAAACAAGGTCAACTCCACCGACTCTGAGGGAGGATATCAAGGATGCAGAGAACGGGCAACCCCTTACCTGGATGGTCTCCTCGACTTCCCGGTCGGCATCCGCGCGATCGATCCTCCGGCGCATCTCCGGCATGATCTCCTCTCGACTTCGCCCGTTGACAAAGGTTCTACATCGACAGATGCAAGTTAATCCACAGCGCTCCGCCGTTCGTCGTTCTCTTCGTAGTTGGACCACCTACACGAATCTCAGACCCGGGAATTTCTCCTCGTACTCGGCATTCAAGCGCGCCAGCTTCTCCGCCAGTTCCTCTGTCCCCGCGTTTAAGCGGGCCTGTTCCTGCTTGCTCAGCTCGCTCAGATGCTCGGCCGGAGCCGCCTTGGGTCGTCCCAGTCGCGGATGGGATCCCAGGATGCCCAGCAGGACGGATCGGTCAGTGGGGGAGTTGGCGGCCGAGAGGGCGGACATTCGACCCCCGACGGCGTCAATCAGGCGGGCATAGGACGAGAAGGACTGGTTGGCCAGGACGGGGGCCATCAAGGTGTGAAGCTCGGGCGAGGGTTCGAAGAGCGTGTCCAGCACGCGGAATCGCTCTGCCTCGGGGAGAGAGGGGAGCGAGGCGATAGGAGGGAGTCCGGACGACATGACGGAGGATGGTGGGATAGAGGGGTATTGAGATGAAGAGGGATGAAGACGTCCTCATAGATTAAGGTATCTCATGACTACTATATACTTGTAGAGTATTGAATAGGACCATCGGGAGTCGCCGAGGGCGGAGCGGAGACCTCCCCGTCGCAACTCGCCAGTGTCAGTCAAGGTTGACCCTTCCAGGTACCGTATGCACGATAGGAGCTAAAGAGTAATTCTTGTAGATATTGTGGTTTGAAGGCTGATAATTGCGTGTCTATGTTTTATGGAGTACGTATGGCTGGGCGGCAGGGGATTTACTTAGCATAGAGAGGTGGAGGAAATAGGGGGTAGCTACGAAGTATAAAAGGCGTCTGTCTGTATTTGATCGCGTGCAGATTTTCGCGTAGAACTTTGGAAACTGTCAAAGGCTAACGATGTTTAGATATTATTCGAGAGTCTTGATTGTACTGGATGGGGGTTAAAGCGGTCTTATAGGCTAATAGGTGAAGAGCTAGATATTTTGGGGATTTGTTGGAGTTGCAGCTGCAGGTCAGTTTGGCCTCTTTGTGATTAAAGTGCAGGAAGACTAAGGGTGCTTTGACCCCGGAGATATTGTATGGTCCTTCTCAGGAGCGACACTATCGTGACAGCTGAGAAGCATGATGGATTACATAAGCTGTATATAGAAGGCATGGACATCGCTATGAGGGTCAGGGATCATTAAGATAGTCCAAGTATCAGATTCTTCTTTCTGGCCAAGAAATAAGCAACATGTTCAATAGAGAACAGAACAGAAAAGAAAAAGACAAAAAAAAAGGAACGTGGAGCCGGAGTCTAAGGCGAACAGACCCGCACCAGCCAGAGGGACCCCTGAACCCGAACGCCGACGGACTTCAACTCCTGAGAAAGAAGAACCCATTACTCAATCATGATCAATTGCAATCAGCCGGATTGATCTCATTGCATCGCCTGCTGATAGTGTCCACCCTAGATCTCGGGCCGCAGGAGGAGCAATCTGAATCACCAGGAACGCTGGACGGTTCAGTGTTCAACTGTTCCTGTTCAACACTTCCCCCCGTCTTCTTCTTCGTCTTCTTCTCTATCCCTGACCGACCCGTCGAGAACCTCCCTCTTTTTTGGTTTTTTTTTTTCTTTTTCTTTTTCTTCTTTTTATCCTGTTTCATTCTTTTTTTCTGATCAGTCAATCGACTAACGATCGGACCTCACGTTTCTGATCTCCTTCTTTCATCCCTTCATTCCTTTCCCCCTCCTCTTCTTCCCCTCCTTCGGTCCTTCGCCCCCGGCGCAAATCTCCCATCGACGCCTTCTCCTCCAATGCAGGTCTCGTCATGTCTCTCAATGGGTTAGACAATCCCGCCGTCTTAGAAGCCTATCAGGTTGCTTTGAATGAAGCGGGAGGATGGTACGTTACCCATCGTTTGCTTTTTCCTCTTCTGCTGCTTCTCCTGCTTCTCTTTCGCCTCAATTCCACGCAGTGCTTGGCCTGTTCCAATATTCCCCGCAATTATCTTCCCCTCAAACATCATATAATCTACATGCATTGTGCAAGCAAGGACTAACATGCTTCGTCCGCGCACTATCCAGGTTCCTGCTCCATTACGTCGCCAGAGATGAAGTCGCTCTGTTCGAACGAGGAACGGGCGGCGTCCCCGAGGTCCGCACCACAATTGACGCCTACGAGGAGGTCTCGCCCTTGTATGGCTTTCTTCAGTATCGTCGCCGGAAGGTAGTGTTAAGCTATCTGCCCGAGGGCCTGTCTCGACTCGTCCAAGGTATGCTTCTGCTTGGTTTCTCTCTCCCTGCGCATCCAGCTGACGCGATCTGCCTCCGCGCGCAGCCCGTACCACTGTCCAGTTCCAGTCCATTCTTGATAAATTCTCGCCCCACGATACCGTCTTCACTCTGGCGCAATCCTCCCAACTCACCGAGAGCGCCTTGTCGTCCGCATGTCTGCTTCACACTGCTTCAGGTTCTATCACCTCCTCCTCGAGCTCACTCCGCCGTCGCAGGCTGATGGAGATCGCGGAAGACGCAGAAGAAAACACCGTTACTCGGGATGCGTTGCCGGCGCAGTCCCCCGTTGGCAACACCCGACAAAGGTCTTTCAGTCAATTATCGGATGCCACGATCGTGGCCCCTCCGGCGCCCTCGGACGCGCAGCCTCCTCCTGTCCCCAGTGATCCGCCTGCACCTCCCGCCGCGGCCATTGTCACGATCCCCGAGACCCCTGCGACTGACGTTGCGCAGCCCGCCCCGTCCGTAGAACGGGGTGTCGATGTCGAGCGTGCGTCCTCGCGTGCATCCTCGCTAAGGAATTTCCGCGAGGAGCTGTCCCACCCCTTGACGCCTTCTGAGTCGCGAAAATCCACCCAGTCCGCCAGACCGTCGTTACGAGACCTGGAGCTCACCGGTACCTACCCCCAAAAGGTCAAACGTGGCCCCCGGCCCTCGGTAGACGTGAATGGGCGACCGCGCACGGCAGGAAATCTGTCTCGAAGCATCGAACAGCAGCGGCCGGTCGCCTCCTTGCCCGCTGGCATTCGATCGTCGTCGCTGCGGAAGACCAGCCCGCCCACTGCGCGGCCCCGGTCGCAGGGCAACACCGCCGCCGCTGCCACCCCCGGCAAACGGGCCCCTCCCGTTCCTCCGTTACTCGTCCCTCCACTTTCGACGCCCATCTCCCGACCCCAAATATCTCCGGGGGCCAAGTCCTTGAGTGCTCTCTCGTCGGGAACCTCGCACGAGAGGGAAAGGCTCATGAAGGCATTGCAGCTTCGCAGGACACAATTGGAGAAGAAGGCGCAAGGAGCGGGTAATAACAAGCCCTCGAAGGCCGCGGACGGGGGAAGGCAGCAACGGCAGAAGGAGCAGCCGACGACGAGTCCCAGGGAGGACAACAAGGAGAATCGGGAGAAGAGTACGAATGGCGATGGCAAGCATGAAGAAAAGCCGGCTGTGATCGAGCCAAGCAGATCGCTTACCCCTTTGGCGGAACCTCGGCCAGCCCCTATTCTTGCTACGGAGCTGATGGAGCAATCCCCTGGGGCGGAGACGGCCCCCTTATCCTTAAGGCAGCCCACCCCCGAGCCAGCGCCGACGGAAATAAAGGAGAGCGTCTCCCAGGAGGCCGACGAGGGTCCGTCCGACGTGCCGGTATCTACTATCACTCCTACTTCTACGTCTCCGACGCAACCCTCCACCGACCGTAGCCAAATCTCGGCGAAGGAGGCGTCTCCAGAAGCACAGACTACTCTCCGCCAACCTGAAACAGACGCTGGCCAAGCTGACCCGGCCCTGCTTGATGCTAAAAGTGGCCCCGGCTCGCCTAGCGCCGTCGTCGACGTCCCACCAGAGCCCGAATCCCTGAAGGCTCCAGAAGAAATTATTACACCTTCCCCACCAGCCGAAAACCCTGTCATTTCCGGTGCGCTGGACGACGACGCGACAGGGGAATCGACCGCATCACCGATCCCACCCCAGTCCCTCCCTCTGCCGACCTCGCCGTCGCCCTCGCCGCCCCCTGGTTCGTCGCGGCCACCCTCCATCCCTGAAATTGCCCCGACCGTCATCGCATCGGAGACCCCCGAGCCGCAGCATGACCTAACCGCAGCAGCCCCTGAACCCCCCATCGCGCAACAAAAAGACGTCGTCCACCGGAAGGACAAACGCAAGCCTCACCTCGAACCTATCCAGGTTCCGACCCCCGATTACTCGGATGACGACAACTTTTCGGATGATTCGTTCATGGAAGAACTGAAGAGCGCCACCGTGGAAGAAGCCAAGCCGATCTCCGTCGGCAAATCCCCGCTGTCGCCGGGATATTCGAACAACGGGAACGAGAGGACGAGTCCGGACGCCTGGAGGAACTCTCGCGCCGTCTCCAACCCCAGTGCTATCGGTGGCCAATCTCCCAACAACCTACAGGCGCTGGCCGTCGGTCGATCGGTGTCGACCTCGTACGCGGAGATGGACAGCGCCACGAACCCCGTTCTGGTCGCCAAGAAGATCAACGTGTCTTCGGGAATCTCCAAACGCATCAAGGCGCTGGAGAAGTTCACCGGCAACGCCCCGTCGCATTCCGCCCCGAACCTGGCCGTCCCGCCTGCGTCGACTTCTTTCGAGACGCTTCGCAAGCGGGCTTCGGTGTCCGTGGGCGGCCACTCGGATGCGCTCTCCCGTCAGGGATCATATTCACCCGAACCCTTCTCGCGGGCTTCGAGCGTCCGTCGTCCTTCCTCAAGTACCAGTGCTCCGCGAACCACCAACTCCGTCTCCGTTACCGCCCGCATTGTACGCGACTCATCGCCGGCGGAGACGAACGGGACCCCCCCAGAGTCGGGCGTCCTTAATCTCCAGCCCAGTCCGTTGACCGTCGAGCACGACCCTGCCGATCCATCGCCTGCGGCACCTAGTCCGCCCCCCGAGTCGGTCCCCATCCTCAGCACATCCGACAAGCGCAGCATGTCGACGTCGTCCGCCGGGTCGGGGCCCCGGTCTATCTCGCCTACCATGCAACGCTCGGAGAGCCGATTGTCGATTTCATCGGCGTCTCGCAACGACCGCTCCGCCGACGTGCCGTCGTCACCCGAGGACAAGCGGGAATCGCGCACGTCTCGGATTCTGCGCCGGATGTCGTCCATCACGTCGAACTCCCGCAAGGGCTCGGTCGGTGCCTTGAGTTCCCCAGTGAAGGAGGAAGAGAGTGTCACCGAAACCAAGACACCCGACGCTGTCGTCGAGGCGCCTCAGGCGGTGGACATTGGCGAGGTCAACGTGCAGTTTCCGGACACCTTACTGTGGAAACGCCGATTCATTCGAATTGATGACAAGGGATTCTTGGTGCTGACTCCGGGGACTACCGATTCTAGCAATCGCAACATGATCAAGCGATATCACCTGAGCGAATTCCGCACGCCCTGTCTCCCGGACGAGGACTGTCAGGAACTCCCCAACAGCATTTTGCTGGAATTTCTTGATGGAAGGACCCTCCAATGTGCCTGCGAGTCAAGACAAGGCCAGGCCTTTGTCCTTCAGAGTAAGTTTTTACCCCCTTTGTCCCACCAATTCGGCAGAATGAGAGATGGCTGACTGTACTTCTAGCTCTTGTCGGGGCTCACACTACTTACCAATCGACTATGGCGTAAACCATGGCATACAACATTCTTTTCTAACTTTCAATTCTTTTCTCCTATTGACTCCTCCTTATTTTGCTTCTGGTCTTCTATCCTTCCATTCATCTTCCTTCTTTCCATCCTACCATTCTCTTCCCTTCTATCTAATTCCCCTCTCTGTTTTCAGCGGTATACCCCTCTAAAAACGATTTCTTTTGTATCTGGGTGTCCTCATCGCGGCCATTCTGTCTCTGCCTCCTCGGCGGGCCTTGCATTATTCTCTTCTCTGGATATCGCGTCCGAACGACCAGTCTTTGGCTGGAAGTCCGGATCTTGTCGATCCGCGCAGATTAATTTTTCCTTTCCTATTCTTCCTTTCCTTCAGGGTTGTATTCATCGGTGGCGTGATAGATCCACTTCTAGGGCCTAGACTTTGTCTGTCATGGTTTTGGTGTTGGTGATGATTTCCGGGGGCTCTGTATCTGGCACTGGAGTCTTGTGTTTTTGTCTGTGTGCTTGGATTGGGATTGTATGTATATACTACGCATGTCGATCAATTCATTTCCCGAACCGCGGTTACCTTTGCAATTTGATATCAGATACAGCGTGCGTATAGGACGGCTTTCAACAAATGGTTCTCAGTTCGTCAAGTTGGTAGTCTTCAGACCTCGTTGGCTGAATTGATAACTCCGTTTTGAGCCTGACGTAAGGATTGTATAGAATGCCTTCTACTATCAATGCCGCTAGGTGAAAGGACTTGAACAAGAAGACGTGGCGGCTGTGTTCCGGCAGATGCTATACGCCTAGCCCTAATACCTCATCTTTTTGTTATCTGTCGCTTGTCGTTGCGCAGCCTACACCGCCCACTCCAAGGTTTTTAATTGCACTACCCATTGAAAAATGACAGTATTATGGGTCCACCTGAGAGGCTACCTCCATATCGTATATTTTTGGCTACCGGGCCTTGCTCCCCTTGCAGCCCTGACTACATCCGTACCTTACAAGATGTAGTCTACCTTTGGGGGTTAAACATCGATAAAGTGATCAAAGATCAGATATAAACTGAAGAAGTTAAATCCTTTCAAAAATGATCAATTATTCGCTTGATATCTTGTTGGTTGACAAATGTTGACAAATCAAATAATACAGCGCATAGTTGACGTAACAAACGTCTCCTATATATCCCAGGATTCACGCAGATAAGTGCTCAAACCATCTTTCAGCGATCATCTTATCATGGCTACCTCTATTAATCTTCCCCCTTCCTTAGGCCCTTCCTTAGGGCCAATAGTTGACGTGTCCATCATTCATGGCGGCCATTTCACCGTGCCCCTGGCGTGGGTAGTCGAGTGTTCTATTCCAGGACACGACATCCTAAGCACTCCTTGCTACAGCTTCCTGATTGAAAACAAAGCCCAGGGAAAGAAGACCCTCTATGATCTCGATTTCATGAAAGCGCGGAAAGAGAAACAGCCCCCAGCAGATACGTCTGTCCCCTATCTTTCCTAAACCTACTATATTTAGCCCTACTAAACAACTAACTATTCCTGAGTCTGCTCAAACGTGCAAACGCCTAAGTGACCGTCGAGAAAGACGTAGAGACTGTTTCTTCAACATCCATATCCACTTTTTTCTCTCAGGGCCATTTGACTGTTCAATGTGAGAAGCTATTCCGTTCAATACATCTTGTGGAAGGGTTTTCTGCGTTTCCAAAACCCATTCGATAGTGCGCACACCACCATAGGTCTCGTTCATTTGCCACAAAGTGTGGATTATGTCCGATGGCAAGTGAGAACAATCCCGTAAAGCTGAGATAGCCCTAGACTCAATCCCGCGACCATCAAACTCATCAGAACCGCCCCCAAGGTTCATAACTTTCCAGCTTCTCGTAACGATCGAAACATAATGATCGAGCAAAATTTGCGGTGGGAATGCGTCATGTCGAAAGGATCCATTCGTGACGTCAATTGCAAAGTTGTCTTGATACTCAGAACTACGGAACCACTTGACGGTTTCATCTTCAGAGAAAGCGTTGTACCGTTTCAGGAAACCGAAGGCGCGATGTTGAATAAATTCTGAGTCATTTTCCAGCATTCTCCACATTTGGCTGAGAATCATCGGCGGCAGGGCTTGCTGAGATTCGAATACCCTGAAAACACCGCGAGGGGATATGTTGTGAATCCTCTGGAACAAATCGTAACAATCAGACTTCGATAAATCAGAAACATCTTTCAATGCCATGAGGCTTTCCTGTCGTACGCTTTCGTCTGGATCATCTAGTAATTTAAAGAAACGGCGACGAATATTTTGCTTAGATCGCGAACATTTTGCCTGTGCCCTCACGGCGGTTTTGCGACCTTTGTGACTATTTGCAGAAAGGTTGGAAAAGAAATAGTCAGTGATCGGCTGAGGGAGTTCAACCTGTTGTTCAAGTAGTCTCGCTGCTTCCCAGCCCCAGAGAAGACGAATTGCAACTACGAGGGCAAATAGAATGGCTTCAGGCAAGTCGGGACGCTCCTCTAAACCCCTGAAGACCTGGTTGTACAAATTCCTATTTGAATCAAAGATAACCTGAATCACCTTCTCTGACGAAAAGATCGGGAATTGACCAATGATCAGCGCAGCGTTATTTCTGATATCTTCGTCAGGGGTAGACTGATAGAGACGCCATATTTGATCTGACAATTCAAGGAGCAAATGAGGATGGCTCTTGATTCTTTGCAGAATCTATCTTGCTGATATGAATTACCCTTTTCAAGGCATTTTGACAGGACACGTTCGGGAAACTCTGGCTCCTTGCCGATCTCCTCGCGGAAGGATACCAAGAGTTGCGATAGTTGATTGTCTATATCTTCTCGAAGTTTCCCCACAGTGAGACTTTGCGTCGGCTCACTGAATTCGTTGAAACAATACATGAGAAGCCGTGCATGGGCAAATCCTAGTAAATCCCGTGGTTTCATTTCGATCTGTTGGAGAAATCTTATCAGATCGTTCTCTTCTGATTCCAAAATTCCGGTGACAAATCGGTACATGATGTTGTAGCGCCGACTGTATTTTTCATGGCCAATGAAGTCTTCAGGGGAGATAAATATCACCGTGCCAGATTGCAGATCCAATGTTTCGATTTTTTTTGCTAGCTTTCCAGCTCTGGACGAAGTGATGAGCAGCGAAATATTCCTGGAATGTGAGATGAAGAAAGTAGTATTCTTGATCTCGATATCCGAGGGCAGAATCTGAGCTGCGCAGGAACGAACTCTCGCCCAGGACAGTATCCGCCACCCTTGGGGACCTTTGATAGATCTTTTCTCGAATGTTCAAGGTGAATTCTATCACGTTGTTGTAAATACCACAGAACGCAATGTATTGGGCAAATTCAAACTTATCAGACATCGCCTCAAAGAGTTGTGAACGAAACTGGCGCTTTGCTGAATCTTTGGTTCTCGAGCTGGTGGCCTTTCGACGATGATCTTAATTCCAGAGTTTGATTTCAATTGCTTGGTACAAAGCAGTCATCGTTGTCAACGGCCGGTGTTCTGGTTTCCGGCCTGGTTGGAGGAGTCCAGTTGAATTGGGACCCGCATCAACCCCTTCATCGCCCAATTCTGGTTTATAAAGTCCATGAACTGGCTTTTAGCTGATTCATCAGAAACTTTGTCAACGTATGCCTCAACCTGGTGTTCCTGAAAGCCAACCGTCTCAGTCTCCAAGTCATGGATTGAGAACATGCGGGATCGCAGCATGTGGTCGAGAGGTGATGATCACATTTCGCCGATTTAGAAGGGAATCAAGGTCGTTGAGCTTTTCCGGATCTCCAGCGAGCTCGTCCAGGCCGTCTTAGAGAAGACTTTCAGCTTGTTTTTTTTTTTTTTTTTCGGTCTGATGTTCAATCAAAGAAAGTAATGTAGCAGTTTTCTATAGGCACATTATCTCCCGATAACCGTTTAACGTGAAGAAGCTTTCCAGAAGTATATAATATTGCGCTATGACAGCGTCTGCATAGAAAGCCTTGGCCTTCGGGCAAGATTTCAAGACTTTTTCAAGGAACTTGGAAGCTTCGCGGCTGTTTGTCTGACTTTCTTGAAAACTGTTTTCAAGCTGATGATTGAATTCCTTGTCGCTTTTTCTCTTGAAAAGTGATTTTTCCATCCGGGTTTCTGAAGCGAATCTGCAAGCAAACCAATCCAAATACGGATAGCACCTTTATTTTCGTTGGCTTGCTCCAAAGGCAATTGCGTGAACGTCCACTCGATAAACCTCTCAATGCTGCCTCTAGAAAGCTCATCAGAGACCCACTGTTTCTCAAGCTGCGAGTAGAGCCCGCACCAAAACTGAGGCTGGGCACAGCATCTCATTGTAGGTATTACATCTGGCAGAATGTCATAAGCCCCAACTTGAATCAGATATCGATCTGACGGAGCCCATGGTACCAGTTCCTGTCCGCCGACCTGTTCCTATTGCGCAATGACGTGATCAATTGCTTGAGGCCCTTGTGCGATTCCCAAACTTCCCGGCCAGCTTTCAAAGCCTCTCCAAAGCGCTCCTGGAGTTTGAACAGACTAGGTCCTGCTTGGAGAAGCCGAGGTAGATCAAATTTAGCCACACCATTGCTGATTTTGGCAACAACACCGATGGTCACACCAGTCAAGCGAAGCGCTTCCTCCCATGGCGTCTCGTTTCTGGTATGTAGTAATGTAGAGCTTGAAGAGCGTATTCGGCCACCTGAGCTATGCGTGGCTCTTTATGGCTTTTCAAGGCTCTTAGCTTTTTGGTAAGCGATTCATGCACCGCTACCCGGTCGATGCCCACAACTTTGACATCCACCATGGCATCTAGGAAGGTACCGATTGCCTGGGTCAAAAGATAGCTGTTCTTTAGCTCAGTCTTTTCATTCATTCGATTGAGACGCTCGCTTAGGCCATCAAGTAGCGTTTCAAAACCTAGGTCATGGCGAGAGATGTCGCGTTGACGCCGGCGCAGACAACCAGCAAAGTATCTCAGCAAGCCCTGATCAATCGGCTTGTCGTCTCTGATGGCCACTGTAAGCCCATAGACGAGGTCTTTGAACTCTTCATGGTTAACGACTTCGGAAAGCAGCATTGCTTCGTTCCAATAGAGCGATCTCGGACGATCTTTGAAGAGCAAGACCATTTTCGACTTCAGTGCATTAAGAGCATCGATCTCTTGTTCGCCTACTTGTTCATCTTGTAGATATCGAACCAAATCTATGGTTAGCTCTAGTTTCTTCGCAGTACGGATTCCTGTTGACATGATGCCGTGAGAATGGTGTGGAATGGCGGAGTTGATTTCATTTTTGTCCGGCGGCGATGGGATGGGATCTGTAGAAACCCGGAAGATCAGCAGGTTGATACAGGACAATATAGAATGATCTTACTGCTTGAATCGACTCAGTTCAGCTATTTACCACAAGTAGGTGATTATTTACAGAAGATGGAGGGGTAGGCGAGGTGTAGGTCTTCTACTAGCTCAATGGCGTTTGCCTGTTTGCACTGTCTTAGATGCCTTACTGCCTCAGGCGTTGCTTCAGCATCGCTCAGAGCGCTTACACAATCAACGCAAGAATGATTCGAGAACTGTGATGGGGAATCTGGCTATCATTGTAGAACACCTGCCCGGGTGGAGCAACCCTTGGACCTATTGACCATGGGAGGATTATCGCGTGTTGTAACGGGAGGCAATCGAAGGATAAAATGACTGAATTCTTGATTTATTGATGATCAAGTTACTAGAGGAGAGAAGTTTATAATGGTTTTGACTAAAAAAGACCAAATTTAGGGAGTATTCTGCTCGATATCAAGGCATAATCCTCTTCGTAAAGAGATTCCCACCTTTAGCGAAAGGTTTGGCGGATTGCCTCAGGCACGCAGATCTTCCACAACCATTCATCATGAGACATGACAAATGTGTACAACGTCTTGTTGGCTCAAAGAGAAAGTGACCCATCTATCGATTCAGGAGAGGGATCTTTTGCCAGCAGTGGGGCGGTCATGTCGATTGAGTCTCGTGTTTAGCTTCACAGTGATCAACGATTCAAAAGTCCTACGATCCAAAGGTCTTGAAGAGTACATATCCCGGATACTGTTGAAGATATCATAGTAAGGCTCTATCCTGCTTACCATACAAATACTATACTATGGCATTGCGGATGGGGGCTGAATAACCACACTTGCGCTGACATCGTGAGCGGTTGATAAATCAATGGAGAGCGAAGTCACTAGAAGAATCGATGTTCTCTAGTATCAAGCTGCTGAGTTGAAACCAAGTTAAAATGTTATATCGATCTGATACCTGTGTCATGCATCCTATTGCGTTAGACTGACACAAAATCAGGTTCGTGGTTAAACCCGAGGTTGAAGATGGAAGGAAGATGAAACCAAAATGGAAACAACTCAGGGGGCTTCGTTGACCCTACTAGGAAATCGCGGAGTCACCTGATTCACTGCAAAGTCCTTATGGCCTAACTTCAATAACTTGAGACGGTTGATGCAGGATCCGGAGATTACTGCCGCTGTCCCATCATGACCCACAGGTCTACCGCGCTGCCTGTTCTCCGGTCTACGAGCTTTGACGCGACTATATCAAGTCCTGTTCATAGTCTGGCGCCGGTTTCACCGCAAGCTTTGGAACTGACCATCACACCCTCGTACAACACCCCGTTTTCACGTGACTGGCTTGCCAGGGGTCAGCATTAATATTGTGATATCACTATTGCCCTGTAGGGAGTTCCATCTGGTCACTGGTGTTTATGAACATTGTCCAGCTATTCCAGGTTCAAGTCGAATTAGGGTTGTCTTAGATATATAGACATAGTATCACCGAATGTATCTTAACCCTAATCAGCTATACCGATGCCACATACCACCCACGCTCAAAGGGCAGCTAGATACATCTAGGTCAGTCCTCAAGCATATGGACTGTAGCAATCACCACGCTGTATGCCCTCCATCCACCCTCAGATCCGCCCCCGTCACAAAGCTGCTGGCGTCGCTGAGTAAATACAGGATGGCTCCACGATACTCGTGCGCCTCGCTCAGGCGCATCAACATGTTATCCTGCATCCACTGTTCCTCCATGCCTGGCTGCGCCAGCGATTCTACCGTCATCCGCGTTCTGATGTACCCGGGGGAAATCGAATTGACGCGGATCAGAGGAATATCGACTCGACTGCCCCATTCGGCTGCCAGGGAGCGCACCAGCTGCACGATGGCCGCTTTCGACGCATTGTAGGCGGCAGTGTCGATGCCCTAGATTTTACACAGGCCAGTTTCATGGCCAGTTGGTCAGTAATTCTTGTCCTCATCTCATTTCATCTCACCCCCCTTTATCCCATCCCGAAGAACCGCCCGAGCATAAGACGATGGGCAAGCGCACCTTGTTCGAACCGTGGGCACTCATGCTCGCAATCAACACCATACTCCCCGGCAATCCATGTTTTCTGATCTCCTGCGCTACTGCCTGCGCGCACACAAACGTTCCCACCACGTTGATGTCCATCAACCGACGAACGCCTTGGATGGGATACTCGACCGATGGCCCTTCGCCGCTGATACCAGCGCAGCAGAGCAACCCGCGCAAGGGGAACCGCGTTTTCGATACAGAGTTGGAGATTGTTGCGCGAACATGACCCTCGTCTCCGATGTCGCATCGGAAGTACCATACTTTAGTGGCATGACGAGATGCGGTCTCTTCGACCGTTTCTAATAACGTGGAGCTGAACGTCAGCAATAAACAATCCACAACCCTGTCTGACGGATGGATATATGTAAACATACTCCATGGCTCTGCGAGAGGCTCGTCCTGTCGATCGAGACAGATCACGTCGCCGCCACTTTCAAGGATTGTGCGCGCGGCTTCTAAGCCCATTGCGCCGCCGCCGCCGGTGACTTGAGAGGTATCAGCTTTTGTTGCGAGAAACAAGAAATGTCGAAAGGGGAATACTGAGAACCGTTCGCTCGTCCATTTGGAAGAGATCCTGGATGGAGCGATGGGCTCCTCCAACGGCAGATTTGGCTTCTCTTTCCTTGACGGACATAGTCTTGGGTTGGGGTTGGTGTTTATCACGATATTTGATACTCTATGGTTCACAAAAGACAATGCCAATCTACAGATGGTCTCTCTGTTTTAAGAAAGGGGATCAAAAGTCGAACAGGCCAACGCATACATGGCATAACCCCGGTCAAGCAGACCGGCTCAACTCCGACGTCACCGTCTGCATTGTCTTAATCGTCATGGAGCCAGGGATCGAATCCTATTCGACCGCATGGGCCGCATCGTCGGCGTCCGCACGGCCCGTCATAATCCAGAAGTAGTACATGGGCCAAGCTTCGATCATGCATACGAATATCCTGTCGAAGATGAAATCGCCATCTCACCCTTCTTGCGTGTACTACTCTATGAACGCCACTATCTTGCCGCGGCCGAGCATCAAATCCACGAAATTTCTAGATGCGAATGAATTCGTGCAGAAGCGGTTGCCGGAGGAGAGTGATATTGAGTTTAATGCACATTTGATTAGAAGGATAGAGGAAATGATTCACACAGCGAAACTACCGTAAAAACAAACCGTGGGTCAGTTGCGGGGCGTGGACTTACTCAACTCGAGATGTCTAATCAATAGTGAAAACATGCGCGTGGAAATGGAATCAAAGTGTAGGGGACACGCTCTTGAATGACTAGAAAGTTAAACAGGTCTAATAGGAAATGTTGAGAAGAAACGATCAATGCTGATCTCTCATTATCATATCGTCTTACAGCGATTAAGTTGTATCAGGTATTTGCTCATACTTTTCGGGCCACTTCTTCGAGTGAGTGGGTGTATCTATTATACAGAACTGGAATAATCCGACGAACCGACCTCAGTTGTGGCCCTCCTCGGCCGCCCTCTTCTTCTCCCACTGATCGAGGAAGCCCTTCACCTTGGGGCCCCACACCTCCTCGCCGGCCTCGAGGTCCCGGTACTCCAGGACCTTCTCGGGATCAAGCTCAAAGTCTCCCTGGCGGGTACGGATGAGAGAGCTCATAAGGCCGCAGCTCCCAACGGCTCTTCCCAGGTCGTGGGCAAAAGTGCGGACGTAGAAGCCCGAGGTGACGGTCATGACGATCTTCACGGCGGCAGGCTGCGGTTGAGAGGCGTTCTCCTTCGTTTGCGACGAACTGGTAGACTCTTCGGCGGCTTCCGGGGCGTCCGTCGATGCTTGCTCAGATGTGGTTGCAGTCTCTTCTCCCTCGGCGGATACCTTCTGCTTCTTCGCAGGAGCAGCTTCTGCAGCCGGGCTAGCTGCACCATCGGCCGCGCCTTCCTTGGGGCTTTCAGCCAGGGGCGGGGACTTGCGCTTCGTCGACGAATCCTGCTGCTCAGTCTGTCCGGTCGGTTCTACGCCCTCGACAGGCGCGACGGAAGACATGGTGTCGTCCTGCGCCAGCAGTTTCTCTGCGACCTCTTTCTCCTCGGCAGCGGCCTCCACCTCCGGCCACTTGTACTCATGCGTTCCAGGCTCGTACCATTCAACGATGCGCATCTCGTTCACCTCGACCGGCCGTTCCTTAATTTCAATGGGAATTTCCTTGCCCTCCCGCGCATACTGGTACATGGGCTTTCCCTGCACTTTCAACGCCGAGAAGATAGGCGGCCGCTGCATGATCTTGCCACGGAACTGATCCAGCGCCTTCTCCACCGCCTCCCGCGTGATATGCTCGTAGGGACCTCGCCGCACAATCTTTCCCAGCCGGTCGTAGGTGTCGGTCTCGGCTCCGAAAAGAATCACCGTCTCGTAGGACTTGGTGCACCCCAGGAAGTTGTTGAGGAATTTCGTGCCCTTGCCTACTCCCGCCACCAGCACGCCCGTCGCCATGGGGTCGAGGGTTCCTCCATGGCCGATCTTGACTTCCACCTTCTGCTGTCGACGACGCCTGCGTTGGAATTGACTCTCGCGGTCGCGTCGTTCTCGCTCAGTTGAGATCCAGGGCTCGAAAGTTTTCGACGGGTTAAAATGGCGTTGAAGGTCACGGATGACACCGGCGGAGCTGACGTCTTGGGGCTTATGAACCGCTGTTGCGAAGTTAGTCGGGATCCTTGGGGTTGTAGTGATGCCGAGGAGATGGCGGGCATCGCATACCAAAGACACCCTCGTAGATCTTTTCTCCAGACATGGTGGTGCGAAAGAGTTTCAGGCCGCGCCGGAGTCCCATCGGTCGCGGTGATAAGAGGAGGGATAATCTGGAGGGGGAGAACAGCAGGAGGAAATATGGAAGAAGTCGAAGAATGGCCGCAGGAAAAGACGAAGAAAAGCAGAACAAGCAGACGTAATATTCATACAAACTAGAACGTACCGGTGGATGTAAGTTACCCGCCGGTGGTAGAAACTGGAGTGATACAGCGTACGGCAGCGGTAATCGAGGCGATTCCTCTCGACCTTCTTCCTCGTCCCTCTGTCTCTTCCACTCCAACGCCTCCGATTCTCTTTGCATTCGTCTCCAAGATTTCATCTGATCCCCTCTCTCGTGTGTCGGTCACGGCACCATGCTGCCCCCGGCGACATGACATCGCGAGAAGATAGTGTTCTGGCCCCCAGAAACCCGTCTCTAACGGACGAGAACGATTGGGAAGAGTTCAGCCTGGCCGAGGTCAGAGTCCTGGTCCCCGGCAAATCGCGTTATGCCAACCTACTCGCGGCCTCCGAAGACAATCCGGTCCAGGTAACCGGAACCCTGGAGGAGGTGGAAGAGGAACAGGAGAAGCTAGGTACGTGCGATGGGCCACATCTACCAGCATAGCCTCCCCAGTTCTGATCTCGACTGACTCGAAGAAATGGTGGTCTAGTTCTCGATCCCGACTACCTAACGAAGCGCATTGTACTCGAGAATGTGACGCATTACGCCTACGGACAACATAATGACGGCGAGGTCGGATTCTGGGTCGCTGGGCGAGCCGGTTGGTTCTCCATCTCTCCCGCGAGGGGTTACCGGCCTATGTTCAATGATGTCGTCGAGGCCATCGATCTATTCTACTTCCTAGCCGATCGACATCAATCCAAGCGACGCAAGGGAAAGAACTGGAATCCCAGCGTTGAATATCTTTGCGAGGAGGTGAGTGTGCTCTACAATAGATGCGAAGCCTGCGCAGGTGGCTAATACATGGAGTGGGGAGAAACCAGTATGTGAATCATACTCATGGGATCTGTGAGGATGCAGATGATTCAGCCGAGGTGTTCTACAAACACCACATCTTCCTCCTCTCCCGCATGCTGAAGGGCGAAGAAGGAGTTCAATGGACCAGCACCAGTGTTTTTGAGCATCTTTGCGAAAAGTTTCCGGTACGCCCCGTTCCCCTCCTCCTTCCTGTATACCCCATCGATCCTAACTTCCGAGTCCAGGAGTCATATGAAGAGATCAAAGCCCAACAGGAACCACCCCGGCAAGAAGATGAAGAGGACTCGGCCGACGGCGCAAATGGAGAAGATGTCAAAAAGGACAAGAAGAAGTCGGGAAAGAAGGCCCACTCTCTTGATCCCACGGTGGTCCCCAAAGCTCAGGCAGATACGGTTTATCAGGTCATTCTGGATCTAAAGGAGGCAGGTCATTTGGCCAAGCGCCAGCTTAATCTCGACCTTGTGGCCTCAACTCTGGTCGAGGACTATGAGGTTGACAGCGCAGAATATGCGCAAGACCTCATCGCATCCAGAGCCGACATCGTCCTCGAGTTGATGGATGAGGCCAAGACGTCGAACTTCGACTGGTCTCGCAAGGCAATCTACCGGGAGCTAAAGTCCGCCTCCGAGAAGAATGGCCTAGAGCATGTGGCTCTGACTCCGTTGCGGCCTCGGTCTGCGAAAGATGAATCTCCCCAGGAAGATAGCGACGATGAAAAGGAGAATGAAAATGAGAACGAGAACGAGGAAGATCAACCCAAGCAGCGGAAGCGTCGAGTCCGGAAGTCTGTCTTGCGACCCAAGAGCTCCGTCGCTACCAAGCAAACCGGCAAGCGAACGAGGAGCGCCGCCACCGATCAAGAAGATGTATCCGACAACAATATGGATACTGAGGATTTCGAAACCCCGAGCAAAGTTCGCGGCCATGATCTAGTCCGTGATCCTTTATCCACTCGTGCCAAACGCCGCACCCGCTCCATCCTTTCCGACTCCGGATCGACCCTGTTCTATAAGACGCCCTTACAAGAGACCCTCCAGAGCCGAAACACTTCCGTCTCCCTGGCCGACCAAGACGTATCTGATGCGGAAATGCCCGCCGGGGACGACGTATCTTCCGACACGTGGACCTGCCAAGTCCGAGGTTGCGATAAGGTCATCTACAAAAGCAGCACCAAACGAAGCAAAGAATTGATCCAAGACCATTCACTGGGGCATGCCGATGACACAAAGGCGAAGGTCGACCTGGTCTTCTCCGAGCAGCGCCTGAACATCGGCCTTAGCGTCGATCATCTTCTCAGTCATATTCAAGGCATGGGGACGCTGAGCGAGCTTCCAGACCTAAGCGGCGGAACGGACGGAACGGACGGAACGGTCAAGACGAATGGGAATCATGGCGCCAACGGAATTGGGGCATAAAAGTTGACCGGTGGCTTTTATCAGACCACGAAAACAACTCACTTAACATACATCCCCTCCCTTTATTTCCACCCACACCCAGATTTTATCCTTTATCACCTTGGGATGAGAAGTGAGTTGCAGATTACAAGTTCTAAAAACTGAGTGCTACGAATAATGCTTAATTGGCACGTGAATAAGAAGACGGCGAAGGCACAGTCACGATGGCAGAGATCAGGCGTCAGGGTTGAGAGATGGCGTTGCGGTGACTGTTGGAACTCATAATGGGTGGCGATGTTACGAATTTGCTTTGCGACTTTTCGAATGATACCTATCTAGATGAATTCAAAAGAATTGGCCATTGAGCCAATAAATGATCTAGGTGGGTAGTGATATCCATCAATTAACTCGAAATATACAGGATATCCGGGGGACTTTTGAGCCCGGGAGTCACCTAGTCACCCGGTCTGAGAAGGCACGTAAATGAGAACAGGGCTGTCTTTCTTCTCTTTCGAGCCCAGACAACCAGCTTTTTTGTATTTCCCAAACCCGAACAAGCAGAGATAATAACGCAAGGAGAATAAGTACAAGTCAAAGTCAAAACATCAATCGATTGGAATCACTCAACCCCGTCCCTTGGAGGCCGCTCTCTTGCTCTTGCCCGGTCTCTTGGCACCGCCCTTCATCTTCTTCACCGAGAAGTCGCGCATGTCACCACTGGACGCGGCGTCACCGCTCTTAGCAAAGCGCTTCTTGCCGCCGAAGCCGAACTTCTCGTTCTTCTTCTGACGCTTCATCGAGGGACCGCCGTTCTCGTCGCGGCCGCGCTTCCGGCTAGCGGGCTGGTTGGAATCGTCGATGGCAACGTCGAACAGGTTATTGGTATCATCCGTAGGGCCGGAGGTGTCGTCCTTGCGCTCTAAATGGGGGGGAAATTATCAGTACATCGAAATCCTTAGTCCCGCCAATTTTAGTAGGGGAAACTCACTCTTCTTCAAAGCGGTGATCTTATCCAGCGTCTCACGCTTCTCCTTCTGTCTCTGCTGCAACTTAGCCACCTGCACCTGTTTTCCGAACTTCTTCAGATCACGCTGTTTGCGCGCATCGGCCGCCGCCTTCTTCGAGGCCGCCTCGTCGAACAGCTTCTTCTTGATCCGGCCCATGTGCTCGTCCGTCTTGATCATCTCCGCGAAGTAATCGCCCGGACGGGTGAACGGCACGCCCTCCTTCTTCAGCAGGCCGCGCGCCGACGTAGCAGCCGCCTGGCAGACCTTGTAGAAGGCCAGTTCCCTGTTCAAGTCATCGTTGGGGTCGGTGACTTCGATGGGCTCTTGCGAGACGAGGGAATTGTGCTCGGAGAACTGGGTCTGAGGGGTGATGAAGGAGATGCGCTTGATGGAGGAGTTGATGGCAGCCGAGTTGTTGATTGTGAGACGTTGGTGCGGCACCACATCTTCTCTTTCGTCCTCCGAGAGGTCGGAGAGCGGGATATCTTCTTCGTCTTCTTCGTCTTCCTCTTCTTCTTCCTCCTCTTCCTTGTCGTCTTCGTTGTCGCCGGTCTTCTTGTTGTCTTCCTCAGCAAGGGCCTTCAGTTGCTCTTCCTCCTCGTCCTCGGATTCAACCTCATCCTTCTCCTCTTCGGGGTCGGCCTTCTCGGCGTCGTGCTTCTTAGACTTCGATTTCGAGGGCTGGGTCTTCACGCATGAATGTTAGTCCCAAAATCGCCATAGAAAAGTCAACGGCCTCAATAAAGAAAAACTAAAGAGAAATAAAGCATACCTCAACAATCTCACCCTTAGCAGCCTTCTTCTTTCTCGCCGCCTTCACTTGCTTCTTCTGTTTCTCAGCGTCGTAGTCGCGACCGCGATGGTCGTCCAGCGCCTGAAGCAATTTACTCCGCTTGGGCATTTTGAAAGATTGATTAAATAGAACAGTCCTTGACTGTAATCAACTTAAAATTTCAGAAAGAAAAAAATGACCGGAGAAAAAAAAAAAAGTGAGAGAAAGCTCGAAGCAGCTACGGACTTCCGACAAGCACGGGAATTTTTTTGGGATGCGGCTAGTCTGGATCTGGTTAGGCTGGATGATAAGGAGCCACTAAGCTCAATAGGGTAAGATTGTCCCGGAGACTGGGAAGAACCGATGATCCGACATCTTATCGGACTTGTTGGCTGTTGATACCGAGTAGTTACCTCCATGTGGAAGTGTCACTGTTGGTCTTCACCTTCTGACGCAGTGGGCTTGGCAGCGTGCAGCGTGCAGCTATCTACTTTTCTCGACTGGTTGGCTTGATCGCATTTTTTCATTATGGCCGAAGAAACTAAACGCGCCTCCACGTCGGAAGCTCTCGCATCTCCTGCTGGCGATCAGGTTCGCGACTCCCCCGCATGCATGCGTTCATTCCACCCTACGTTTCGCGACACTTTGCGACTCCGAATGGCTCAAACAGGCCGAACTCAATGGCTAACCTCTCCTCATGGCTAGAATCTCGAAGCGCAAACCCAATTGACCGCCGCGGTCGACGACCTCCTAGACCAACTCCAGCATAAATTCGACAATGTGTCGCAGGAAATGTTCGGGAAACGTGCGCAATCCCTATTCCTCCTCCTCGCGCGATTTTCAATCTCGCATGGGACCAGTACTGTTCGTACCTTGGGTACTAATGTGGAATTTCTGCAGTTGATGAAATGGTCCGCCGACTAGACGAAATTGAAGCTTCAATGCACAGCTCCTCGGATGCCGGGCCGACCAGCCCTACGAAGTAAATAATACCGAGTTTGAATTCACAGGAAGTGTAGACTTCTTGGTCATGTTTTCTAGCGATACATATAAATGAAGATTTTGGCTTGGTTGGGAGGATGATATTGCGTGTACAGAGAAAGGAGGATGTTCTTGGAACGTTTGCATTTGGAGGCCTTAGATATGGCATTTTTAAGATACCCTAGGATTATTTATTGGATTTTTCTCGTCAATTTATTGCTGATTGTCTAGATACAATTACTTATGTCCCCTGGAAATTCTCTAACGCCAGTGGATTATTCTCGTGATTGGTGCTTCTTCATAACTGCCTGGGGTCTTCTCGACATTCTCATAGCAAGCCTCCGGGGCTTCGTGGGCATTGCCTGCTCCATACCATAAGTAGATCCGATATGTCTGCCATCTATCCATCTACAGCCACTGCTTGTTTCCATAGTGAGACACAAACCCACCAGCATAGCCCTTGCTGATCTCCGCCCTGTGAATGGTCTCAAGGACCGCACGAACCGACTCTTCAGGGGTAATCGGGCCCTTGAAGCCAGGCGAATAATTCGCGAACTTCTTCACCATCTCAACCGCCCCGGCCGCCTGTTCCGGCGTTTCTATTGATCCAGTTGATCAGTCTCCATGTGTCGTAACGCCGAGTGGAGTGAGCGAGGGAGCAGACTTACGATTACCATAGCTGCCGGTATCAACCAGACCCGGGCTGATACCCAGGAAGAGAATCCCCTCCTCTTTATACTGGGCACTTAACTTGGCATAGGTCGCATTCATAGCCGCCTTGCTGATCGAATCCGGTGCTCCCGAGACAATATCAAAGGCAGAGATGAAGTCGATATCGGCCATTCCGGACGTAATCGTGATCACCTTCTTGGCGGTGCCTTTCTTGACCAGTGGGAGAAACAGCGAGAATAGATGGATGTTGCCTAGGACATTCACGCGGATGGCCTCTAGAAGATCCTCGTCTAGTTGTTTGGGTGAGTTGGCGGCGCTTTTTACACAAGCCGATCAGCAGGAAGTACGGGAGCAAGTCAGGAAGAAAAGAACATACAGATCACCGATCCCGTCATAGGCAGACCAGGTAGATACCCATGCGGCATTTGCAACTAGGTGGTCTAGACTGCTGGTCACTTTTTCGACCTCCGCAACGGCGCCCTACTTCCATCGTGAGCATGACTGGTCTTTTCTAGCTGCTTTGACCAAAAGGCGAGACTGACCTTCAGCGCATCATAATCGGTCAAATCCCCTTCCACAAGATGAACATTTCCCCCTGGGATCTCCTTCGACACTTTTTCTTCTGTCGCCGCCTTGTTGCGTACGAGGCCGATGACCAAATTATTGGGATCGGCGGCGAGTTGGCGCAGGAACTCGAACTATGAGATGAGGGTACTCAGTAAAGGTTCCAAACGGCATGAAGGAAGGAAGATGCCTACTCCGATTCCGCGAGATGCACCGGTGATGAGATAAGAAGGCATGGCGATTGAATGTCAACTGAAGACGAGGAAGACGAGATAAGAAAGGTTGAGAGCGAATCTATTTGTTCAAACCAGTGTCAAGAAATTGGATGTAGTTTTAGAGTTACATGAATGTCTACGACAGTGGCTTATTTATATATTTATATCAGTATAACTTCCGTCATCATTTAGCTATCTCTACAAGCATTATAAATGACCTCCCTTCTCTTTCATTCCATCTGGTTATTTATTTTGTCAAATGATGCATCATGCTCCGCATCAACAGGGGAAATGAGATCGACCAGTTACTCAACACGGAATTTCTAATCATGAGAATAGGAAGACTTTAGCGTCGAAGAGACCTATAAGACCGTGGCAAAAGATGGTGCCATCCGTCAAGCACGTGCTAATGAAGAATCCAATGCAATTAAAGTCATTTATCATCGTAGCCCAATTTCATCCTCTCGCTTGGCTCTACCTGAAAAGGCGAAGGTCAGTTACAGAATAACTAATCATCTCTATAGTTGCATCATCGAAACATACAGTGAAGTCACGCCTTCCTTTCCAGATTGAGAGATTGTGAGGTTGATTTTATCAATAATAAATAGTAATATCAAGATGAATTCTTGATCCCATCACGTGGCTCGACTCTCCTCAAGAGACCACGGGATACAGAGGCCACCGGTACTGTATGATTGTACTTTATGGAACTACCTGGCAAGGGGTCGTCATGCTGCGGCCTGTTATTTATCACCAAATCCCGTCGTCCAGATTGATACCGAGTCTGAGAGCTGTTTTGTTGCATCGAAGACATCTCATCTCTCATCCCTTCGGTTCATCAAAGCAGCTATTATCCACAACGACCACCCCATGCGTCACCTCCGCAGGATCAAATCAAAACCTGTTTACCTATACGGCTGGGCGCTACATATTCAACGAGAAACGTCGCCTTGAAAAGCGATATGATGAGTTTGATGTCGAAGCGTTAAAAACGGTGGCCGCAAGCAGCGTCGGTAGGGACGCCGTCGTCCATATCAGGAAACTTGCAGAGGGTGGTTTCAACAGTCTTTGTTCTCGCCATGAGCGATGGCTTAGAAGTCATAGCCAAGATCCCCTAATCGCTCACCGTCCCGAAGAAGCTGGCAACGGAAAGCGAAGTCGCGACGCTTGACTTCTACGGACGAGAGGTATACCCGTGCCGCAAGTGTACACCTATTCCTCGGAGAGCAACCGTGGGGATCAAGTATGTCATCATGGAGAAGGCCCCTGGACAGCCGTTGGATCGTCATTGGTTTGATCTTACCCGAAGGAAAGGGTTCGGTTGGTAACCAGCTACGTCGATATCGAACGGAAGCCGTTTTCAATCCCGTTTGGATCCTACGGCAGCCTATACTATACACACACCGTACATCCACATCTCCAACATGATCTTTATCGAACGTCATATAAGGATGATCATAAGGGCCGGTTCTGTATAGGACCTTCCGCTGATTATACGTTCTGGCGGGTAAAGCGCGCCTCCCTTGATTTGGATCGCAGGCCTTGTCAGTCTCTCACTCCTCGCCACGCTTAACGGGCTGGAATTTTTTTGACCGTATGTAGGGAGAGACCATCGGGATTATGTTCGAAGCGTGGGCTGTCGGGAGTTCGAATGGACCCGTCGGTACGGCAAGCCGCAGCAAAATGATTTCCCTCATAACAATATCGTCAAGGGAGACATTTCCCCGGGGATCTACCTCGATCTTCTACAGAAGTTTCTCTCACTCGCACCGTATATTCTTCCTGAAGATCGCGAAAGCCCAATGAATATGCCTACCATGCGACATCCAGGTAAATGGCCATTGCTAATATCTATGACTCCTGGATGCTAACTGGCCCAGATCTAAACCCATCCAACGTGTTTGTGTTGGACTCATGTGAGATCTCATGCATTGTCGACTGGCAACATAGCTCTATTCTCCCGTTGATACTCACGGCGGGCAATCCGCCACTCTTTAAGAATCCAGACTCCGAGCCACCCGCCAGTTTGGAAAAGCCGTCCCTGTCCGACGATTATAATTCCCTGGGCCCAGAAGAACGATCCAAGACGGAGGAGCTCCATCGCCGGAGAATGCTGTTCTATCTGTACATGGTTTTCAACGGCCGGGATAACAAAGCCCATCTTGAGGCACTTCGGTACCCCCTTTTGCCATTTCGACAACATCTAGTGGACCGAGCCGGCCGCCAATGGAGTGGCAATGTAATTACGCTGAAAAGAGCCCTCATTAGACTTACTGAGCGCTGGGAGCAGTTAGGGAACAACCTGAAGAAAAAACCGTGCCCAGTCAATTTCAACGAAGAAGAAAGTGAGGAATTCTATCGTGTTGAAAAGGACTGGTTTAAGGCGACGATATTACTCGAACATTGGCGGTCTCTTCTGGACGACCTAGGAGAAGATGGACGGGTCAGGAATGAAGCATACGAAGCAGTCATGGAGACAACAAGGCGCTTAAGGCGGAGTGGGTAGCTGAAGCAGAAGATGAGGACCAGGTCGGTTGATCTTTTCTGGTCATTCCAGGATCACGAGGAAATCGATTAGGGGATCTCTCCAAACTGAACTGATCTAGATGGTCACATCTCCATGTTAGGTAAGGTCCGCCTTGATTAAGTACGCAAAATAATTCAAATAATCTATTCTCAATAACCACATGGTAAGTTCCTCGAGGATCTTGATGATGTTGGTGAGAATTAAAGGCAGCTCTAGTAGAAGTTAGCATGTTAATCTATTTTGAAGACTGACCTAAGGAACTTTCGGAACGATGAGGTTCCTTAGGTTATATGACGGCTATTTATGCAATTCCGTTCGAATCCACTCGTCCTCTATGAGCTCTTTAGCAGAACTTCGTTTCTCCAGCTCCCATTGTAGCCATTTTCGAACGAGACAGAGAAACTTCTCCTTATCCTCTCCCTCGAGGCTGGTCTCCCTTAGTTCAAGCGGGATGTATTCTCCCACTGGAACTCCAGCAGTGAAATCACCAAATGCCAAAGACGGTTAGCTTCTGCCTCTTGATCTGAATCATAACATCAGAGAGAGAGATGTATTACCTTCCTCCGAAAAGAACCTTGGAGTCAAATTTCCCCGCTTGAGTAAGCCCGTCGGCGGTGGACCAAGAAGCCGTATCATCTCCGCAAGATGGGCCCGACTCCTATAAGTGTTTAACTCAGGATCCTGGCCACTGAACAAACCTCCCCCCCTCGAAAAGGTTCCAAATCTGACTATGTATGTAAGCCCCAAGCCTTTGCGTCAGGGATATCGATCTCCATACCACACATCCCGCATTCCAGATATCAACGCTATATGTCCACGGAACTTGCAAAATCACCTCCGGGGCTCGATAGATATTAGGCTGAATATCTTCCGAGTGTTCTTCATCTCCGAACACGGCCGAGCCAAAGTCGCAGAGAACAGGCGCACTTAGTTCTTTAGGCATTTTGAGTCCACGAGAGGTATAGATTGTCCTTCCATCAAGTTCCTTTCTCGGACAGGGGTGACGGAGTTCGTTCTCTTCGAAATCATGGAAGACAGAATCATCGTCGATGCCGAGCATGAGGTTATCGGCTCTGATATCTAATAAATTGGTGAGGGTCAAAAGAAAGCCGAGAAAGACGGGGATTTCAACCGGTATGAATAACCTTGCACTCGGTATGCAAATAGTCCAACGCAAGAAATAGACGATGAAGAGTAACTGCTACAATGACCGGAGGCAGTCTTCGCACCGGGTTACGGTGTAGAAAATCCAGTACACTCTCCCAGAGCGGCGGATGCACGAGACATCGATGGTTGTCTTCAGGTCCGTTGATATCGAAAGTGTCCAACAGTGATCGAACATATCTACAACCAGGATGACTTTGCGAGGCTCCTTGGATACGTTTGTATATGTTAAGTTCGTCGTCTAGCTGCTGACCCATTGACGTGGACTTGATGAAAATCTTAAGAGTGACATAGCGGCGATAACTGTATCCCTCATCAGATCAGGGAACACGAACGAGATGCCAATCCTTCACAGGGCACCTGTCTACTTACTCCATGTCATGCGCAAGCCAAACAGTGGAGCTCGCTCCGAACCCCAATTTCCCCAACACTTGGTACCGATCCTGTAAGATCTCCCCTATTCGAGTCGGATAGTATCGACCAGCCACATAGCCCGGAATCGTCTCCTCCTCGATTGCCTGGCTTATAGGGAGTCGAATGAAATTGGGGTTGGTGAAGTTGAGAGGCGTCCATTTTCGTCCGAGCCGAGGCAAGGAGCGCATTAATGTTCTTATCATTTGTGAGTTTACCCCTACAGAGCCGATATAGTGCTGTTTTGGGGTTTACGGACTCCTTGTGAAGTAGAAAGAGGTTGAAGTACAGTCAACATCCCATACTTCTGTAGGGAGTGGCCTTCCCGGTCTAAGCCAATTTTGGTTAGAACTAATTTCTCATGCCTCAGGCATACGTCGGATATACTAAAGGAGGTGTATTGCTGCCAATTCAATCATTTTGTAATCATACAACATAGATTTCCACGTCATGAGAAGCTAAGTAGTAGCAATAGCACGCTGATATATCATCTCGTTTCTAGATATCATCCAGACAAAACCAAACCAAAACCAAGGACCGAAACAATCCAATATTTACAATTCGTCCTTGGTCTCCTCCTTCTTCTCACCCAAGAAGCGACGCAGCACATTGCTGCGCGAGATGATATCATCGATCTTCTCAGGCGCCGAGCCGCCCTTCGCCAGGACCTTGCTCAACCGAGCAAACTCCTTAGTGGCGTAATCGTGGTTCTGGCTCAGCTTCTCAGCAACTTTGACATAGTACTGGGCGTACTTGTCCTGGAGGCTCTTGGCGACCTTCTTGATCTCCTTGACGAGGTCCTCGAAGCTCTCGGACGAGGTGTACTTAGCGACCAGGGAGTCCAGGGTGGGGATGGTGCCGGCCTTCTCGTCGAGACCGCCGCCGACGGCACGGTGGGTGCCAGCCTTGGAGTTCAGGAACTCGAGGAAGGCGACCTCGGAGCGAGCGCCCGAGTAGGTCTCGCCCTCCGTGGAGCCCTTGGGGAAGAACTTGATGGTCGGGTAGCCGGTGACACCCTGCTCCCTAGCGGTGGCGCGACCGTTTTCAGCATCAGCGTCGACCTTGGCGATCACAACGTTGGACTCGAGGGCGAAGTCATTGGCGAGGGTTTCCCAGATAGGGGCGAGGTTCTTGCAGTCTATATCCACAGGGGACCGTCAGCATCAGACAACAGAACAGGTGTATGTGTACAAAGACATCGCCTCCAAAAAACATAGATGGTAGATATAACACTGGGCTCTACTCACGTCCGCACCAGGGCGCCGTAAAGGCAACCAGAACATCCTTCTCGCCACCGACAGTCGTCTTGAAGTTGGCGTCAGTCAGCATCTCCACCTGGCTGGGCTCCTTCTTAGGTCCGCGAGGCTTGACGCCGGTCTTCTCGGTGATGAAAGCAGACAGACTCTCGAGGTCACGACCGCCGTTGTACTCGACGGGCTTGTCACTCTTGCCGTCGAACCATTTCAGCGTAGGGAAGCCCTGGATACCGAAGCGCTTGCCGAGATCACGGTTCTCGTCAGCATCAACCTTGCCCACGGTCACTTTGTCCTCAGCGTGGGCGAAAGCCTGAGCCAGCTCCTCGTACACGGGGGCCAGGTTCTTGCAGTGGCCGCACCAGGGGGCGAAGAATTCAACGAGAGCGGGTTTGCCGGACTTGAGCACAACGTTGTCGAAGTTCTTGGGGATCAGATCTACCACCGAGCCGGCAGTGACGATGCCGACCAGAAAGGCGAGGCAGCTGACGAGCAGGACGCTCAATCGAGCCATGGTGAGTAGGGAGGGGTGGTGATTTGGAGATAACGGTTCAATGGATAGATGATATATCGAGATCAATGACTAGAAACTCGAAGAAGCAGCTCTGACTGGGGAAGGGACAAGACGGAGGGTCAGGAGTACGGAGTACTGCGCAGTGATTATTTATTCGACTGATTAATTCGCATGGAAGCTCCGGCGGAGGAAGACGGCAAAATGTGGGGCGGAAGAGGACACTTGGTAACTCCCGGCTGAGTCATCGTTCGATCTAGTTACTTGCCTACTCTACTCCATACAACGCCCAGCTCCCCCTTTATCGCCTCTCGCTCAGCCACTGGTTGGCATTCACAAATAACTGCCCGTCCTTGAAGTCCTTGCCGGCGCTCTGCGTGCCCTTGTAGACCTGTGGGGAAGTTCCGATGTCAGTAAATGTGGGCTCCACAGGGTCTCGGCCAGCGACTACTTACCGCATCCCATAGTTTGAAGGCCCGGTCCAGGTTGCCGGTGAAACTGTCACTGTGTTGGAACCAATCCTTGCCCTTCGACTTGACCTCAGCCCGTGCCTCCAGCGATGTCGGGTTGTTCTGCAAAGGCAGGTCATCTAGGTAAGTGCGGACGGCAATGCCCAAACCGCAGTCGTTGTCATTGATGAACGGAAGCCTGCATCGGGTTAGCAAGAGCCACGGTCACCGTCCGTGCCGTATATCACTTACTTCAGACTCAGTTCATTCCAGTCATTCCGGTCCCGGTCGGCATGTCCGCTGAGGAAGAGGCTGGTCAAGACGACCTCGATCAGGCTCCTGAGCGCGGCGCGGACCTCTGAGATCAAAGAGCGGTAGCACAGCAATTGTCTGCTTAGTGGCCCAGAATAGCCGATGCTCTTGTGTTGCAACTTGGCAATGCACGCAATCCGGGACACCAGCATGTTGAAGTTCTTGTCCTCGTCTGGAAATCATTTACAGGTGAGCTCTAGCCTCTTCGCTGGGGATTTTGGAGGGAGGGGTTGATTGCGCTTACCGGTTCCTCTCATGGGACCTCCCGACACGTGAGAGAACCATTGCTTCGAATTGATCAATCCAAGCCGAAGCATTTCAATGGCAAGGAAGGTGGGCTCTTCCAGGGAGTCGTTGGGATCGAGGTCAGAGAGCGCCTGTTCAAGGCAGACTCCCCACGGAGTAAGCTTATGTGAACTTTGGTCAATATAACCGCGAAGTTGCAGGAAACGCAAGAAAACGTTGCTGAAAATCTCGTCCTGCGACGAGAGTGCCTGGTAATTGTCAATACTCCTGTTTGTTGTCCAGTAAAAAAACAAGAAAAGAAGGGGTGGAGAACGTACAGGGACGTCCTTGGACGACAGAGATTTGGAAACGACTTCCGAGTCCTTCAAGCTTTGCACAGCAAATTTGAAAGGTCCAGAAGTTGCCTAGGTATTCGGTCAGAGTCACGACGATTGATCAAGAATGGGGACTGCACTCACTTGGAGTTTCTTTACTCCCTCGGGGAGTTGATCGGTGCGGACTTTCCATGATTGGATCGTATCCTTGACTGAGGGGAGACTCTTAAGGTTGATTGTTATGTCGGACTTATCATCGTACCAGGGACGCACGTTGATGACCTTGGTCTGGTAGAATCTATGAAGCGAGTTTGAAAGCAATCCAATCGATTGCGTGCGGATGGGCGTGAGAGTGCTGCTGGAAACCTGACGATAGATTTCGGTGTCCTCCACGCCCAACGGCTGCGAGATCAGGACCTCGCCAGACGTGAGATAGTTCGGCACCTCGGCACTCAGCAGGCCTCTAGAGAGGTAGAAATAGAGCTCTTCCGGGAGCCGTAGGCTGGTCAGTTCATGCACGTCGGAGGGAGCACGCTCCGCATCCATCGGGCCGACGCGGCCTTCCTCGTCCATGATCACATGGTGCTTGACGGACATGTATGCACGCTTGTAACGCTCCATGTAGCGAGTCTCCTGTATGCGGCGATCCTCCTCATAGTTGGCGCAGAGAGCGAGCGCACTTCGTCCCGTCGTGTTGAACAGCTGTAGGGCGTCGCGAAGAGTAGCACCCTTGCCGGGGAAGGCTGAATTCTCGAAGAGTGGGCATGTTGACAGGAAGGAGGATCCTAGGAGGAGGCCAAAGTCGATAAACTGCTCGGTGCTCAGTCGGCCCAGGTCGTCCTGGCACGTTTGTTTGGGGAGGAAGGAAAACTGCGCCGGATCGGTATCAACGCGGGTGATTAATTTTTCGATGTCAAAGAGTAACACTTCCGACGGTCCCCAGACTGCGTCGACCAGTGGATTCGAGCCTTTGGTCAGATGGGATAGCTAGAGGGACACCATCCGTCAGAAGACACTCCCATATTGTAGGGACCATGAAGAATATTGTCATCTCACCTGGGCCGCGGCACTATAAGGAGCCACCATATAATTTATGCCATGTGCGAGAAGAATGCGCTGCAAAAAGCGGTAGAGAGATTCCGGTCGAGGAGTGCCTAGGAGGGGGTGAAGACGAAGCCAGTCAGCGCATGCGGACCAAACCCGCAAGGATACAGGGCGCGCGGGAACCTACCAGCACCACTAAAAGCATCAACCACCTGATCCGCCTGCTGTTGGTCGTAGAGATCCCAAGCTTGCTCGAAAGCCCGCACCGATTCCGGTTGCACGCTAGGCCGCTGGTCTTTCGTGCTGAAATCCAGGCCATTGAACACGAACAAACAGCTAACGCCCTGTTCTTTCAGCGTCTGGAGCTCTCTCTCGATATTGGTCTTCAGGGCGAACGGGAAACCACCCAATGCGACCAGAAGAGGCTCGCGGGTGGAGGGTTGGAGGAGGTGCTGGGAAATGTAGTGCGACGCATCGATGCCGACGACGGCCCCTTTGAGGGCAGAGAGAGGGAGGGATTGGGTGCGGGGGGCGGCCCATTCATCTAAAAGACGGACTGAAGACAAGGTGAAGCAGGTTAGCTAAGGCCATTCCGATGGGGGCTGGTCAGGGAGCAATGGGAAGCTCAGCAATGGGAAGCTCACTAGGCATTCTTCAAGCTAGGAAAGGTCAATTTTCAGATATGGAAGAGCCCCGATAACGGGAGAGAGATAGGAAAAGAAAGTACTCCGTAGTTCAAGAACAGGAGTGAGGGGTGGAGGGACTGAAGAGGGGGATGAAGAGGAATGAGGCGGAGGAGGGGGTATGAAAGAGGAAAGAAAGATGCAAAGTGGGATGAGGTGAAGCTGGAAGGAGGAGACGAAGCGGAAGAGTGACGGGGGTCAATTTCAATCCGCCGGAACTGCGGCCGTTTGTTCTTGTCCCACTTCACGCTCTCCTCGTCACTTCTGCGCGTTTACCTTCCAGAGATGGGCCGGGCTCGATGGTTTGATCGCGATAAGAGATTCTTTTGCGCAATGCATCTCAATTGTTCTTCACCTACAGGTGTATATCTCCACATGCACGGTTAGTCGTGTGTACATATAGTTAGACATATACTAAACACATTCAGACACCGTAAATAAACAAGGGCCTTCAATCAGCCAGATGGATCTATTGCACTTAAGATCCCTAATCGCTATTGCCATAGTTCTCCTTATTCTAGATGGTCCTACCTTTAATTGCCAAAACAGGTAACGTCAAGTCACCTACGGAGTACACAGAAAGTATACGCACCCCAGATCCAACCCTGCAATCCTTCCCACCATACTAGTACGGTAGTACCCTTCAGAACCGGTGGGGTGGAGGACCCCGTCGATAACGAGAATCCATTTGGTAAAATGACATGAATCCCACGGAGGAGGGTCCCATGGTCCGAACTTCTCCACGCGAGGTTGATAAGGAACCTGGCTAACGTTTGCCGATATTTAATGGACTGGATGTGACTGGATACTACTCATCTCTCTTCTCTACCTTACTCTACTCCCCTTGAAAAGAACCCCTGGCATACATTCAATAAACTCCTCATCTCTTAACCAAGTAGTTATCGTCCCCGACTCACTCACCATGGAAGAAGTACCCACCACCGCCGGACCCCCCATCGAACTATCGATAATCGATATTTCGAATCCCTCCGACCCCGCCGTGGGCAAGGCGATGCTAGACGCCGCCGCAAAGTATGGATTCCTCTACGTGAACAGCAAGGGCACGGATTTCACTCCGGAAGATGTGAAGAGGGCGTTTGGTTTGGTAGGATATTCATTCATTCTTGCTTGACGGTAGTACATAGGTACCTACCGGGCGCATCCGCCAGAGAACGAACGTACTTGACTAACTCGGTTGAAATGCAATAGTCGAAGGAGTTCTTCATGTCTCCCGCAGAGGAGAAGGCGTCTTGTCGGATTGAACCGAATGTGTGTTCAGCCAAGCTAACCCTGTCGACGGCTGGTGATATAGACTGACTGTATACATCTAGAACCGGGGATGGTCTGGCATGCATGTAGAGACCTTGGACCCGGAGCACCAGCGGGTATAGATGAGCCCTCCTGCTTGACTTTCCAAGCTTTCTCAGTCCAACCAAACAAAACTAACCATATCCACCTATCTAGACAGGAGATTTCAAAGAGTACGATCAAGGGAGACTGCCCCAAAAGAATATCAATGACTAACTAACATCACCACCCAGAGGCTTCAACTTCGGCGAGTTCAAGAACGGCAAAGCCCAGCAGCCTCTACCGCCATCGCTGGCTTCGCATGAGTCCGAGATAAACCATTTCACCGATCTATGCCACAAAACCTGCGACCGAATTCTCAAGCTCCTAGCGCTTGGTCTTCAGGTAAGGAAGCTGAGAAACGAGTCCCAGCCCCGGATGGATGAAAGATCCCAATTATGAAGGTATGTGACTGAGGCTTACTGCTCTCTAGATCCCCGACGATTTCTTCACGACTCGCCATGATCCCAGCCAAGGGTCAACGGGCAGTATCTTGCGATACCTTTACTATCCGTCGATCTTCTCTCCGGCGACGTCGTCCTACAAGCACGACCAGGACGTGCGTGCGGGAGCCCATTCCGACTACGGCAGTATCACGCTGCTCTTCCAGCGACCCGGACAACCGGGGCTCGAGATTCTGACACCCGAAAAGACCTGGGCCCCTGTGCCCGTGCAGCCGGGACAAACAGCCGCCCTCTCAGAGAGCTCGTCGGACGAGTTCGTCTTCCCGCCGATCCTGGTCAATATCGGCGACCTACTCAGTTACTGGACGGATGGCCTGCTCAAATCGACCGTTCATCGTGTCGTCTTCCCCTTGTCCGAGCAGCGGAGCCCGAATCCCCGTGACCGGTATAGCGTTGTATTCTTTTGCCATCCGCTGAACAATACGGAGTTGGTCCCCGTTCCCAGTGAAGTGGTGACTGCGTATCGCAAACAATGCGAAGAGCAGGGGGTGTACGACGAGAAAGTCGGGTTCGGGGGCGGCGCCGGGAAGTTGGAGCCAGGAAAACGCGCGCTAACAGCCTTCGAGCATCTGGAGTCGCGATTGGAGGCGACGTACGGCTTCAAGAAAGAAGAGTCGTAACAGTGCGTCTGTTTGGCTGGTTTGGACGGCAATTATAATCTAGATAATGGAAGAACTTCGGCAAGACAGCTCATTGAAACATAACGAGGCCAACAAGCTCTCGGACTATTCAATTCGTCACATATAAATAAATAACAGATACTATGCATATGGTTGCAGATGACTCAATAGACAAGATATGCCATCCACTGGCACGTACAGAAAAGGCCAAGACCAAGGATTGCCAATGATGGGATATCGAAAAACAGAAAAGAGACACAAAAGACCAAGTGAAATCGCTCCAGAGGGACTGTGAGTGTGGAGTATGCCAAACAGCTACTGACAAACGAGAATCATCCGACGTCAAGACAATAGGATCCTGGCGGGGTACAATGTCAGGTAGAAGAAACAAAAAGCAAAAGAAATCAAAATCACATAAGATGGTACTTTGCAATGAGGTGTGCATATTCATGATGGCCAGAGGCTGGAAATCCATAAAGGCAGTATGGCAGACTCTGGGCCCCGCCATAATAGGACAAATTAGAAAATAGAACGAAACCATGATCAGATGATAACGGAAGATGTGCAAGTAAACGGGTGCTAAATGGTAAAAGTCGAGGATGAATGAAGAAAGGGGCGAACTGCACTATATGATGAGGGGGAAAAAAGAAAAGAAAAAGAGACGACAAAAGGTATCTTTGTGATGAATATGATGAATAGGAACGCCGCCAGGTTCTGAATGCCATGCACTGGTAGATGTAAAACCGTAGGAATCGAAGAAGCGAAATAGAAACACATGGCAGATATGACGCTATGCAAGCCAGTATGCATTAGGAGAATTAGACAGTTTCGTACGTTCATATCATGGCGAGGTGTGGCACCAGTGACGGTGATACACCCACGCGGCCTTTTGGCAATCTTTGCTGCAGTACTTGGTGCGGCGGCAACGGCGGCATTTTGCAAACTGACGCTGGAACTCCTCCCACTTGCCGCACTTGTAGTATGCACATTGCCGGATGCCACCCCGGGACTCGTCCTTGCGGCAAAGGTTTCGCATGACCACGCAGGCCCAGTACTGCATGTCCTTGGAGTGATGCCGCACCGTGAACTTCTCCACCAGGGGGAAGATATTGACGTCGTCGGGCAGAAGGTACTCGTCCTCATCTTCGACGGGCTCAATCGGCGAGGCACCTTCCTCGAGAATGTGGAGTTCACGGTCGACTTTCAGTTTTGGGACGAGGTGGGAGTGCTGGAAGTAGGAGCGGAGGTTGCAGTACTTGGACACATATGCCAGGAGTTGAAGGGACATCAAAACGTCCTCCTCTCGGGGCATCGTGGTTAGGACGTTCTGGGTGACGTTTTGGGTGGTCGATCGGTCGCGCCAGTAAAGAGAGTAGGGGCTGGGAACAAGAGTAGGGGAGTTGGCATTGTTGACGGCTTGCGTCGGAGACAAGCCTAGTCCTCCATTCGTCGGCGTGGTATCGTTGTTAATGATACTGCCGTCGACGGTAGAACGATGGGTTATATTGAAAGTCTCGGCTTCTTGTCCCTCGGAGGGATCAGTCACCGTCAGGTCATGGGCGTTGGAAACGCCTTCGAGCATACCCTGCCGATCGCCAACTTCATCGATTTCCATCTGGTTCTGAAGACCAATGATAGGCTCGGCCGCTTCTCCAGACCCGGCGTCATCCTCCATGGTCGACCCTTCTCCGTTCCCGTCGTCCGATTCGCCCGATGCCGAGACCTGCTGTCTAAGTGCGGGTCGTTGTCTAGCAGCGTTGACCTGGGCAGCGCTGCGAGGCTGCGCCGGGCCGCTCGGGGTAGTCGGAGAATCGGGCTGCGAGGCGAGGCCGTTGTGTAAGCTAGGAAGCATGCTGGGGAGTCTTTCGGCGTCACGCACCGGGCGCAGACCGAAACCATCGGCAGCATCCATAGCGGGCAAGGCGGTGGCAAGGGGCTGTATCGCCCGGTGACGGTGACCCGAGGGCAGATGACGAGCATCGTTGGGTCTATGGCTGGGGACTTCCTGTGTGTGGCGATTCCTTTCCGGCGGCGAGGTCATCGGCATGCGAGGCGAGGACGTAACGTCCATGGCATTGGAGTCGGTCGCTTGATTTTCTTGGAAGAACGGAGGGATTTCGATGTTTGGGGGAGGGGCCTGGCGGCGAGAGGCACGTTGATCAACGTTCGACGACGGTTCAAGGAAAGAGGGCCGACCAGCGGCATCGCTAGGGCCGGGCACGGCTTTGGGATGATGTCTGGACGAGTGTCGCTGCGTTTCGGTGTCCGCCCGAGCGCGCGCCTTGTCAACCACTTTGATGTAATTGTCAAGAATGGTCGCAATGACGGGGACCATGTCGGCCTCGACGACTCTCGTTCGAACACTCTCTGAGCCCCGCACTCCGATGTTGACAACGCACTGGAAGGCGAGGCTCCACTTCCACATCTCCATCAGATCTCGACTGCGGCCCTCTTTGAGGATGCAGACCAGTCTCTCGATTCCGCCATCGACGGTGAGGATATCGCGAATGCGGGCGGAGGATGTGGTGAGATAGGCGAGATGGTTGAGGGAATTTATGAGCGGGAGGGTCGATGTGCAATCGAGAGCACGGCGGTCATAGAGGGTGGTCGTGATATTAACAGAAGCCTTGTTGACATTCGGGATGCTGAAGTTGACCTCCCGCATGATGGGCGAGAGGATGAGACTCCGACTCGTTAGGATGTGAAAAAAAAAAAGGAAGAAAGAAGAAAAACCCGGTCGGCAAGAAGAATCAGGGCGATGAAGATTCGATCGAGGATGACTGATTGACCTCAGCCCCTAAAACGAGATCGAATCCTGTCGGCAACGTGACCGGGAGAGAAAGAAGGCAAAAGGAGGAAGAGAAGGGAAAAGCGTCCTGAAAGGGGTCCGTGTTAATTATCGGCAGATCATGGGGCACCAGACCGAGATGCTGCAGTGATCAAGGGGGAAGAATCCTCGAGCGCGAGTTGGCGGGAGAGAGGTGGTGAAGACGGATGCAAACCGATGAGGCGTGAAAGGGAGGTTTGTTCGAGCCAAGACACTCGGTCGGTCAGAGCCTGGTGGCCACGATGATTCACGAATGAGAGGGCCGCCTCGATAAGAGGGGGAGGTGGGAGGGAGGATTGAAGATGACGGGGGGGGGGCGTGCTGTACAAGAAAATATCGACAGAAGCCAAATTTCAGATCCCAGAAGGTCCCCAAGAAAGAAACGAGAAAGAAAAGAAAGATCAAATAATCAATAAATCCCCCAAAAAAAGACCAGAACGATAGATATACAGGGAGGGGAAAGAAGGAGACGGGGCGATGAATGACGGGGGGCAAGAGAGAGGGAAAGGGCGACCCAAAAGACGAAGGGCCGGGAATGGCTGAAAAGGCGCGAAAGCGGAGTTGCTCGTCAGGCGGCCTCAGGCTGCTTCGTCCCTCTGAAGAATAATTCTTATTAATTCCAGTTCCAGCATCCTCGTGAAATCTCCCGTACTTCCAGATTTCATTTCAAATCCAATTACGGAGTCAATCCAGTCAACTTCATCTACACCGGTCTCTTCCCTGAGTTCCCTCTCATTCTTCCTTCCATGTCCCATTTCCCTTACCCGCGTTTGCAGACTCAATACTCCCTTCTGGTTCATTCCTACCCGCCACCCGAGCCACCGTCAGAAGATTCTGCTGACTGTTGGTCCTCGATGGTATGACCGGTTGCCTCCCCTTCTGCTTTTCGTTCGGGAGATTTTTCGTGCTCTTGAAATCAGATCACTCCAAATCTAATCTAATCCCTCATATCCCCTTTTCACTTGACTTCACCTCGGACTCCCGGATGATGTCAAATAGTCAATAATCATGAGAAGCCATTGCCACCGACGTCGTGACCAGATTACTAACCCCCTTCCTCGACCTCTCCGAAGTAATTTAACTCATTAGTTGTCCTCATAAATTCAACATCTAAACTCAACCCCCAAGGTTGCCTACTACTAATCACAATAAAAGATCATAATATTAATAGTGGATTTCTCCTTATTAAATGCGTCCTGCGATTTCCCAGACGGGCGGAGTCGCCTGTAGATCCAGACGCAAAGACCAACCGCAAGAACCCACCGTTGGCCCTGCCCATGAAATCATGGCAATAGTGCTGGACAGCCTCTCGGACTTGAAGCCTTTTGCGGTCGGCGGATTGTTGATGCTAATCTGACCATTCGCGAACTACCTCGCAATCGTCGCTGCGATCCGGACCTATTGAACCGATTATTGAATATTGAGGTATCCCGTCGGTGGACTTCCGACGTCATTAACGGAGTAGGAATCCTTCTTTCTCCCTGCCACCCGCACAGACGGAGATGAATCGCCCAAAATGGAAACCAACAAAGGCACCACCCATCCAAGCCTTGACCGGCTAATGCTATTATGCTATGTATGTCACCGTAGCTTAACTTATAATTAGTTCCCGGGTATATTCCTCATCAGCAGGCCCAATCTTTTTTCTTTTCTTTTTCTTGCCATTAACCCATCAACCAACGATCTCCCCCCGCGCAGCAGGGGATCCCTGACGATGACGGCAGCGAAGAAATCAAGAAAGGCGAGGTGCGGGCGCACAGACATGCCTTGGAGTGAATAGGATTCTATGATTAGAAACAAGAAACCCGGACATAAGCAAGCCTAAGCGCGAGCGCAGCCGACAAGGCCAAGCAGCCAACCCCCGTAGGTGCTCATCGCGAACCAAGCGTCTTCCAACCCGGATGGATTTGGAATCGTCTTTATATGGACGGGTAGTACCTACAGTACATGCATGTATGTCCATGGCGGATTCCGCTGGCTCGGAGTAGTTTAAATCTACCCCGTACCCTGCAGCATTCCAGCCTCATCCCCTCGATTTACCTATTCTTAGAAATAGAAACCGCCCAGCCCCGTCGGACGCGCGCGGGCAGAGGCCCTGGTTTCTACCGTAACAAGGGAACAAAGAAAGAATCTGGAGGTGCAAAGGAACCAGCTCGCAAGCCCAGGGCGGCTA